CTAAATTGCACACCAGATCGATGTATTACACCCAACACACAATGAAACTAAATATAGCGACGCAGGTGGAGCACTCGGTTACTCATGAAGGAGTAACAGCTTAAAACATTACCTATAATATGAACGGTGATCGTTTCGTTATTATTGACGATTAATAATGTACTTGAAATAATATTCTCGTTTAGGTGTCCTCTTATAATTTTCTTTGACTTTTTAATTAAGAATAACGTAGGTATCATTCTAACAGGTTTCCAGTAGACATATTGATAGAATTTTAGGTTGATTCTAATATTGCGTGTCCTTTTTATACTAAGCACTAGAACAAGAATTCTGCAACTTACATTTTTATTTTCATATTAATGTATGAAAACATGTTTTGATAAATCTGCACTAATACTTGAATATCATAATTTCTTTGACGTTTGTACTGTGGTTAGATTCGGTTGAATTTTGGCAGGCGTACAAGAATATATTCAAATAGTGCATACCTACAGTGCTTTTAATGCTCCGAGTATAAACATCCATCTACAGGGTCTGAAGCTGCCTCTTTACTACTATTTTGCATTAAAGTAATTATACTGTCGCTTGTAATTCCCGTTCTGGTTAATCACACGTACAGCTGTCCCGTTTTTATACTTCTATTTGCATGTATCTCAATACTGAAGCTGAATATAAATGTTCAGATTCTCTTGGAAACACTTCTCACGTCTGTATGAACTTTTATACCTTTACTTTCATTTTGTCAGATGAGAACAAATCGAGTATTCACGTACGACGTCGAGACGGAATTCCACGCCGCGTATGAGTCCCCAAATACTCGCACTTTAATACGCCATCGGATTTTACCGACGAGGGGCTCACTGTACACTTTACCTCTAAGGAATCCCCGAAGAAAGGTGACACATGGATTGAGGTCAGCAGACTTTGAAGGTCTAAGAATAAACATTTGTACGTAAAAAACAACATACTCGTATTTTGTACATAAACGAATCAACAACTAACAGACTTAGAAGTTGTTTTGTTTCATTGTTTGATTAAATCGCTTCTGCGCCAAACTCTTCTTTGTTTTTTTTTTCTATTTTAAATACTTCGTTTGAACTTCTATTTTATAAGTTACTTGTGTTTGAATGTTATTGGCAACAGATTTTCTTACTTAATTGGGTAGCTCGTTTAGCAACTCTCTAAAAATGGATTCGCATCCAATTTCCCGTTATGTATAAAAATTAGATCGCCAAATAATCCACACCATACATTTATGAAAAATCTTATTTGCGCTCTCAGCACAGTCATATTGTTATTACCTTGGGATTGTTCTTACGTAACTTCATTTATCCAATAATTAACAGCAATACGTAATGAGATCTACATTGTCTCCAGACTCCCCAGATACCTGAAGTTTCTTAGCAAATGAATAAGACAAGCTAAAGTACAAATTACGAGCTCGAAAGGCGAAAGTTTTTGTTTTGTCATCGCATGCAATAAGCAATACAGATTTGCCGTCTTTAATATTTAACTTATGCCTCGCCTAATAACCTTAAAGACTGGTAAAGAGCAAAATTATTTTCACCATTTAATTAGAAGGGGCTTAGAGATTTGCCTCGAAATGAGCGAGTGGTGAGCGATGACTTGCCTTGAAGTGATGGCATGAATCACTGGTTCACTTAAAATCTTACTGCTATGATACTATGATATATTGTGTGTTTAACTATCAAAATTCAATACTTATAGTATTAAACTTCGTAAAGAGGAGGGATATATATGCGCAGGCCATATCAGATACGGCGCATCAACAACGTAAGGTTCTACGAAGCCGTATGTACTGCTGAGGACCACAACAAGTGGAGAGCGATCGTCCAAAGGATGACAAAAAGGATGTGGACCTAAAGCATAGCACTCGGACGGCATCTGAGCCAGAGTATATAGCCCTATATTCCGTATAAGAATCTTCTTTTATGGAATATAGGGCTATATACTCTGGCTCAGCTACACATTTGGTAACATTTCTTAACAAACACTTTGTTTACTTTTGTTTAAATTAGTTTTTCAAGATAACACTGGTCAAAAAATTAATATAGCAGCAGAGACCTGCTATGCTAAAAGTTATTCACTTGCTATTTCAGTGTGATACTATGATACCGATGGCCAGTTTCTATCTCTTTTCCCCAAACAGGAGATACAAGATTTTGGAAATGCTGATATTATATGCTGATATTTACGCTAACTGCTATTATCAGTCATACAATGTAATGTTATGTATTAATTGTCTATGTTTGGTTTGTTAAGAGCGTACTCCTTCCTCAAAGGCCATCTTGACTGCAAGGATAGCGTAATGTTTTCAGCGGTCGGCACGCCGCTTACTACTACGCTGAGTGTTATGGGTTCGATCGCCACATGGGACGACATTTCGTGTGATCCACAAATTGTTGTTCTAAGTCTAGGTGTTCTTTTTGTCCGTTTCATGACATTTTGTAAAGTCCCTCGCGACACAGGATACATTACTAATGTCTTTCAAAAAAAAATAGCCCGACGTTTTTGTGACTGGTGAGTTGCTTGGCCTGTCTTTCTTAAAAAAATCTTTTTTGTTGTTCAGTATAGAATTAATAAAAAAGATGTAAAGGAAATTAAAACTTTATGTGCCTATAATCGATAAAATTAGCAGACAGGTCACCTGATGGAAAGCGAATACCGCCGCCCATGAACGCCTGCAACTTAGGAGTCACAAGGCGATGTCGAGCTTTGAGGAAGGAGTACGCTCTTTACCGCAGACGATAACTTGTTCCATAGTTGGTTGTGCGAGATGTTCGTACTATTTTTATTATTTTTGCTTATTTTTTTTTATTTAGAGAAGAATCAATCAAGCGTGATTGAATGTAGACGCCTTAATTGAGTGGATTGTTCTATTTTACGTTGGCAAACAAGTACCTAATCTAAGTGATGGGAATTGGTGGTAATTGTGAATGAATTATATAAAATTGAATATTGTAAAATTCTGTTTAAAACAAAATTAGAAGTGACATATTTATGGTAGGTATTATGCAACCGACGTTTCTGCCAAAATTAAGATTGTATATATTTTTTTTTTGTTTATATATCCAGTGCATTTCTTTACACTTTGAAGTATTTTTTAAAGTAATATCCTTGTGTGTCTAAAAACAATTTCAGCTTTCTGCACTTCTTCTACATATATACAATATGTTTTACACTTCGTCATTTAGAATAATGTTGGTTTTGACAAAATACGAAATTTAGTTCTTACCATATTAGGATATTGTCTAAATATTATTACTACATTCAAGAAAAAATTATATGTATTTTAGATTTTAAATTATTCAGTGTTTGTTTGATAGGCCCTCAAAGTAAAATGGGTAAATATTTTGGGACAAAGATATTATCAACAGGAAGTTAACATTCATTGTTGAGGTTGTTAATGTATAAATTTTCCAAAAAGTCTATGGCATTTCTGTATCCATTCATTCTTGTAAATCTGTCATAGTTATATAGGTGTCATAAAATTTTTTCAACACATTATAAACTACCTTGAAAAAAGTCCTAAATATACTTTTATGAGAAATCAATATGGTATCACGGATACTAAAATCAGCAGAAGAATCATAGTGGAAAATTTGAGAAAAATTATAGAATACTGATAAATCAGTGGTAGATTGAAATATCTTTCATTTATAAGTTATATTAATTTAAAACTGTGATTGTTGTATTATAGTGTAATAATTTTATTTCAAAGAGTTTTGTTATAAAGGTGGTTGATGTTTGAAGTACCTAGGTATCATTAATATATAATCTACCTATTTTTATTTTCTTTTACATATGTATTTTATTCAGCATATTACCTTAACAAATTGGAAATAATTGCAAATAGAAAAATTATTGTTGCTGATCTGCTGCTGATGATGAATAAGCAGACCTAGTTTTCATCATTCAGCAATACATATGTGTAAGAAAATAAAAATAGGTAGATTATATATTTATGATACATAAATAGAGTAGATAAAGGCATATTAAACACCATCTTTTTAGTAACTATAGTTATTTGGTTCTTTATCCTTATCTCCTTTAATTTCGGTGTTCTGGTGTTCGGCTTTAGATGATGATTCAGTTTCAATTTTGACTTCTTTTTCTGCCTCTGCATTAGTAGGTCCCGGCAATCACAATAAGGCATGCCTATTAAAGCTGTTATAATTGGGTATTCCCAATAATTATAATAGTAAACAATAACAGTATTAAAAGATAAAGATAGGCAAAAAGTTAAAACTTGATTAGAATGAAGAAATGATGCCATAAGCAATTGCTAAATTTGCTTATGGGATCTTTTCTTCCAGAGACAGAACCACCTTTTCTTTTTAAAGTCCTATACTTACTCTACTTTAAAGTCCAGACGGGTCGGTATAGGGTCAAGTTTTCCTTCTCTTTGCAGTACTGTTGTCCTACGTAGTTTGTTCCCTTAGTCGGCTCCTACGACATCACGGGATGAATAGGGGTAGTGACATTCCATATTCTTAATCGGTCACCACAAGGATATATTTAAATATTTAAGTATAGATCGATTTAAGTAAAGAATAAGTGTAACATGATTTAGAACCTATTTTATGATACTAGATACACAAAACTGCATCACAGTTTTGTACTGTTTAATACATCAACCTCACAGACGTATTTAATTATATAAATAATCTCAACAAGCTTTTAGTCAACTTATTTTTTTTTACTTGAATATATTTAATAAATATTTCAATGTACATTTCAATAGAGCCACTCCACATCCGTTAGAAATTAATACATTTACAAAGAAACTAATACCCCTTCAAAATTAAATGAAAAAAGATTTAAGATTTAAAAATTGATAATAAAATCAAAATTAGAGGCAAAGATCTACTTAATTAGCGCCCAAAATGTTTTTTCTTACTGCGATAATGAGGATAAATTATTAATAGGTTTTAAATATAGAACATTCATGAGCCTAAAGAATTAAAAATAATATTTACCAGTAGCATAGCATGATTCGTCGCCCGCAGAAATTGTAGAACGTCGTGAGTAACGATGATTTAATATGTACATGTCCTTGGTAAATTATTGTAAAATTTTATACACCCATACATTGATAACACTTAAAATTAAAATAACTACATTACGCTTAACTGAAATACGATAATTCGTATCGAATATAACGCACCGACGAATTTAAAATTAATCCACTAAATCACGTTTAAAATATAATTTCAAGTAAATAAAACATTAATTGTCATTATTCCTTTTTTTGTTATAATTATTTTATATCTACTTTCTCATTTTTGTTGTGCGATAAATTAATAAAAACCACATACTTCGCGGATGACAGAAAATTGAAAATGTTAAGAAAAATCACGGTTTTTCGGGCTGTTGATTTTAGAGCTCACGATCAAGACGATGTCAGTGTTGCCACATGCATGTAAAACTAAATCTGGTCACACTGTTGCACTGATTCTAATAAGTGGGCCGTCCATCAATATGTAGATAATGTAATTTCAAAAAGAATAAATTACATTTATGCATATACATTATGAACATGAGCACATGACCTGCAAGATGCCTATTTAAGACTGCAACTAGAGTTAAGTTTTGTAGGCATCGAAATGGAGTGAAGTTGGAGGTGTGCAATTTTAAAAGGAACTGCATAAAATCCGAATAAATGTGTGTGATATTGTAATGGCAAAGCCCCTCTATTGCTCTTACATAGAAATAAAGTAAGATAGATAGATTGGAGTAGTTACCAATTTCACAATAAGTTGTCTATTTTCTTAAATTTTTTGTTTGTTCTCAAATTACGAAACCAGGACTAGGTACAAAAAAAAAATTAAAAGTAAAAGTTTGTTGACACTTTTGACTCCCTCGACGTTCAAGTTGACAGTTTTGACACTGACACTTGAATGAAAGTCCCGCGCTGTAGTTATTTTCATAAAAAAAATTAAATAAACAAATTTTGCAATATATTAAATATGACCTATGACTACTTAACATAAAGAGTATTAAAGAGACCTGTCGTAAAAATGTCTGATGACTGGCAAGAGTACATTAACGATGCAAGAACAGTATGTAAATATGGGACCAAATGCTATCAGAAAAATGCTGAACACCACAAGCAATTTAAACATCCACCTGTTAAGAGAAAAGAAGCAAATCGAAATAAAAAGCGGTATTCGCCCTATGCGAGAACAAAACAACCACATTTGCCGGGACCTACTAATGCAGAGGCAGAAAAAGAAGTCAAAATTGAAACTGAATCATCATCTAAAGCCGAACACCAGAACACCGAAATTAAAGGAGATAAGGATAAAGAAGTTCCTATAATCCTTAATTTACCAGAGGACTTGAGTTTTTATGATAAAGACACGGATAAGAGTATTTTTAAAGAATTATTTCTAATTAATATGCCTGATGATTTTTTTAATTTTTTTGAATTTATTAGTAATCTTGGAAAGTCAGCAGAAGAATCTATGGCAAGTGTTAACTTGGAGCTGATTGGTCCATTTGATCTTTTACTTGGCAAACTGCCTATTTTGGAAGATAAGGAGCTGTACTTGATACATTGGAGATTCTTTTATGATCCACCCGAATTCCAAGTAAGGTTTCAACAATTTCTTTTGTGTGTGTTATTTTTTTTATTATAAGTTAGCGATAGATAAATTTTTGGTGTGTCATTTATATTAGAGAGAATAGTTATTTATAATAATAATAATAATTTCTAACAATATTGTTAAAGACTAGTGTTAGGATAGTACATAAAGAAAACAAACCACAAAAGATAGAATAATGAACAAACATAAAAGAGACACAAACATATATATTTGAGACACAAGAAGCATTGCTGCTGGTGCAACAATGATGGTGCATTCCATATGAAATCGATAGATGTAATTAGAGTCTGATGGTCAGTTATTTGTCACTATCCTTAGCTACATAAAACTCAGTTGACCTAAATTATCCTTTATAAGAGCATACTGCTACACAACTATAGAGTCTTATATACTTACAAGACTAATTTGTTTTCCTAATTCCAATTAGACTGTCACTGTTCTCTATCCCCTTTAATAAAACAAGACCCTGGAGAGAGGTAGCTATTTTTATTTTATAGCATATATTGTTCAAAAGCCTGTTGAGCTTGTCCCAAATGTGGCAGTGCAGGTCTCTCCCACAATAATATAGTAACACACCTAGTTACAAAACATCAACAGCCTTTAATAATCCATTGCAGGATATAGGCCTCTCCTTAGAAAGGAGGTTTTGGCCACTATACCACACTGACCAGATGTTTCGGTATTGTCAAGTTTTCTTTCTTTTTGCAGTGCTGTTGTCCTGCATAGTTTGCTCCTTTAGTAGGCTTTTACAACACCCATGAGATGAATATAGGTGATGAAATTCCATATTCTTAGTCTGTCACGGATAGCCCCAAGTCATTCAATGTAACTTTCACTTGTCATTATATGTTTGGGTAGTCACTGTTATATGGAGTTATATCATCATCATCTCTTATAGATTGTTTTAGTTTATCATGTTTTAATTCTGAAAATTCTTATACAGGCAGTTCTTAAAAGGAAACGCAGTGAATATCACATTGGATACTTCAGGGATACTCCTGAACAGGACACTGCATTCGTAGCAAGTAATGACAGTGCTAAAGATTGTCATATTACTGTTATGTCTAAAAATATCTTTGGAGCCGTTTAGTAAGTATTTTACAAAACTAAATAAAAAATATTTTTTATATACAACAGCTGCCTCATGTTTTACAGAACTGATTCCACGGAGGTATGCTTCCTGAGTCGCAGGTGGAGCTAGTCATTTAGCATCAGGTGGCTCGTCTGCTCCTTAGCCCTCATATACCATAAAAAAATAATTAAAAAGACTCATAGTTTATTATACAGTGTGATATCATAGTTGCCGTCCAAATATTTTTAGGCACTGGACATTATTTAAGGGCCCCATTTTTGCAAAAAAAAATAGTGGGTCAAATTTTCAACATAACATATTTCATCCCGAAGAAATTATTTAGTAGCGTTGTCACTAATTCAAACGTACAAAATAGTCTTAGGCTAGATACGTAAACAGTGAGAGAAAGAATGCATCGGGGGTCGCGGTGTGGCGGGGTGAGGCGTATGCAAAAAACGGCCGCCGGCCAGTACAAATGTGTGCGTTACCCCAGCAAAATAATGTCGAAAATGGACATTTAAACGTTATAGATAATTAGTTGCCGATAATTAGTACAGAAGGGGTCTGTAATTGTAAGGCATATTTTCTTATTTGTTTCACTTATTTTTTTTTAGTTATTTCAAAAAAACATTTCCTGCTGGGGTAACGTTTGAAACATTACCGCAGCCAGACATTTTCTTTTTTAATTGGAATATTGAAATAAATATTAGCTACATAATTAGTTATCTGGGCGAGGTAAATGTTACAACTTATTTGGTATTTGTAATTTCAATGGCTGCGAAGTTATTCGAGATCCTGCTGGCGTAACGTTCGTGGGTTTGCTGTATCTCTGAAACGGGTAACCGGATTGTAACCATCTTTTGTACATAACTTCTTAAGGATTAGTTTTAATTTGTTTAACAATAAAAAAATAAAAATCATGGACCGTTTAAAAATTATTTAAGTAAGTATAAAAACACTTCAATGCGCTCTAACACTTTGAATAAGACCTCTGAAGACTTACTTTAAACGGTATTATATTGCTTGTAACTGCCTTCAAATGTATACGAATTTTCGTAAGTAAACTGTAAGTGACTAAAAAGTTATTATGAAATATAGCTCTCCACGTTCACGATCACAATGTGTGTGGCCTTTTTTGGCTACCGATAAACCTGTGTGTGGATATATAAACTGAATGTTATGCCAATAATTAGTTGTTTAGTTCAGTTTTCTACCTGTAAAATTTCAGCGTCGTACATATAATAATTTACGAGATAATTAAATAAAAGGCATTAGAAGGTGCAAGACCGTGGTAACCCGACCATGTATAGGTGGTTACAAAAAAGCGATTACCCAGTACATTGTGCTGGCTTTTAAAATATGTAGGATATTATTTGCAAGTTTACTACGGATATGTACATGAGTGTTACAAAAAACTACATGTTTTTTAAATAAATTTTATTTAGGATTGTTTATTGCATAATTAGTAATTAGCCGGGAGATTAGGTAGGTATTGTTTTGAATGCTTTTGTTTTCTCGTAATGTTTTGTTAAATTGTTTATAGTTGTTCATAGAATTGGTACCTGTGTAGTGTTATTAATTGAAGTTACATTTGAAGTTTTATTTTGCTGGGGTAACGCACACAGTACAAATCCCACAATTAAATAATAAATAGGTCAGTCGGCCGCGTTTTGTCGCGTCGGTGCATCCTTTGTGTTTTACGCTCGTTCTTCCGTGACGTCAACGTGATTTATGTATTTTTTATTTATTTCAAACGTGCCCTTTTATTAAGTACTTCACTTACTAATTAATTGAAGTACTTATAGAAAGGGCACGTTCACGTACCTATTTGGATGTTTTGTTAGGTACTTTATTTATCAATGAAATGTAGCGAAGTATGCGGTACCGACGGAGAGGTCATTGACACTTGCGCGCCTACTGATTGTAGTGTGTCTACAAATTGCGAGTTCTTCAGACAAGTTTGTGATGCCAATCACTCAATATTTTTGTAACATGTGATACTAAACTAAAATCGGGTTTCTCATAAATGTTACTAAAGATTCTTCTGTGTTAATATGGACGACAAATTTAAAGTCATCTGTATATTTATTTTTTCAGTCAGTATCTGCAGAACGAAAAGAAGTATTCACCTTTTACTGCTGCACCATGTCAGAAACTAATGGACAAAATAAAATCATATGCTGAGGAAAATAATATTTCTTTAGAACAATTTAGTATGAAAGATAGATTAAAACAAATTGTAACGAAATCGTTCCATGGGGCTGGGATTGCTGTACCATACAACAAGCAGACGCAACTGGGCTACAGACGTTTGGCAGAAACAGATGGTATGTTTTTAGTAATAGTTACTTGTTATTATCATTTTAATCATCATGGAATATGTTTTCAATGGTGGAAGAGCAATGATTTTTCATAATGGGCGGCCCTGAAATGTAGTGATACAGCTGCCCCTCAGAGGCCCAAGTGTGAGTTTATTTCACATCTACTCGATTGTCACGGTAACTGCGTGCGGCGCTGCGATTGGCCCGCACTGAAATCTCCACAAATCACAACGCCAAACGCGCTCGCTGTCGAAAGCGAGTTAATGTGAAATAAACTTACATTAGGCCCACAGGAACAAGTGTTAAGCACTTCCTTCGTTACTTTTCACCATGTGAGTGAGGTCATCGAAGTCCCAATCAACCAACTCCTTCCTGAGTTTTCGCTAACGGTGTACCGTAACGCACTTGTTACTCTCTTACCAACAGGTGACCTGTCTGCTTATTTGACCTATTTCCATATATAAAACTTATAATATATATATATTATAAGTTTGTTTTGATTGAAGTAAACATTAACTAAATGGCAAAATATCTTTTATGAATTTGTTTTGACAATTGGTTGGACAAGGCTATAGGTGAATCTAATAATATATAGTGTGATAGTTAATTTTATTTGGAAATGTAAAACTGCAGAAATTGATAGGTGACCAATATTTTGGTAGCTTATTATTGCAGTAGCATATTTTTTACCTACATTACCTTCCTCTTATTGACATTTTACAACCAATGTAATTATGTCTTTACGGAAATTAACATACTCACGATATGTATTAAGTACATACCTTTTAAATTAATAATAATAATAATAATACTGTACCACATTCACACAACGCCATCTAGTCCCAAACTAAGCAGAGCTTGTACTATGGCTACTAGACAACTGATATAAATACATATATACTTTTTTTTTGTAAATACATAGAAACACCCAGACCAAATCAAACATTAAATGTTCATGCACACAATTGCCTGATGTTTCCACCAGGTTGCACTGCCCCTGGTCACAGGCTATCTACTGTGTGTTATTTCTCGTAAACATAATTATACAGTACGGAACGCCAACGGGTTATCGTCTGCGAAACGAAACCTTCAAGAAAAGAGCGTACTCCTTCCTAAAAGGCCGGCAACGTGTTTGTGACTCCTGAGTTGCAGACGTTCATCGTCGGCGATAGTCACATTCCATCAGGTGACCCGTCTGCTCGTCTGCCTCCTCTAACATAAAGAAAAAAAAAATTTGGGCTTATATTAAAAATTGTTTGGTTGTTTAATAAATTATATTGATATCATGTCTTACTTCTAATCTATTATGACTATTTTATTACAGCATCCTTGAAAAAGCTATTCACTAGTCTTGAGAATGCAACATCACAAGAGGACAAAGACAAGGTATTCTCTGACTTGCAGGTAGTAATAACTAATGCAAGCATAGCAGTAGATGAATGTGATTTTGGTACTGGATTGGAACTTGGTATTGATTTATTCTGCTCTGGATTGAAAGAACTACATTCTATTGCTTTGAGTAATCTGACCGCTGCGTACACTGTCTTGTCGAGGCAACAATTTGCACAAATAGCTCAGGTAAAATATAGTTTTTTTTTAATTTAATTCATTGTTTACTATTTAATTAGGCTAAAACAGAGAGAGAGAGAGAGAGGGATGTCAGAATGTTACTATTGTGTGTGATGATCTATTACTTTAGAGACTATTACATAAGAGATGATTTAGTGTTTTTTTATGAAATAAAGATATTTTGATACTACTATGACTCAAAAAGGCATCATATATGGGGGTGGAAAGAAAAGTGCGGTTAGAGCCAGTAAACCTTTCAACGAAGAAAAAATGATTTCTGTACTAATTTAAATCTTACTGTCACACATGGTTCAAATTAGGAAATCTTGTTATTTCTAAAACCATCATTAATATCAACAAAATAATAGACCTTTGTTCCACGAAATCATAGCTGGCGTAATACAATAATCGGTGTTAGATACAGAAATTCAAATATTTAAAAAAAATGGGCACTAGAGTACTCAGTAAATTGTCCGCGAATACAGATTGATCTGGAAAATACTATTACAAAATGAAATAATACAGACAAAGCGCCGATTTTTACTTTTAAAATTTAATATATTCACCCTTAGCATATTTTAAATAGTCAAAGCAGGATACAAAAAAATTATATACTTTTTTTATTTTTTGAAAATAATTGACAATAATTCATGCTTTCCCTTCATAATTGAACAAAACCGAACCTGTGCCCTCTGCAACCCAATATGATTACTATGTTCTATAACTTTAATTCAATCTTTCATCATTTGTATTTATCGAATAATAATACCCATACTAGAAAGACATACTTAAATATATTATCCTACACTGGTGCCTCATTCTCGTTTGGGGAAGGAAGCGTAGGAGAAGTACCTTCGATCCTGATATTCAGCTCGCGACTTTCTCACATTCACCAGCCCTTTTAGTACACGCCCGTCGGTTATGGGTGCTTTTAACGAGACCCTTCTTTATTACACTCTCGATCTGTTCGGTGTATGTCTTTCGGAGCCTTCTCACATCGGCGCGGTTACTCAAAGGGAATTAATTCTTTTAAACGAGAATGAAACGAGAATAACGGAAATTGATTACATTAGTTCTATGAGTATCCACGTCCACTTGTGTCGCGATATCTGGAACGTATTTATTAAATACCCGAACATGTAACTATGATAAAGTGGCAAAATTACTTCAGTCGTAATTCTGCACAATAGGTACTCTGATGACTAAAGTTTAAGAATAAAATGTTTTCCTTTTCAGACACATTTGAAATATCGGCGTAAAGGTCCAAAGATGTCGTTAATAAGTTCACAGAAATGATGCTAAGCTTGTAACTACATTTTATAATTTGTAATCTATTAAGTATTTTTATAAATATACAAAATATACATTTTACAAGCTTTTATTTATCTTGCCTTGTTGGTATAGGTCATGCAACTGAATTACTTATTGATAAGGTGTCATAGTAGATTAAGAGGTGGCCACGGGAAATCAAAGTAACTCAATTGTGTTTGAGTGATGTTTTTTTTTATGTTAGAGAAGGGTAAACGAGCAGACGGGTCACATGATGGTAAATCATTCTTTTTTTTGTTGGGGTGGAAAATCCCTTCGGATCTCCGGCTCCTGAGGGACGCAGGAGCCAGGAGTATATAGTGCTTCCACTAAAAACCACCACGACGGCCGGTCTGAGAACCCGGACCATGTTACTGCAGGTCCCCGCCGGAACGACGCTGCTCCTAGTAAAATCCTATCCCGGGGAAGCCTCGGGCTTTCCCCCAATGCAACAAGACCTAATCTTATTGTTTTGTTTTAGTATTAGGCTTCATTACATATAATAATACCTTATTTAACTAGTTACCTACGTAGGTAATGGCTTTGCTACATTGATTTATTAACTGTAAGTTACATGGTTGATATGGTATTTATGCTTATGATAGTTTTAATAATTAGTAATCACATTAATAAAAAGTAGGATATTCAGATATTTTTATAAATCAAATAATTTATTGACATGAAAAATGTTAAAATAATGTTTAGAAAAATGTGCTTAACAACAGCATGCACTTGCCAAAGAAAAAATATTCTTAAGATGTTTAGTATTTGAGACCGATTTAACGGCATTAAAGATCCAGTTTATTTAAAAACAACTTTTACTAAATATTTTTACATTTATATCAGCCCGTCCAACGAGATATGATTTATAGATCTATAGCTATAAATAGCTATGCTATTGGCAGTTTGCCAACCAGCGAATATGGACCAAATGTGTTATTAGATCTTTACCTATGAAGTTGGAGATTAGTATCAAAAACTTTAATATATATATTTTTTTGTTAATTTTATCCTTTCAAAATACAATTTCGCCATTTTAAATTTTTTTGACTGTAGAGGTTTGCTGGTCGGGAGACGATGAAGTCAGCGATAGTGTTTTGTACTGCCACTGGTGTTGATTTTTTCCCACTTAAAAATTGACTTAATTTTGAAAAAAGAAGATATTGGTGTAAAAAAGAAGATAAGTGTGCGGTGGGTGACGGAGTTTCCAGCTCAGCGTAACTCTTGTTGCTTTGCGATGGTCTGTTGTGAAGTGTGAGTTCACGCATTGTCGTGGTGAAGCGATTGACTAGTAGAGGTTGTTAAATTACGAGCTTTTACATCATTGTTTAAAATTCTTGGCAATATGCATCTACCGTCACTGTTGTGCCTTTCGGTAAGAAGCTGTGATGTGCAAGTCTGGTAGTCCACCAGACAGTCACCATCATCTTCCTATGGGTATTTTTATTTTATAAGAGCACTGATTTCGCAGATATATAGATACTGGCATTCGGTACATCGCTAGCACTCACATATAATGAAAGGTTCATTTTTGTTATCCGTATTTACGTAGATAAATGATGATTTATTATTATTAGTAAGTATAGTTAAGTGTCCTTAAGTTCTGTTTACAAAGTCAGGTTTAGCTTTGATAAGTAGATTATTATGAGTACTAAAGGCAATATAAAATGTAGGTACACAGCACGGACTGTGAAGCTATTCAAAATGACCTGAATGCTATAAATGAATGGGGTGTCGCCAAAAAAATTTAATTTAATTTCTCAAAATGTTCCGTTGTGTCTTTTGGTCGAATGCGACATCCCACCTTTTTCAATTACAAAATAAATGGGATTTTAATACACAGAACAAAATTTACAAAAGATCTGGGAGTTACATTCGATCAAAAGCTCATTTTCCACGACCATATCGCTACTGTTCCCAAAGAGGGGTTCAAAAGACTAGGTTATTACCCATACTTGTATCCAACAGACATTGAAAACCAGAAGAGCTTCTGATCAAGCAGTTACAATACTCAAGTATGTCAAGGTCTAATAGACGCTCCTGATCTTCACAGTGAGCTGATTCGACTCCCTGATAACTATCTATCTGTAGCAGAGGACACCGACTGTTAGCCGTACCCACGTGTCGTATCAAATCAAACTTTATTTGTTTAGAATGTAGGTAAAAATACAAATTAGATGTTGTGTAAGTAAAGTAAGTTCCTGGTACATTCTGCCATACGGCATACAAATCTTAAAATAATATTGTGAATAATTTATTGCTTACAAAAATTTATGACTGATAGTAAATAATTAAGATAATAATAAATAAAAAAAAGAACAATTATTAAATAAAATTAGGATATTAAAACCTTTTACATATGTCAATAAAATTATAATGAGAAATCTTTGTTTGTCAAAAAAACTACAAAAAATGTCATAAAAAATAAAACAATATAAAAATTAAATTGCATCATTTAAATAATCCGTGTGGTGACGGATTAAGAATACGGAGTGTCACCACCCCTATTCATCCCCTGGGTGTCGTAAAAGCCGACTAAGGGGAGAAACTACGCAGGACAACAGCGGCAAAGAGAAGGAAAACTTGACACAAACCCTATACCAACCCGTCTGGCCAGCGTGGTATAGTAGGCCAAAACCTCCTTTCTAAGGAGAGGCCTATATCCAGCAGTGGATTATTCAAGGCTGTTGATGTGATGATGTGAAATAATCCGTTAGACAGTAATAACATTTCTCCACCAGGAAGTCTGTCAACTTATTTTTAAATTGTTGAAGTGGCAAATTTTTCAATGCATCTGGTATTTTATTATATATTGTAGGCCCCATACACAATACACTTTTCCTTAGAAGTGCAGTTTTGAATCGGCCCGTCGATAACATGCCAGTGTATTGTGATCTTAACGGTGGTGTTCGTTTTCTGCTGTCATTAAATAATGGAAACAAATGTCTGTTAAATTTAACAAACATTGCTATTTCCAAAATATATAAGCACGGAAAAGTTAATAATTTAATATTCTTAAAAGCAGATACACAACTGTCCGTAGTTAATAAGCCCGCTATTGCTCTAATACAGCGTTTTGAAATTTAAAAATCATATCTCTATCCGTGCAATTCCCCCAAAATATAATCCCGAATCTCAACACTGAAGAAACCATACCGTGATATACTAATAGCAGTGTGTGTGTGTGTTTACCTTTTTTTGCAAGATGGAAGAGTGCATAAGCAGATTTATTTAATTTCTTGCATATGTTCTCTGCCTGCGGCTTCCATGAAAGCTGACTATCAACAAGAATACCCAAAAATCTTGCTACATTTACTTCCTGTATGTCTTGCCCATTACATTTAATGCAAAATTTGTCTATCATTCTGCGTTGGAAGAAATGCATTACTGTAGTTTTCTGTAAATTTATTACCAGATTATTTGCATTCAACCAATTTACTATTTTGTGTAATGTGTTGTTAATTTCCTGTTCATATGTATCCCTATCGTCACACGTAATTATTGCAGTACTGTCATCAGCAAAAAGAACCATTGGTTGTTGATTTTGGCGTGGAAGGTCATTAATATACATTAAAAATAATAAGGGTCCCAGGACACTTCCCTGTGGTACACCATAGACTGTACTTTTATAATCAGACCTAAACTTTACTTCACGTTTACTTTTTTCGTTTATACGAATTATCTCTGTTTACTGTCTACGATCACTTAAAAATGATTTTATTAAATCTAAAACATTTCCTCTAATTCCATAAGCGTTAAGTTTATCAATGAGAGTCTCATGTTTCACATAGTCAAATGCTTTAGACATATCAGTAAATATTGCACATACTGACGTCTTGTTATCAACCTTGACCATTATTTTACTTAAAAGGTCATATATTGCCATGTTAACATTTCTATTTTTTTTTTCTAAATCCCATTTGTTCGTCACATAGAATGTCAAATTTTATTAAAAAATTGTCAATAGCTTCGTAAATTACTTTTTCTATAACTTTAGAGAAAACTGGGGTTAGAGCTATAGGCCTGTAATTGGTTAGTTTATCCTTACAGTCTTTTTTATGTAGTGGTTTAATTATAGCTATTTTTAATTTATCTGGATATACACATACTACAATTAGTTATGTGACAAAGGGGAGCAGCTATTATCCCTCGCGTACTGTCTCTGTTCAATGGCCTCGTGGAATCCTACCCGGACTGCGATCTTTTCGGTGATGAATATCACGTCACAATTATTTTTCTGTTGACTTTTGTATATAATAAATAGATTTTGGTATTATGTATGTCATTTTATAGTGTTATATTTAGAATTTAAGTTTATTTTGACATAATTTTAAGTATATTTTTAAGAAATTTTAATTGTTACCCTGATTAATGTAATTGGTTTTAAGTCGTTTTAGTCTAATAAATAAACAACTAATATGATAATATATAGCAAACACCTAGGAAAAATAAAACATGTACCGTTTAATTAAAATTAAGTAGGTAAGTAGAATAGTATTCTATTCTGCTTTATTATACACCAATTACAATACGATAGATAAATATTACAGACGGATATGTACAATGGACGGCCTTGTTCCTAAAAGCAATCTCTTACAGGCAACCTTTGGATGGACAAATCGACAGTAGATGAGAAGAAACAATGGGTAGTCTAGGTGTATTGAAGCTACAGTAGTGTAAATTGCATTTGTATCAATAATCAAAACCTTAAGGTAACCTAACAACACAGACGATTTAAGCTTAAACTTAGTAAGTAATAACTATAGACTGACTTAGTAGGTGCCTACCGTAATAGACGAACAATGCGTTCAAATGAGATACGTAAACCCTTTATTGTGCCTAAAACCTTATAACTTAGTGCAAGAAAGAGAAAGAATGGACATCACAGTGATACAAGCACTTTGATAAAGTTGAGTCTACTGTCAAAATAGTATCTTCTTTTTTTTTTTTTTTATTATAATTTTCTCGTATGTAATCTTTCTATCATTTTAATGGATAAATTTAAAAAAAATACATACTTTTTGTTAGATTTTAGTGTAACATTTCACAGGTTCAGTTCCATTTTCAAAGTGTTTATTTCCGTAGATAATACGACACTAATTGATTATGCAGTACACTTTATTTATGCTATATGTTCACATCACATCAACTGCCTTTTATAGTCTACTCCTGGAGAGATAGGCCTCTCCTTAGAAAAAAGGTTTTGGCCCTATCATACTACGCTGGCCAGACGGGTTGATATAGGGTTTGTATCCAGTTTTACTTCTCTTTGCAGTACTGCTGTCCTGCGTAGTTTGTTCCCTTAGTCGGTTCTTACGACAACCACGGGATGAATAGGGGTGGTGACCTTTCTGCCGTCTCCTTCTGCGAGCAAGTTATGCTCGCGAAGGAGACGGCGGAGCGGGACCGGGAGAGGTTTAGGACTCTCCCGGCCCGCCAGGCCCGGGAACGGGCCAGGTACCGCAGGCGACTCAGGCGCCGGAGGTCGCAGAACGACCTCCGTCCTCCATAAGCGCAGGCCTGGGGGTGACAGGTGAGGCCATCTGTCACCCTAGCAGAAGCAGGCCGGGGTGGCGGCGAGCGCGTTGCGAAGCGCGCTCGCACAGGGAACATGGGGTTCCCACACGGGGGGGGGGGTCGTCTACTCGTCTGTAGATGACCCGAGGTATGTCGGGGCACCAGGGACTTCCTTTCTAGGGTATACCTGGTTCCCCGGCTATTAGTACCCGAGACGGCGTGCGGTTTTAGTCGGTTCGAGTCCGACATGCCACCGACAGGTGGTATCCGATTGGATTTCCGCACGGAAAAAAAAAAAAAAAGGGTGGTGACCTTCGTGTTTTATTTTCAAGTTCGATAAATACCCTATCTTATAAAGTAAATCCAGCTAATTCCTAACATGATTTAACACTTTTTTTTATCTTCGTTCTTAGCTTACCCGTTTTAGGCCACCTTCCCCTATATAAAATCTTCTCTATAACTAATATTTTCTTTAAAAAAATTGAATGGATATTATATTTTTAATTGTGGTATATTTATCAAAAGCTATCCTTTTATATGCTCAATATTTCTACAAAACAGTTTAGATGGTTTTACACCTGCCAGACCCCGCGACGCGACGGCTCAATTTTTTTTTCTTTCCTACTGAGTCGTATAAACTTTAATACTTCTTATTTTCTTTCTTGTAGAACTAATCCTTCGATCAGTCATACAGGTCATACAATCTTACAGTAAACAGCTGTAATAAAAATTGAGTATGTATGTGATTTAATGATATAAAACCTATCGTTAGTTTTAAGAGTGTAAATTAATTACTGTAATGATTGTATGGCTTGATGTAGTTTAAATAGCACAAGTCTTTGTAAGGCCTTTCACTCAGTTGGTGCCAGAATCAAGATCACATCTCCGACAATCATGGCGGAGATGTGATCTATTATATCAACGATATTATCAAATAGTAGTTGCTTTATTGACAGTGAATATTGATGCTTCGGATTTAGATAAAACGCACACATCGACTTTTCGGATCGTGCCCCTTATATATTAGCATAAGGCAGTGTGAAAGCAACAGATTTTTCACATGATTATAGATATTTCCATTACTCCAACCAGAACTACGAATTTCGACCTGCAATACTTAATAGAGGTGGAATTCGAATGTATGAGCGGCGCCCGAACTTACAGCTAGGCGAGACACGGCCGCCGACTTTGTATATTAAGGTCAATTTTAAAACATCTACAACAGACCTCTAATCGGGTATATTTAGAGAAATATTAACCTTAAATAGAGCATGTATTATTGAAATAAATATTTATTGATGGAGAATAACTATAAATTCAATTGTTAACAGATAGATAATGTTGATTAAGCATCAGATAATAAAAAGGGGTATTAATGTAATTAAGATAAGTTTATAAATCCAGATTTGTCTATTTGAGAGCCAAGTGTAAGTTGTTAAAGTTTTTTTACTGCATGTCATCTAATTACGAAAGGTAGTGAAAACTAACATACATAGGGAACTTCACATGTTCTTTAAAATCATTTTAAACATAAGGTAATAAGTCTTTATTCATTACGAAGTCAAAAACAATACAAAATTAATAAGCTTTGATTTCAAAACGCCTTCAGAAATTTTCAAATCAGTTCTCCAAATGAATTATAGGCTATTCTTTAGGTTTGTCGGCACTGCTTAAATGCAGAAATAGTGATAATGGGCAATGATCACTTCCATAAACCTCATCTCTTATAACATTATCACACAACGATGGTAATAATCTTTCTGAAATGATGAAATAGTCCAAACGCCTGAAACAATTTTTTTAGGTTATGTTTAAGTTGTTGACATAGACTGAAACAAGAAATAGGAAGATCCTAATCTCAGGATTAGTGACTCAATGTAGGCTGATTTAAATCAGATGCATTTAGAAAAGGTAATCAGTAATTTTTAGTTATTATGCCTAACAAACTCACGACCTCTGATTCAGAAAGATACAATATAATTAAACACTAAACAAACAGGCGAATCGTAATAATGTAAAACATAAGTACTTAACGTTTTATATGGAAACTAGCTGGCCCGGCAAACGTTGTTTTGCCATAGGTATACATTATTTCTAGAAAATATTGAAAAATAAAAAAAGGGGTGGGTCACCCCTAATTTTTTTTGTCCCTTGTCATTTAGGTGTATGAACAGTAGATGTTGGCCGATTCTCAGACCTACCCGATGAGCACACAAAATTGCATAAAAATCGGTCCAGCCGTTTCGGAGGAGTATGGTAACTAACATTGTGACACGAGAATTTTATATATAAGATATTACTTTCGATGGACTGATGACGACAATGTTTAGTTTGTGGATGTTTTCATGTCTAGAATTGTCTGTATTCAATGTTCCTACATGTTACGCGTATACATCCACGCACACCTAGTTGCTTTTAGTATCGTTGTATAAAGGTAACTTACTATTTAGTCATCTGTAGTTGCTTGTATTATTGATATTTTCAAAAAGAAAAATGCAACTTACCATCCTACGTTTCTAGCTCTGCTGTTAGACATGTAAGTCCAGAACGTGTATGCATCTGTTTTGTCAGGATACAAGTGCCTGAATGTATCAACAAAACCATCTCCCAGCAATTCCGACATGCCTTGTCGCTCTTCGTCAGTAAAACCTGCATTCTTTCTATTCGTCTTAGGATTAGCTAAATCTGCAATTTAGTTACATCCAGTTACATTACATAAACACAAAATCTATTTATTGTAACTAATGTAGTAAATGCAAACGAACTATAGTCCATTGGAGTTAAGAAATTACCCTGACCAATCAGGTTCCAAGCTTTCGTACGAAACGATAATTTCTTGGAACCTAATTTGTCAGGGGGCGGGGTTTAAACCGTCACTAATTTGCTAACGCGAGTGGACTATGAATATAATTAAATTTATTAATATACTCTACCTATTTCTTTGTGTGAAACATTCATGTCACCACAAATTATCACAGGCTTCTTCTTATCTAATTCCTTAACGTATTTACGGAACTCCTCGTTCCACTGCAGTCTCTTAGGTAGTGTGACTAGTTTCCTCCCTGAGTTCGGCACGTAAGTACACACCAAATAAAATTGCTCATACTCAGCAGTTATTAGGCGACCTTCTGTATCTAACTCTTCGTTTTGCAATCCGTATGTGACGTTCATTGCGAGTTTAGTAGTATAAAAGCCTACGCCAGCGTAGCCGTCCTTCTCGCCAGCCAACCAGTAAGCGTGATAGCCAGGTATATTTGTTAATTCTTTTGGCAGTTTGTCTTGACCACATTTCACTTCTTGGAGGCATAAAATATCTGGTTTTTCATATTTCAAATAGTCTATACAGCCTTTAGATAGCCAAGCCCTGATGCCACCAACATTCCAGCTCGATATTTTAAAATTCCATTGTTTACCATTAGTGTTTACAGAAGTATTCGAGAAGTTTAGAGATTCGAAATCTGTTAGAGATTTCTTTTTAGTCAGTGCTGTCTTATTCGAATCTTCTGTAGCTGAAATATAACTTTCACTTGAAATTGACATATTTTTACGTAAGATATAACTTTTTATAGAAAATATGTCAGTTATAAATTGGTTTTGAATAATTTACTTTGATTTATTTTACTTTATTAAAGAAAAAGGTTTTTGGACACAAAGCTGTTGAATAAAAATTGAAATTCAATATGACAACAGATTATCTGTTTATGTCCGTCCCATGGTTTTAAATGAGAAATAATATCACATGCTATGAGTGGCATAAGGATTAAAACGAATTATTATTATATTAAAACATGTCGAACAATTGACTGTCTGGGTCTGGCTGGTTGTACATAAGTTGTCATTACATTAAATTTATCATTAAGCATGCAAATGAATCATATATTCTCCTAGATTTTGAAGGCCCTTGCAACAACATTGTTCTTTATAATGAACAAATTAGCTACCATGCAAAGTAAAGGAATTATCTAGCATAGGTATGTAGTGTAATTTAGTTGACCTCAATAACTTACCCAGTTAGTTACCTCATAGCAAGCCCAGTATTATTTATTAAAACATATACATAAACGTGTTTAATGTGTAAGTAAGAAATAATAGCCTGTTATTCAATTACCTCTACATTACTGTGTATGTCCTGTATACAATGAATTAACATATTGAATTTGATACGATAACTAAAAGAAGGTATAAAATAATAAATAAAGCATTCAACATATATGTTTTAGAAAAGATTTATTAATTATAGAAACAATCATAGTACCTAATACAAACAATAATTGTCAATTATGATTAAATGAATCAGTATTACTAATTACCCTTTTCCTCTGCAGCTTTACGTCGTCGTTTAGTTGTGGGTTCAGCATCATCAGCCTCTACGGGTTCTGCAGCTTTCTTTTGGCCCCTTTTGCCCTTGGCAGGTTTTGCATCAGGAGCATCTTCTTCATCTTAAAAACATATATTGAAATGATATTCAAACAAAGAAAGTCTGTCACTTAAAGCTTGAAAATATAGAGGATTTAGCACAAGCCTAAAAATATAAGATTTTTGACTTCTCAGAATGATTGAGCATCCAGTTGTGCAGGAACCAATACCATGTCTGGGATGAATTGCATGAAAAAATCTATATGTTAAGGTAATACATTTAAAACAGTTTATGGCGACCGTTTATGTTTATAAAAACATCAATGTCCGCCTTATTAAAAGCATTTATCATGCATACTATCATATTATCATGCATACCTTATCAAGGGACTACATTTAACTAATATCTTCAGAGAATTATATATGTTAAAAGGACCAGCTGTGTTGTGAACAATTTGAATGGGTAACAGTATAATGGTCAATGGCTTTATGAAAGACGGTAACCTCTTTCGTAATTCGAACACTCGATCTCAATAATATAATATCTCGATAATTCTCAGAAACAAAATATTAAGTATAATCAAAGCCGGCTTCTTCATATCTTGTCAGTCAGTTTGTTACTTATCTGTACACAAGACACACCAAAATATATTGTCGATTTGTTTGTGAAAATTTTAACGTATCGCACAGAAAAAGAAAACAAATTAATATCGAGGAAAAATCACATATATCAAAGCTAGAGAGCAGAATTCCAAACAAAGACTTGGCAACAGAATATGGTGTATCACACTCGACAATTGCAACCATTTGGAAAGAGAGGGAAAAAATTCAAACCCTTTATGCCAGCATTCTTTTGAAAATGAAAATAAACAATATGTGATTCTGTCCCCACACATTCAATAATAGCACTTTGTACCTCAAAAACATCACCGGCTGTTATCGATTTTTAAGACTAAATGAGTACTCCCTTTGATGTCGTTATAACAGATTTTGACTGTTTACGGTTTCCTCTGTTCATATTCTGAGACTGACTTTAGATCAAATATGTTGCAGGCACTGTAGGCCTGTCATTTCCATACTTTATCATGAGACACAACATACAATGCTAATACCTTGCAATCCATATCACAACTTAGTCCACTAGTCACAAAATAACCAATAGTCAAGGACTAGCCTAATGAATTTGCTATACCTATTTATGCACCTTATTATTTCCAAAAATAACTAAAATTAACACCCTTAATTGTTATTGAAATATATGGCTTTGTAAAATCTTTAAGCAGCCTCAAATCCAGTATTAACAGCTTATTTCTAGAACAAACAATTTAAATAAAATGTTTTATCATTACCTTTGGCTTTTTCTTCTTTTTTGTTAGCTTTCCTCTTTTTGGAAGATGTTTCATTTTCTTCTTCAACCTCAGCATCTTCTTTTAATTGTGCTTTCTTGCCTTTTTTAGCTTTAGGCTCTTTTTTTTTAGGTTCTGGTTTCTCCTCCTCTTCCTCTTGTTGTTCTTCGTCGTCAACATCTTCCTCTACTTTTTTAGGTGGAGCCCTTTTTCTACCTTTTGGTTTTTCTTCCTCTTCAACTATGTCAGATCCATCCTCTTGTTCTATGTCAACTTTTGCAGTTTTTTGACCTTTCCCCCTACCACCAGACTTAGGTTTCTCTTCCACAGCCTCTTCTGTATCTTCGCTAACCTCTGGCTTTGCATTTTTTCTACCCCTACCCGACTTTGTTTCTGGTTTTTCAGCAGCTGGCTTTGCTTGCTTCTTCCTGCCCCTACCAGAACTTGGAGCTTCATCAGTGTGTCCATTAGCTTCTAGAATTTCATCATTTTGTTCACTCTCTTCAACCTGGCTTGAAGACTCATCAGTTGACTGGTCACCATTAGAAGCTGGTTTATCTTCATTATCACCACTTTCTACTTTCTTCTTTCTGCCTTTCTTGGCTGGTACAGCAACTTCATTATTTTTATCACTGGGCTGGTCATCATTTGTAGTTTTATTGTTACCTCGCTTTACTGTCTTTTTTTCTGCTACAGCAACAGGTTTATCATCTAAATCTACATCTGCTACTTCAGGCTCAGGTTCTATTACATTTTTTCCTTTGCCCCTGCCTTTTTTTGGTGCATCATTTTCTGCTAATTTTACATCAACAGCTTTCTGTAAAAACAGTAACATTTTAAACAAAGTTCATTACTTGGCATCCATTTGCCCATCATGGGGTTTGAAAGAAAATATCTATGCCTAACTATTTCAAAATTACTGTTACATTGTTGTCTGTACATCAGGACAAATATCCATGATTACAAGGACGTATGAATATATACTTTGGTCATAATGTAATTCGCGCGCTTTTAGGTTCTGAGAGGCTTAACAATAGTATTCATATTCAGCTTCTCACTAATGTATTCACAATAAACTCAATCTAAGGTTAGTTAATGTTAATACTGGAAGTAAAATTATAAAGTAGGCGTAACACTTGATTTAAGCATATAATCCTAGCACATGAAAGGAAGTCAATGTACCACTAAGTAAATCGTGGATTTCAGTAATTTTTCAACATAAACATCAAGAATAATTATCAAGGAACAACAAAATCTACTGAAGTACTATTACAAATGCTATTCGTAATAGCACACTTTGTTACCGACACATTGCTTTGTGTCCAAGTAGTCGTGACTAAACTAGCACCTTTTAAACACGTTTGTGTATTCAATGCAAATCCGCAAGATTTCACTGCATATACGTTAATGTACAATACCTTAGCTTTTGCAGACCTAGGCGCCATTGTCACGAGGCTAGTATATATTGAAATATCTTAGATTTCACCGTAATTCTATGCAAATTATCGCTTCCCTTGAATAAAACTGCGTTGTTGAATTAGCAAGAGCGGGCGAAGTTTCCGGTAAAATGACAGATATCTCGTACCGCCACTGCCGGCTGCCGCCAATTTTTGTTAACTTTTTTTTATAAAAGTTGCAATAAATGGCGGTAACAAAAATGCCGTCTTTCAACGGTGTCTATGGATTACCCGGAATATATTGTTTTGCTTTCAAAGAATTTCATGTGAAGTAGAGAACAACTATATTCAAAATTAAAACTGGTTTTAAACTGACAGTTGAAATTTGAACTTGAAAAATAAAGTAATTTAAACATGGTATAGTGGTTAAAACTTTCGACAAAAAAAAGAGGACTGCTTTGATAAACTGAAGGGGATTTACAGTGGTGGCCTTAGACAGTACGAGGCCCCGGGCTGATAGATCTTTGCGAGACCCTTGTGGAATTATTTTTAATGATAATGCTTAAAACAAACAATTCAACGCTCAGACATAAAAGTATAAACTGATGACAGTTCACACTGGAAACCTATAAAAATGAATTCTATCAATTTCCATAGAAAAATGCAATTAATTATAACAACAAAATAACTTTAACGTGCACAACTACAAAAAATTCAACCATTCGTCATAAAAGGATATTACTGGTTACAAGGCATTAATCTTTGTAGATGGAGTATTTCTAATACTTTGTGTTATATAACTCTTTTGGTTTAAACTTTAAACATTGCTCCTGAGTCTTGAGTTAAGTAGTACCGTAGGTATTTTCTTGGAACTGGTTCACTTCGTTTGGTTTTGCTTTTGCCATAGTAGACATCTTCATTGCTACATTATACTAATTTGTGTTCATCGTGCTTTATTTGTGACTGTCACTGTCATTCAAGTGTCACTTGTAGCAGCTGATGTCAATCAATCTCGTGGCAATAAGCAACGTGTTTCCTTATTGGAGTCGTTGTATTTTTATGAAAAAAATTGAATATCTCAATAAAACGTATATACAATGGTAAGTTTTTACAGTCTTCATGATTAAATAATAACTATAGGCTGTTAATAATCAGGTAACTTATTGTAAACATATATTTTGGTGTTGTTGTGTTATTTTGCCGCATAAATCATTTTACTATGATAAAATGCAAAATTACTTCTTAAATTGCAGGCTACATTAGATCGTAAGGGGACATTTAAGGTAGAGTACCTTCAAGAAATTGAGAAGAAGGTCCAGTCACAGTGGGACAATGAAAAGATTTTTGAAATTGAAGCTCCTGACGATGGGAAAAACTATGAAAAATTTATGTGTACTTTCCCTTTTCCTTACATGAATGGACGGTTGCATCTTGGCCATACTTTTTCATTATCAAAATGTGAGGTATGTAACTTTTTCAGTAATGAATGTACTGCTGATAAGTAGTTTTTAAAACTATTATAAAAAGATGAAAGTGGTAAATCATATGAATTGTATAATTATACATTGATATAATCAGCTAATAATTAACAGTTATAACAGAAGACTTGTGATTTTGCTGGAAAAGTTGGAAAACAATTTTTTGTCTATGTTATAAAATTTTGTGATTGTTTTATGAGTTGAGCTTAAAAAGTGTAACAAACAAACAAACTCTATTATTAATGGCATTATGTTTTTAAGTATTTATTTAGTATCAATCAATCACAATATATATAGTAGGCCAAAACCTCCTTTCTAAGGAGAGGCCTATGTCCAGCAGTGGACTATTAGAGGCTGTCACAATAAATAGGGAGGCGAGATAGACATCAATGCCCCTATATGAGGATAGTATTGATTCACAAATGTTATGAATGCAATTTACAATAAATGTAAACAAATTGAATTCTGCCTATGCTAAGCAGTTTTATACTTTTATAATATTAATTTGTCTCATCATCAACTATTATTTTGTTTTCTAAATGTTTAAAATATCTTTTACCTCCCATAAAAATATTTAAATCTTATAAGTTAAGCTAATTTTGATTTCCCTAGTATATACTTTCTGTTGACTTGTAATCAAGTGTTTGCAGGTTTAAACTCCATCCATGTATACCACTGACATGAACGCACACAAGCATTTATAGCTTACATATAAAGCTTATAATGTGTATATGTGTGTGTTGCTTATTTTATTTAAAAAGTATATAGAATATGTTTATCTCATCTATCATAACATTTTTTAGTTTGCTTCGAGATATTATAGACTCAAGGGTAAAAAAGTGCTATTTCCATTTGGATTTCACTGTACAGGCATGCCAATAAAAGCATGTGCAGACAAGCTGAAAAGAGAAATGGCTCTATATGGTTATCCTCCGGTATTCCCAGAGGAGGAAGAATCTATTGTTAAGGAAGAAGGTGATATTGTGCCAAAAGACAAAAGCAAAGGCAAAAAGAGTAAAGCTGTTGCTAAAACAGGAGGTGCTAAATATCAATGGCAGATCATGCAGAGTCTTGGAGTGCCTGAAGAAGAAATCAAGTTATTTGCTGATGAGAGTTACTGGCTAGAATACTTTCCACCACTTGCTGTTGAGGATTTAAAAAGAATGGGTATTCATGTAAGTGTATTTTTAAATAAGAAGAAGAACTGTTGAGATTTCAATACCCAACTCAATAACAAAGCTAAATAAATATTCATTTGCAGGTAGATTGGCGTCGTAAATTTATTACAACTGATGCAAATTCTTTCTTTGATTCATTTGTAAGATGGCAGTTCCAACATCTCAAAGAACGAAACAAGATTATGTATGGCAAGCGCTACACCATATTTTCACCTTTAGATAAGCAACCTTGCATGGACCATGATAGAAGCACGGGTGAGGGTGCTGGCCCTCAAGAATACACAGTTGTCAAAATGGAAGTATTAGACCCATTTCCTGAAGTTTTGAAGTATGTATTTCATGCTTGTTTTGTTATATATATATTTTACTTCTGGAGTACTACAATTAAGATTACTTTTTTTTTCTTTTAGGTCTTTTAAGTCAAAGAAAGTATTTTTAGTAGCTGCAACTTTGAGACCAGAAACTATGTATGGACAAACAAATTGTTGGGTGCATCCTGATCTTAAATACATAGCTTTTGAAACTATAAAAGATGGAGTTTTTGTCTGCACAAAGAGAGCTGCCAGGAATATGTCCTACCAAGGATTTACAAAAAAGGATGGAGAGTTCACTGCGTTAGCAGAAATTAATGGGCAACAGCTTATAGGAACTGCATTGAAATCGCCGTTTACTAGTTACCCTAAGATTTATGTTCTTCCTATGCTAACCATCAAAGAAGATAAGGGTACTGGGGTTGTTACCAGTGTACCATCAGATGCTCCTGACGATTATGCGGCATTGGTAGACTTACAAAAGAAACCAGCCTTCAGAGAAAAATATGGGATTGAAGATCACATGGTACTACCGTTCAAACCTGTCCCTATACTTGAAATTCCTGAATTTGGAAACTTGTCTGCTGTCCATCTTTATGACTTACTTAAAATTCAAAGTCAGAATGATAAAGATAAATTGGCACAAGCCAAAGAAATGGTTTACCTTAAAGGTTTCTATGATGGTGTGTTACTAGTTGGTGTATACAAAGGAAAAAAAATTCAGGATGTTAAAAAACTGTTGCAAACAAAACTTGTGGAGGAAAAAAGTGCTGTAATATATTATGAGCCGGAAAAGACTATCATATCGAGGTCAGGTGATGAGTGCGTAGTGGCTCTTTGTAATCAGTGGTATTTGGATTATGGTAATGAGGAATGGAAAAGTCAAGTGGAGAAAGCTCTCAATGCGATGAACACTTATCATGAAGAGGTTAAGAAGAATTTCCTAGCTACACTTAAATGGCTTCACGAGTATGCTTGCTCTCGCACCTATGGTCTTGGTATGTACTACTGTTTATTTAAATAAAATTAATAAGAAAACCATTTTACAGTGTTGTGGTTAGAGACATTTAATTTAACCTATTTGATTTTGTTTTTTTTTAGTGGCAAAAAGCTTACATGTCAGCTTCATAATAATTGACTATGTAGTATGAAGTCTATAGACGTTTTCGAAGACAATTCAGTATACTAAAAAACAGCTCTTCGATTTATAAGTTCCCAAATCCCAAATTTTTATATTTCAGGTTCCAAGCTGCCTTGGGATCAGCAATGGTTAATTGAATCTCTCTCGGATTCAACCATTTACAATGCATACTACACAGTAGCTCACTTTTTGCAAGGTGGTACTTATAAAGGCGACAAGGGGAATGCTTTGAATATTAAACCTGATGAAATGACCAGTGCAGTGTGGGATTACATATTCTTCAAAGATGCTCCATTCCCAAAAAAAACAACAATTGCAAAGGATTCCTTAGATCGTATGAGGAAATCATTCCAATTCTGGTTGGTATTTGTATATCACAAGTAGGAATACTTTTTTTTGTTTGTTTTGCTACTGAACTGTTTGCATTATTACTGAACTAACGAACTTGCTGACGTGCATAATATCGTAAGTTACGTGAGCGTTGGAAACCCCATAAATTAATATAATAATATTAATATATGGTACACCCAATCAACTCTTGATAGTGTTCGTTTAAAAATACAAAACAGGAGTATCAATACAATTAATACAAAGGTTCAATGATTTTACCTGAAAAAGATGAAAATCGCTGAACTGCGTAGTAGTAAAACAAATGCTTATAAAGGCATAAAAAATTGTAGTATTATTCTATTTGTACAGGTATCCAGTTGATCTTCGAGTGTCTGGAAAAGATTTGATCCAAAATCATTTAACATTTTATATCTATAACCACTGCGCTATCTGGCCCAATGAAGAGGACAAGTGGCCTAAAGGTATTCGTGCCAATGGACATCTCATGTTAAACTCTGCTAAAATGTCCAAGTCTGAAGGGAACTTTTTAACTCTGAAGGAGTCAATAGACAAGTTTAGTGCTGACGGTATGCGGCTGACATTAGCTGACGCCGGTGATTCCGTTGAAGATGCAAACTTTGTTGAAAGCACTGCCGATGCGGCTATTTTGAGACTTTATACTTTCATAGAGTGGGTGAAAGAAGTTATTGCTACGAAATCAATCCTACGGACAGGTAATGATTACTTTTTACTTTTTAATGGTTTATAGGGCAAAGATGGTCATCTGGTAGTGCCTACCACCGGCCAGGGATACCTGTAACTTAAAGGCTAAAATTGCAAAATTGCGCCAAAGCACATGGGAGTCGCATCGGGGCGAGCCACAACGCAATAACCAGCCACCAGCAGTGGACAGCCATTGCTCCTAAGTTTGAATTAAATAATAATAACGCCTGGCAAGGTGCGACTCGCCTGTAGTGTGCGATAGCTCATATAAAATGTACGAAAGTGATGTAGGAAGATTTTTGTTATGCAGTGCGGCACTGTGCAGCCCGCCATATTGTGCACTGAGCCAGAGGCGGGGGTCTCCTTACTTAATTAATTTGCTTAATAATTTCTTGATGTGTGTAGTGTCAGCGTACGAGGCTTGGATTCGCTAAAAATCTACCTAAGAAATATAAAACCAAATAATAGAAAATAATGGACGATTTAAAGTAAAAGTCAAGAGTTATGAAAAATAGCCATTGTTAATGAAATTGATATTTAATTTGTGACACGATTCGTGATGTATGTTGGTCTTTAGTTTTCTAATTAATACTGTTTTATTTCATAGGACCGCACAACTTCCACGATAAAGTGTTTGTCAGCGAGATGAACACTAAAATCAATCAGACAGATGAAAATTACAGTAGGATGTTATTTAAAGAAGCATTAAAGACAGGTTTCTTTGAGTTGCAAGCAGCGAGGGATAAATATAGGGAATTATGTGCCGATGGGGGTATGCACACAGAGCTTGTCACATTGTACATTGAAATACAAGCCAAATTGATGTCACCTATTTGTCCTCATGTTGCTGAGCATGTATGGGAGCTACTAGGAAATGTAAGATAATTTTTATTTATTATTGGTTTTTAATAAATAAGTCTTGCTATTATTTAGGGTTTTATATTTAATACAATTTAAAATTAAAATCAAGACTCAAGCAAGTGTTGTCGTGATAACGTCTTATAAATCGATGAACGCCGGCTGCACGCACGTAAAAGCATGACTCTTTGTCACGTTCCGCCTGAGCCGAACGTGCAAGCGAGAGCGCGAAACAAGCGAAAGAGAGTCACGATAATAATGAATTATTATCGTGCCTTCAATTCATAAAAGTATGCAATTTTTCATCAATGTTTTCTTATGACGTTATCACGTCAAATTATCGTCCGTAAACCGACTTTACAGACAACCAATTTTTTTAAACAACTAGGACGCGTTGCTATAAGATCTAGTGATGTGCCGGATCGTTAACAAAGTATATCCGCGGATACAGATCCGGATACGGATATTTGGTGTCAAGATCCGCGGATACGGATACGGATCTTAAGTTTCTTACTCAATCGGAGCCCGTGATCTTGATAGTTGTCGCCACTTGACGCTTTGCCCTTGATATTTAAATATTTCATTATTTTATTAAGCTAATACAAAGATGTTTGATTGATCTCATTATAAAGATAGCTCTTTCAGTACCTACGACCTGCCTAGTTGATTTAGTGTAGTACGATAAATGATTGCAATACAAAGGTGCCAAATATTTGTTTTAAGAAATAAAAAGTAATCTGAACAGAATTCAATAGTTTTTCATAGCTACCTAATAACCATTATTCAGGGTTATTTTAAATTTACTGAAAACCTCTAAAGTGCGTATTAGTAACATTATAAACAACAACTTTTCTTCTGGACTAACACCGAAAACGAAAGAAAAAAAATTGTTTCTCCATACAAATTAACAACATTTGATTGGTCATTTGAATGGAGAACCATTTTTTTTTTTCATTTTGACGTTGACCAGAAAAAAAGTTGATGTTTATAGTGTTACAAACACATACCTAAGAGTTTTACAGTGAATACAAAATCACCTATATAGAATTTCATCTATATAATATGTATTGAAAGATCCGCCAAAAAAGTCACGGATACGGATACGGTTACGGATCTCTCTTCTCCCTTGGATATCCGCGGATACGGATACGGATATCCGGCACATCACTAATAAGATCTATAGTATAAAAAGGTTTGTTATAACTATCAACTAACCTGTGCATCGGTAATCTTTTGCCAGCATTAGTTCGACATCGAGTAGTTGCAAAAAATTTACACATATTATTATTATTATTGCGTGTCCGTGTGGTGACGGATTAAGAATACGGAGTGTCACCACCCCTATTCATCCCCTGGGTGTCGTAAAAGCCGACTAAGGGGACAAACTACGCAGGACAACAGCGGCAAAGAGAAGGAAAACTTGACACAAACCCTATACCAACCCGTCTGGCCAGCGTGGTATAGTAGGCCAAAACCTCCTTTCTAAGGAGAGGCCTATATCCAGCAGTGGATTATTCAAAGCTGTTGATGTGATGTGATGTGATTATTATTATTTATTTATTTAAAACATTTACAGTGTCTTTACAGGATCCTTACCCCAAAACGATACTGTAAGTAAAAACAGTAAGTAACAATTATTTTATAAAGAAAAATTCCGTGAACGTGTTACGGCAACGAGTAAAACCTTGTGGGTACTACATAACTAAGTTTGCTCGAAGTGTAACGCAATCGTAATTGCTATGGCATTGGTCATACAGTAACATTGCTTACATATGTAAATAGGTTAAGGGTAAACATAAATTTATTACTAGCAAACTGGAATTAACGCGGCTGTGATATTTTTAAAACCCCATACAAGCTGGTTGAAACGCCAGGCAATTTTAAAGTATCACGTATTTTAAATTACTTATTATTTTACTAAAGAACGGGAATTAACGCGATTAATAGATATACGGATGTAGACATGAATTTAACGGGCCTGTGGTCCAGTGGTTCGATTCTCACCCAGGAAGAACGATTATGTGATGAGCACGATCATTTGTTCTGTGCCTGGGTGTAATTTATCTATATTATGTATGTATTTAGAAATAAATAAGTATGTTTATCAGCAGTCTGATTACCATAGTACAGGCTCTGCCTAGTTTCTGATCAGACGGCCGTGTGTGAGATGTGTGAAATTATTATTATTATTATTTGTTCTGTCTGAGTGTTATTCATCTATAATATGTATTTATTTAGAAATATATAAGTATATTTATCAATGATCTGGTTATCATAGTGCAGGCTCTGCTCGATATAGCTCGAATAGTACAGGATCAGACGGCCGTGTGTGTGATGTGTAAAGATATTATTATTTGTTGCAGTTTAATTTTTTCGATTAATTTTATGACTTATTATTGTATTTAAATTGATAATAATTTATGAATTTCAGTACTAATCGATCGCTGGGCGTTTGGTTTAAACAAATAGACGATATGATTTGTGTTCTATTTATTTTCACAGAAAACCAGTATTCTTCATGCTACCTGGCCTGTGGCTGGAGAAATCGACGAGGTTTCTATTAAGGCTAGCAATTACCTAATGGACGCGGCGCATTCTTTCCGTATTTATCTGAAGAATCATTGTGCTGTTAAGAAACCAAAGAAAGGAGAAGCACCAAAACCGGAGAGGAAACCTAATAAGGCTGTAATTTGGGTAGCGAAAGAGTACCCTAAATGGCAACATATTATATTGACGACATTAAAAGAACTTAGTGGAGTGAGTGTAGTTTTAATTATTTATAGTGTTATGTATCTATATACAGGCCTATTAGTTTATTGGAGGCCCTGCCGGCCTATTGGAGGCCCTGTGCAAATTAGTTTAATGGGGCCCCTACGAACTGAGCTGAGCACTATTTTGTTAGAATAAAAAAAAAAAGTATTGTAGTTAGTCATTACAAATGAATTTTTCAAAATAAATATGTTTTTTTTTGGTGAAAAATATCGATTTTCGGTTGGTGATCTTTCAGGAATCGGGCCCTGTCGATCGAGGGGCCCTTTTTTTTTTTTTTTTTTTTTTTTCCGTGCGGAAATCCCCTCGGATACCACCTGTCGGTGGCATGTCGGACACGAACCGACTAAAACCGCACGCCTTCGCCGGGTACTAATAGCCGGGGAACCAGGTATACCCTAGAAAGGAAGGCCCTGGTGCCCCGACATACCTCGGGTCATCTACAGACGAGTAGACGACCCCCGCCCCGTGTGGGAACCCCATGTTCCCTGTGCTCCCTGGAAGCGAGCGCGCTTCGCAACGCGCTCGCCGCCACCCCGGCCTGCTTCTGCTAGGGTGACAGATGGCCTCACCTGTCACCCCCAGGCCTGCGCTTATGGAGGACGGAGGTCGTTCTGCGACCTCCGGCGCCTGAGTCGCCTGCGCTGCCTGGCCCGTGCCCGGGCCTGGCGGGCCGGGAGAGTTCTAAACCTCTCCCGGCCCCGCTCCGCCGTCTCCTTCGCGAGCATAACTTGCTCGCAGAAGGAGACGGCAGAGTTCCACGCACTCTCGCTCCGCACGATAGCCGCAATCAGGCTATCGAGCGAGAGAACTCCCACTCCGATGGCCGCCACGAGGTCTCGCCTCTGCTCAACCCACGCCGGGCACTCTGCCAGCGTGTGGAGAGCCGTGTCCACGGTCTGGCCATCGCAGTGGTGGCACTCAGGCGTTGGCTCCTTGCGGATCAGACACAGGTGATCTCCGAAACATCCCTTCCCAGTGATCACCTGCGTCAATCGGTATGAGAGGGTCCCGTGACGCCTCTCGAGCCAATCCTCCATAACGGGTCTTACCGCCGCAATGACGGCGTGCCCAGATCGAGGGGCCCTGGGTTTGATTGTTTTTTCTTATACATAATAACGTATCTGGTGGGTAAAGGCTTCAATAGTTAAAGGGGTGGGGACAAGGTTTACAGTCTTTCCATGCATATTCTAAGTATTTACTATGGATCTACCATATGCTCTTTACCGCTTTTTTCGTATACTGTAATTTTAAAAGAGAAAGCGAACAGATCAGTGACCTCATTATCATAGTAGAACATGTACCCTGTTATAATTTGTAAATTTCATGTTATTTATACAGGTAGCTGGGTTGCCGGACAATAAAGCGATCTCAACGAAGTTAGGTGGTGCACCCGAGTTAAAGAAGTACATGAAGAGAGTGATGCCATTCGTCCAAGCAACAAGAGAGAATATGGAACGGATTGGCGTTGAAGCTCTTTCCGTGGGTCTACAGTTCGACGAGGCGGCCATCTTGAATGAAAATAAGCTTTATCTCCTCAACACTTTAGATGTAAGCAGTTTTGATGGCTAACTTGAGATTAGTATTTGTAGTGTTGAATGTTCTTGTCATAGTTGTAGTACCTACTACTGTCCATATACATACTTCTTCTCTTACAAGCTGTAAGTTCTTCCTTAGAGGTTGTGAAATAGAACGATGAAGGAAAAATATATCAGCGGAATTGAGAAAATCTTAACACTGTACATATACCTATTAATCCTTTGAGGTTGTTGTTAAAAAAAAAATTAAGCATTTATTTCTGCATTTACTTCCATATTTCTACAATTTCTGACATGTATTCTAATAATTTCTAAAAATATCACGATGTTTGCGTGTCCGTCTAGTTGGATTCAATCGAAATCAAGTACACTGACGACCCCGAGGCTCCGGAGAAAACCCGTGAGGACTGCGCTCCTGGTCAACCACACGTTACCTTCAGCGTTGAAGCGGGCCTCGACGCTACATTCATTAATCCCGTTCCTATGAACGGGTTCTTCACAGTATCCACGACCCTATCAGACGGAGACACTGTCGAAAGGATCAAGGCTAAAATTGCTAAAGAAGTCAAAGCTATCAAAGGTATGTAATATATTGCTTCTTTTTATGTCCTTTATTTAGTGTCTCAGTGGTCACTTTGAGTCGGTCTTAAAATAATTATTTGTGCTAGGTATGTATTATCAGTTATTTCTCAAAATAACTAATGATAAGAAATAACTTTTTTTGATTAAACGAGCAAAGTAAGTTTGTTCTGAATACTAATATACAGATTCTCAGAATTTTAAAGGAGAATGCCAATTCTCCGTACCGTATTGAGCACATTGACACCACAACTTCTGTTTTATTTATGTGTAGAATGTATTGATTTTAAACCCTCTTTTTTTAATCGCTTTAAAAATATATCAAAAAAAGATCATAGATAATTAACAATTACTTACCTACTTCCGCAACAAATGGCAGATGCATAACGTTTTTGTGCCGTAACAGCTGTCAGCAACTTTCGTAAACTGATAATGAGCATAAAAATCTTGTTCACTCAGTTAGCTCTAGCTGCTGTCTCGGTTAATAAGGTTATATAGTGGGCAATAATTAAAGAAACACTTTATGGCTGGTTCGTTGTACTACGAGAATACATTTATAAAATTTGTGAGATCGAAACTATATCGGAACTGAATATTGAACGAATTTTATTACAAGAATTGATCTTCTGAGCGCGTGCAAGTAAGAGGCAAGCGACTTCTTGTGCCCGTGTAGTATATCAGCTATAATATATACTGCAGGCTTAAACGACTGCACGAATGGCGTAGTGGTTTAAGCGGTCACCTCGCCGCTTCCTACTACAATCAGTGTTGTGGGTTCGATTTTTACATGGGATAACACTTTTGTGTAATCTACAAACTGTTTTTCTGATTCTGGCTGTTCTTTGTGTATGTCTTTAAAGTCCCCCCAGACACAAGATATATTCCTAGTGCGCGAGTTCTTTTTTAAAAATAAATAAATACTCATATGTATAATATAAATTATAATAATCACGATTAAAAATGGCTAAAAAAATATTATAAGGCGTTTTTTTACTTTTTTTAATATTTAGAAAAAGCGGTTTAACATAGGTTAAACTTGTTTGGTAGTGAAAATTCAAATAAAAGCTAGACTCGATAGTAAATTAGTTTTGACGCCCGTTGGTACGGATTCTTATACAAAAATTGGCATAGTCCTATGTGGATTGGCTCCTTTTTATAAAGAAAAGAACAGTTATAGCTCTCCGTTCTCCTACGTTTAAACTTGTTTAATTCATAACCTTTTTTTCTTTGCAGACTTGAACTCTCTGAAGTTATGGCGTTACACGGATCCTATTATGGGGCCTCGATCAATTCCTGTTCCAGACGATTATGTCAACAAATGTGTTGTGTTAGACAATGCATCATTATTAAAAGTGGACTTAACTACTTCTACTGTGGAACTTGTTGCGAACGGCAAAAACCTGCCCATTGGCACCAAATTTATATACACCTATGATAAATAAGAACAATTATTCATTATAAACGAATAAACTATTTATTTTTACGTGTTTTTAAATGTTTTATTTTCCTCATACTAAGCTTTAAAAAAAGAAATAGCATGACTGAATACAGTCATGCATTGCACCCGATATCAGTTGGTCGAATTATTTAATAGATTATCCGTCTATCTTAAAGAGATAGCATAGAATGCAATACAAATGCAATTAAAAATCCAATGTCATTACAATCTAGTCAAAATTGTGGAGCAATGAATACGGACGGACGTACGGCTCGACAGCCGTTGGGCCGCCGCATTTTAAACCTCATATCGCACCTTTAAAGACAAACCGTTTCTAAACGAAAATATACAATTTTACACAGGAGCTAAAATAAGAAAAATGCAGGACCTTTTTGCAATAGCATTTAAGATTATGGTGGTTTGAGCCATTCTTTATGGTCATAATGATAGATATTTATTTACACTATAACATTAAATTCAGAAAAGCTATTTTTTTTTAATAGAACATTGTAAAATCCCCATATAAATTATGTAACAAAATATAAAAATACTTGAAAACCCATTATAATAATGATTTTACAATACTACTAAATTGAAAATATTATAATTAGCATTCGCTCAAATTGTAACTGGACAGATAAATAAAATAACACATTCTAATCAATGTTTTATTCTCATTTAAAACGCGAGATCCATACATTTCTTTGACATTATGGCACTTAAATCTTTAGCATTGCTAGGATGTCTTAATAATCAGTCTTTATTCAGTATCTAGTTTTAAACCACAGCAAGTTGTCACTAAACTTCCGTCATCACTCTTTAACGAACAATTCACAATTAGTATAGACACGATATTGCATTTAGCAAGCAAATCTTATTTAGTTTTGTAACGGTCAAAACCGACGCCATCTATGTCTAAAATTGGATTTTTTTGAACAGTGTCAAACTCATCGTATAGTTTACGTAGTTTTAAGAAAGATGGTATTAATAACTCAATTCTCCAAAAATTTCGTTTAGTAACGGTTTGTCTTTAAAGGTGCGATATCTTCTAAAATATCCATTTTAATGGTATGCTGTAATGAGCAATTTCATTAAATGCACAACGTATCTAACGTATTTAATTGGATAAGGAATACTAAAGTTAGATGAAATTCTACCTGTGATTTGTCATATCCTTAACTATTCCTTATCCAACAGTGTTTTTCCATCTGCATGGAAAAGTTCTCAAATTATTCCTCTCCCTAAAAAAAGTAATCCTTCTTCTCTTTCAGACTATCGTCCAATATCCACTCTTCCCTTTTTCTCTAAAGTCCTCGAACGTCTTATCTACACGCAGCTTAATTCATTTCTTACAAAAAATTGTCTCCTAAATCCTCTCCAATCAGGCGTTCGCTCCGGCCACAGTACTACCACAGCTCTTATTCATATTACGGAGGATATCAGGTCCAACATGGAGGAAGGAAAGTTAACGGTCCTTGCCTTGCTTGATTTCAGTAACGCTGTCAACACCGTTGATTTTGATATCTTGCTCGGAATATTGCGCTCTCTTAACCTATCTCCAACAGCAATTGACTGGTTTCATAGCTACCTGTACGGTCGTCAGCAGCGTGCTTGCATTGGAAATATTTATTCCACTTGGTGCACAACATCTGCGGGCGTACCTCAGGGCAGCGTGCTATCCCCATTACTCTTCGCAGTGTTTATCAACTCCATCACAGATCGCTTACTTTCTTCCTACCACCTTTATGCAGATGATCTCCAAATTTACACTAAAGCTTCTCCAGCTATACTATCTGAAGCTACCAGATTGGTGAGGTCAGTCGTAAATTGTTTGCTGCAGCGTGCTCTCGGAGATTTTTGTATCGGTAGGAAGAAAGTGCTTCGTAACTTTCTTCCTACCGATACAAAAATCTCCCTAGCACAATCTCTTCTTTTTTCCCATCCTGGACTATGGTGATGTTAGCTAGCTAGGTCTCTCCGAAGACCAATTAAATAAACTTGAGCGTCTCCAAAATGTCTGCATCAGATTCATATTCGGCTTACGCAAATATGATCATATTTCTGAGTATCGAATTAAGCTCAAATGGTTACCTATACGCCTTCGCCGGAATGTACATATTCTTTCTATTCTATACAGTACTCTGTTCCTCCCACATACTCCAACTTATCTCAAAGAACGCTTTGAGTTTTTACATAATTCACATTGCAGGTCCTTGAGATCGTCAGAGAATCTGAAGTTAAAAATGCCCAGGCACACCACACAATTTACTGACAAATCGTTCTCAGTGCAAGCAGTTCGACTGTGGAATAATCTACCGGAAGCAATTAGGCAAGCCAAATCACTGCAAACATTTAAAAAGCTAGTCACTAATCATTACTTGGCATCATAGAGGAATTTGTGTATTTATGTAACTCTGCCTGTATGTATTTATATATGTTGTATGTATTTAAATATATAATATACTGTAAACGTATATATTAGTAACCTTATGTTTCTATTGTGTTTTTTATTTATTTTTTCAATTTGTTGTAATTGTACATCCCAGGCTACCCTATTTTTTTTTGACAATATCCGTACAAAGGTTGTCTGTAAGAGATCGCCGTGAGCGATAAGACCGCCTATTGTTATACCGAAATGTATTTAATATCTGTATATATAATACTTCCATGGTGTACAATAAAGAGATAAATAAAAAAATAAATTAAGTTTTGTTTAAAAATAGCTTCTTAAATAACCCATATTTTTTTTGTGATTTTAAGATAAAAATGGTTACAGTGGGTTGTCCTTAGATCATCGGGGACTTTTTTGTAGATCTTTTTAAGACATACAATTCCATAGAACATTATTTTGGTCTATCTAGTAAAGTTTAACCAGTGTTTGCAATGTAAGCGCACAAAAATGTTGTTCACGAGAAATCTTTGAAGTTCTCGGATTTTCTCTACTATAATATGCACTTATTCTCTCTCTCTCTCTATTGGTGAAAACCGCATTAAAATCCGTTGCTTAGTTTAAAAGATCTAAGCGTACAACACAAAAAGCGTCAATTTTTTACTATGTAAAGATATATATGTGTTTATAAATATAAGTTTGCCTATTGGGACCAGATGGCCGTATAAGACGTGTAAAGTTATTATAGTTTTAATGCTTTCCTTTCTTGCTCAGTACAAACATTCATAAACACGAATATTGGCATGGAGCTAGATGTCCTTCATTTCTTAATAATGATTAAGACAAGTATTTAAATAAATGTACAGACATCAAAAGTAAGTTTAAAATGACGCTAAAGTTCGAACTGAAGGCATTTAACTAAAAATTAAAGAACACACAACAGATAAAAAAAGAACTGTCGCGAAAATAGTGATTTTAATAAAGAACGATAGCGATAAATGAAAAAAAAAATGTGTAACGGAATCTGTTTTATCGCATAGGCGATAACAAAATAGGCCGGCCTATAACGGAAATGTTAGTGTTAAATTAGCTATAGAAACGTAATATTCTATGATTAAACTTTACGCAACTTCAAAGTAATAAAAGTCTCATTGCGGTATAAATAGATTTATAACATATATGTATAATGACATAATAAGTAAGGTGTCATGAGGCCGCGCTAGGTGGGCGCGCCGGACGCGAACAGCTGCTCCAGGCCCGCGCCCTCGGGCGCGTCGATGGCACTGCGGGGCTTCTCCTTCACTATGTGCATGGTCGGCAGGTCCAGGATGTACACCTCCTTTCTGAACAACTGTCCCACGTTTCGTCCGATCAACTGTAAAACAAACAGATTCGGCGACATATTTACTACTATGATGTATAGACTACAGACATTTGAGCTGTACGGTCCGCCTTCGTACTGGTTGTTGGCCTTTTTTTTTTATTTTCCGTGCGGAAATCCCCTCGGATACCGCCTGTCGGTGGCATGTCGGACTCGAACCGACTAAAACCGCACGCCGTCTCGGGTACTAATAGCCGGAGAACCAGGTATACCCTAGAAAGGAAGTCCCTGGTGCACGGTTGAGTTGGCCTGTATATAAATGTCTATAGCGAGATCGCCTTAATATTTGTTACTTTATCGAGGACTTTCTTAATACAATAAACCCATCATACTATTGTTGTCATGCTGCCTTTTTTATTAAGTTAATTGATTTTTTTGTAAGTAATCAGTTGTATAAATATACGTGACAATAATTTGTAATCCACATAGAATGTAGTCCAAATAAATATGGTATATTACCTTACCATACATACATATACAATATGACAAGAGTAATTGAAATAGTAAGTTAGGAATTGTGAATAATGGCCCGACAGAATAACTAATAAATTTCCTAGTCGATTTATGTTACCTAATTTCGATGCAAGAAAAGAAAATAAGAAATAAAGATTACATCTCATCACACTTTTTTCTTTGGACTCTCATAGCAAAATATGTTTCACTTTTAAGATCAAACGTATCACAGCTATTATGATGCTCTAGTGTCTATTAAAATCTATTAGTATAATTACCCTGGAGGTGATCTTCTTGAACAAGTCGCGTTTGCTCTTGTCGATCTTGGAAGGTTTGGCGTTTTGTGCGGCGAGCTTGTCGTCGAGGCGCTGCAGGTCGTGCGCGTCCACGTCGGGGATGGAGCGCAGCACGCTCGCCACGTCCGGGAACAGCGGCCGCAGGATCTCGTACGTCTAAGTACAACAACATATTGTTCCACCACTTTCTGCTTACAAGTGTTTTACAGTGTATATTCAGAACAATATAGGGATGTACTTTGTTTGATGATGTTTCTAAACCCCATAATAATATATACTAGAAGGCCAATTCTCGTAATAAAAGTTCGGTCAAAATTCAGTTTCGATCAACACTCGATCTTACAACTGTTATTAAAGGTATTTTCGTAGGAAAGTATTAAATATTGAACGTAGACTGTAATATGATTATATTGTATTGTGAGCGAAAATTAAATTGGTAATCTGCTAGACTTAGTAATGCTTTACTAATTTTACTACGAAACACCTTTTATGACAGTTGCGAGATAGAGAGTTGATCGGAACTGAATTTTAAACGAACTATTATTACGAGAATTGACTTTTCGGATACTGCTATGGTAGTACAGTGCACATAGTGAAATTTATTTTGGTTTACAAATAGAATTTTTCAATTTTTATATTGTTAATTGTAGGATTTTTGTGATATAGGGGGAAACGAGCAGACAGGCCATCCGATGGTAAGCGACTACCGTCCCGCCCACGAGCACCTGCAATTCAAGTGTTCAGTGTGACTAGTCGAGGGTGTTGCTAAATAGCTATCAAGGAAATCTTTGAAAGTACACGTATGTCATATGTCGCAAACTAAACCACATAAATGAGTATGGTTTTTATTTAAAGAGAGTAAAGTGAAAGCGTAGTACCTGCACGGCGAGCGCGAGCAGCGCGGCCTGGTTGGCGTCGTGCTGGCCGTGCACGCGCAGCGCCTGCAGCACGGCGCCCAGCGCGGCGCTGGCCTCGCCCGCGCCCACGCGCCCCGCGCCCAGCGCGCCGCGCAGCGCCGGCCACGCCAGCGCCGTCGCGCGCAGCGACGACATCGAGTCGCTCCACGTCAGCGCGCGCAGCACCTGCCCGCGACACGACGTTATTTCACGATCATCTCCACATCTTCTTAGGTTTACCTTTTTGGAACGAAGTTCCTTATCGCGCGTTGCACGCTCTAAGCGGCTGGGAGTGAGACCGAAAAAAAAGTAACAAGACTTTTGCCCGAAACTTCTAGCGGAATTTCGTTCTGACCATAGACTCCTCACGCCGTTTTTTCAATTCAACAGTCACCATAGACCACTACTGTGCTGTGTAGAGGATTCGATCCCAGGATCCCGGATCCCGATCATATTTTAGTCCTGAAATTTTCGGGATCAAATTTAATGAATCCCGGGATTTTCGTTATTGATACATTTTTTACATAAGTCAATAAAAATGTGCGTAAAAAGAAACCCCCTAGCCTTGATTTCATGTTTTAACAACAATCTTGTCTACACAGCTGATTTAATTTGTTTTTGCTAATGACCGGTTCTGGATTATGCGTAAAAGTGTGTAAGTTATAAAGTTTCTGGGCAATTTAATTAAAAAATATGAGTAGGTATCTATAAACCTTGGTCTCTTAAGCATATAGTTTTTTTTTATAGTTTATCTAAATAAGTCTAAAGAAGTTGATGTTTGCGCGGGTTAGCTAAGTTCGAGGAATTTGTAAAACTTGGTTGGCGTCAAGGTAGGAAATTAGAACTGTTAGGAAAAATGAAAGTAAGAATCAGTTCCAACGGAACGGATTGCACGATACCTTATTTCCTGTGCGGAGCAGCATAAAGTCCTGGGGCTATTTTTCACCAAATTCACAAACCACAATGCGAAAGTTATTAATTTGCGATTTTTCAAGTGGCACACGCGCGCATTTCGAAAACGACGGTAATACGGTCGAAACGAGACTATATTTTCACTTATGTACAACGAATGCGCAGCGTGCGGTGGTGAGTCCATCTCGCTCACACATATTGTATAGGCGTTGTGCAGAAAAGGGATAGTGGAGATGATGTGATATCAACCAAAATATTTAAAGTAATAGTTTTACGAAATTTGTTTAGTGGCGCGAACAGTTGATATTTTGTCAGTTTCATAAATTATTTACCGAAACACAAAACAAACTAGGCACTAGTTTGTTTATTTTATAAGAAGAAAGTATAATTTTGTTTAACCGCCTTTTTGGAGATTTAAAACTTAAATATTTTATGTCCTCACAAAACTAAATGATAAACAAAAAAAATATTGTGATATGTTTTACTGTCTTTTGTTACCACTTTCTATTGCCAAAACAATCCCGGGACTATCCCGGGATCCCGAGATTGACTGTAGATAATCCCGAAATCCCGGGATTATAAAAATCGACCGGGATCCAATCCTCTAGTGCTGTGCTAATCGTTACCGACGCCGACAGAATTTTATTGGCTATCAGAATGAACACTCGACTGATGTCCTTCAAAAGATAAGAACACGTTTGAAGTAAAAATGTATAAATTTTAACATGAACTTAAAAAATGAGAACAATTTATGTATTTAAAAAAGTTGGACTAGCCAAGAGACGCAACGTACCGTGTAGAGCACGGCGGGCCCGGCGCAGGGCTGGGCGAGGACGAGCGCGCCGAGCTCCGAGACGGTGTCGGGGGCGCGCTGCTGAGCGTTGCTGACGGGCGCCGAGTCCTCGTCCATGTCGTCCACGCTAGGCTCCACGCTCAGACCACCGTCGACTAACGATATCTGTTTTACACAACGCAGTCACAGAATTAAACTATTATTTTCTTGTTAAATATTATTATATAAAACATTCTCATTGACACTATTGACTACTTATAATATATAAAGTCGTATTTATTTTGTCCTTTTTGAGCTTACGAGAGCGGGTCAATAAGTCCGTGACTTTTTGAATTTCTGACCTCTTTACTGAAAAAACAACACTACTCCTGTCAACAGGCATCTGTCAGTTGACTCCTGTCAAAATTTGAACTTGCTGCGTCAGTTAGTTTGTGTTTGACAGCTAACTTTATTAGACTAGTGGAAAAAAGTGAATTTCGTGTGCTTATTAAGCATTTTTTTTGCGAAAAAAAACCATTACCGAGACCAAGGCTAAGCTTGATAAATACTATAGGGACTCTGCACCATCGATTTCAATGGTAAAAAAGTGGTTTACTGAATTTCGTTGTGGCCGTACAAGCACTGAAGATTGAAGATTGAAGGTGCAAGAGATTGTGGAAGCCGTAGGGGTCTCGCATGGCTCAGTGGTTTCAATTTTGAATGATCACTTGGGCATGAGAAAGCTTACCGCAAGATGGGTGCCGCGATTGCCGACCACAAACGCAATCGTGTAACAACTTCACAGGAAGGTTTGGCGTTGTTTAATCGCAATATGTTTTGTAACCGTGGACGAAACATGGATCCATCACAACACACCAGAGACCAAACAACAGTCAAAACAGTGGGTTTCTAAGGGTGAATCGGCGCCAAAGAAGGCCAAGGTGGGTTTGTCAGCCAATAAAGTTATGGCGACTGTCTTTTGGGATGCACGCGGGATAATCCACATTCACTACCTTCAAAAGGGAAGAACAATCAATGGGGAATATTATGCCAACTTATTGGACCGATTCAATGACGATTTGAAAAAAAACCGACCTCATTTGGCCAAGAAAAAAGTTCTTTTCCACCAAGACAATGCAAGGGTGCACACATGTGCAGTTGCCATGGCAAAAATCCATGAATTGGGCTATGAATTGCTCCCTCATCCGCCCTATTCTCCAGATTTGGCTCCGAGTGACTACTTCTTGTTCCCAAACCTGAAGAAATGGCTTGGTGGAAAAAGATTTGACTCCAATGATGAAGTCATCTCGCAAACAAAGGCCTATTTTGAGGACTTCGACAAATCATATTTTTGGAAGGGATAAAAAAATTGGAGAAGCGTTGGACAAAGTATATAGAGCTCAAGGGAGACTACGTTGAAAAATAAAATGATTTATTTATCAAAATATCTGTGTTTTATTCCAAAAGTCACGGACTTATTGACCCGCCCTCGTAGCGAAGTAGAAACGACGGTGATTACAAAATTTATAATATAGGTTTGAAAACATAATTATGATTATTATTTTTATCTTTGTCAAATTGAAATAGCTATTAATTCTAAAGATTGATCTTGTAACGATTCCTAAATTTATTTGTCTGCTTCGGATAATTCGCCCTTTGACACTACTAATTCCTAATAATTATACTTTAATGGCAAATTAATAAACATTATAATTAAAAGTGTTTGTTCCTTACTTTGAGAACTTCGAGATACTCTCTAGTTAGAGTCCGGACCAGAATGTCTTCAAGTACCTCTTGGGATTCACTGCCAGTTTCCTCTTCCAGTTTTCCAGATTCATATAGAGATGATATATAGTCCCAGCGTTGACTCAAATGTGTTAACACTGGAAACATGAAATATATAAATGTTTAATTACTCTTGGAAGATAGTGAAATTTACCTTCGATTTATGATTTTTTACGAAACTTAATAACTATGCCTCGTTATTTTCATTACATCCTAATAATGCTTGAATTTTATATCTTTTTACAAAAAGGGACTTGATTATCATATTTATGATTTGATATTGAAAAGTAAGTATATTTGGTAGTGTGTGCACTGACTGCGCGGCGCGAAGTGGTCGAGCAGCGGCAGCGCCACGTCGGCGTAGTGCGCGGGCGGGCAGTGCAGCAGCAGCGGCTTGAGCGCGCTGCGCACGATGGGCCGCAGCCAGTGGTCGGGCAGGAACTGCAGCCCCGCCAGCAGCGACTCGCTCAGGAAGGCGGCCAGCCCGGGCACGGCGTACAGCTCGCGGCCCAGCGTGCCCGCCGCCGCGCCCACCAGGTGGCACACGTTGTCGTGCAGCGTGTGCAGGAACATCTGCATGCGCTCCTGATCGACACACCGGGACAAACTTTGTAAGCACTCTTATAACATCACGTCCGGGCCAATTATTATGTAGTAGTGTAAAAACTATTAATTGGTCAAAATCAGTCAAAAATACTTTTCACATCATACTATTATAATCTTATCTGACGCATATGATTAACTAACAATAGAGGCGGTCGGTGTCGCGCGTTAATAGTCACTGTTCTAATCTAACCTAAGCTTTCCGCTCCCTTTAACATAAATAATCCAAATGATTCAATAACGGTAGATGATGTCTGATTCAGTAGTCAAGAGTACTATTGCCCAATTAAAAAACTAGACAAAAAAGATAACTCCCGCACTAAATACATATATGCGTCACAGGGGATTTTACAAACGTACATAAAATGGATACAAGGAATAACAACGCCAATTATAATACTTTTGATCCGTTAAGAGTTCTGACTGTGTCATATACATCATAAAAATTCTACACAACACTTAAATAATCACAGTATATTATTAAGTAACTTTTGTATAGGTATATCAGCCAAAAGTTTTTAGCAGATTTATGGAAACTCGATGAAAGATGCTGTGTCGGTACCTGCGGGCGCGTGGCGGGCGGCGCGTCGTGGTCGCGGATGCCCAGCAGGTTGCGGCGCTCGGCGGCGGGCGGCGCGAGGGCGCGCGCGTGCGCGGGGTGGCGCAGCGCGGCGCGCGCCGGCTCGTGCAGCTCGTGCAGCGCGCGCGCCAGCGCCAGCGCCGCCGGGAACAGCGGCAGCACGTGCGCCGCGCACGGGTTGCGCCACATGGGGTTGCCGGCCGCCGTCACGCCGCCGCTGAACCCGCCGCGCGCCGCCTGAACGTAATAACTGAGCGGTGACCAAAAGGGGTAGAAAAATATTTTACTTAAACATCTTTATGAATAACCATCAACTCGAACTCAAAATATCTTTATTTCATAAAATCGTTTGAAATCGTCTTTTATGAAGACTAAAGTCATAGATCGAAAAACACAATCGCAACAATATCTATTTTGTCAAACATTTAGCAAAATAAATATAATATAATAATATCGAAAATCTATTATACGCCTGTGCCGAGATCGGTTGTAGTACACCCGACCGTTTCCAAAGGAACGAGCCTCATGAGAAGAAAAGGCAAACAAACTTACTACCTATCATATACTTATTGAAAAGTAAAGATCGAACGATCTACTTTTTACATTTATACAGTAAATCCCCACAAAAACAAAACTGAAATGGAGATCGAGTCTAACGAACGAAGGCTCGTACCTTGTCGGGGTCGGGCGGCACGCAGGTGCGCTTGACGACGCCGAGCACGAGCGTGAGCGCGTGCAGCAGCGTGCGGCGCGCGCGGCCGCGCTCGTCCTCGGCGTCGCTCGGCGCCGCGTCCAGCCCCACCAGCCGCGCCAGCCCCTCCGCGCTCGCCAGGTGCGGGCTGAGGCTGGCCCAGCGCGCGCTGCAGTCGCCCAGCACCTGCGGGAGATATACCATACTTTACTGATCAAACATACTCCTTTACGACGATATCTTCATTGTGGTGGTACCTTCAACTAAGCAAGCTTTCAAACTTGTAACCCAGACACCGTGTCTTTATTTATGGCTAATCTCACCTGAGCTACCAGCTGACTCTGTCTTTCGTAGCAGCAGAAATGATTGGACACCAACAGTAAAGCCTCTTGCAATGTGACACTTTCGACCGCGCTGAGGTCCGGCCTCGCTAGCGTCGTTGAACACAGCTCGTGCAAACGACCGAACACCGGCAGGAGAAGTAAAGGATACTGGAATTAAATTACAAATAATTAATTGCATTTTGTCAAACAAAAATTTCTTTATAAGGATTCTCAACAATGTGTGTCAAAAATACAGCTAAAGGATACAGAGCAGTTTAAATAAATACAGATATGTGCGTTATGTAACTTTGAACAATAAATTACGTTATAAACAACATTAGATTTAATTTAAAAAAACATAATCATTATTCGATCATGTCTTTAGAACTAAAACAAGACCAATGACAAAAATATATAATCTACAGAAGCAATTTTACCTTAGAACCTAATTTAACTAGTAATCCAGCGGCGTGTCTTCGTACGTTCTTCACAGAACGAGAGCGTCTGTCCTCGGGCGGAGTACCTTCGTACACGAGGGCAGCAAAAATTTTGTCTAAAACCCGCGGCAAGAGATCTGCTCCCGCCACTCCCACACCCGGACCTTCAATAAAATAGTAAATAATTAAAAAAAATTGTGAAACTAACATTGCACACAATGCAAATTATGAATCCTAATAATAAGTCTTATATTTTGCATTACTTAGCACCTAACACTAGTTATAGTAAATACCAATTACCAGCGAGCTGACTGTAAGCGCAGCTGAGAAACACGAAGAGAGCGGATATGAAGGAGAGCAAGAGGGACAGCACGAGCGGAGCGGGCGGCGAGCACACCACGCAGCGCTGCAGCAGCTGTAAGCCCTCAACCACGCTGGGACGAGGATCGGCTTGAAGCAGGCGCGACAGCACTATGTCTAGTACCTGGAAAGATCACAATCATTTTTCAAATGAAATATTTTCCATCGGTTTATAATATGAAAAAAACTATAAATCCTGTTCCCCACTTACGATATACAGTGTTTCAGAAAGGTGTTGTCATATTAGGATCTAAAAGTGTGGCAGCATTAACTTATTTAAGTTTTCTCTTTTGAAACTATTCAAACTATATTTTTGTGTAGAATATGAAAATAAATTAGGGATAAAAATGTATTTGTGAAGTAACCATCAAATAAATCATTTGATGCATCCAACCAGAGGTAGGTACTACCTACCTATTGTACCTACTAGTTACAATCCAAGCGACAAATTCTAATATTATTTTACCTTTAACAATAATAAAATTACCTGAGATAATGCCTCCCATTCAATATACATAGGATGGTGCGTGTCCATTTGTGGTGGACAAGTGTCGACTTTATCCAGAGCAGCGCGCGTCCATTGCTCCACATAACCCCATGTCACTAAAGGTGCTGCTATCATGCAGTATCTGAAAGAACAAATAAATTTTTATCATTTTAACATACACAATACCCTAATTAATGGGTGCTGCTTTGACAAATGAATACAGATTATAAAAAGACTTACTTAAAACTTTCTAATATTTCAGTGCGACATCTGGCAAAAAATATGGCAAACTCTTGTTCGCTGTCATAGTCCATACATGCGTATGCGACCGCATCATGATTATTGCTCACTCTTGATGATGGGTACGTCACCTGTAATGAAACAGTAAATTCATAACGCGTATTATCCTGATATGCCATTGCTATAAAATACTTCAAACTTTTTTCGTCTGGTATCTATTAATACATCTGTCAAAGAGTTAACTATATACTAAGCTCATCAGTTTCGAATGCTTTATACTTATAGTGTTCGTCAGGATACAAATTAGATTAGTGCATGTTTTTCTTGTTTTGTATGCTTTTTTTAATATAAACTATTAACGTTAAATGGTATAGTTGGAAGTGGCTGACTTTAGGTAACATACCTTGCTGCTCAATTACAAATGCCATTTTTTACCTATATGCTGTTGTCTGTTGCTTTTATGAAACATTGACCAACAATAGTGAGGAATAAAGACAATTAGGAATTACATGCAAATATTCTAAGGAAAAATACTTTGGTTGTTGTTAATTTTCCTGTTTAAAAAAATACCTAACAATTATTTTTTTCGCAAGTCCTAGATTTCACATCTAACTTTCGTGTTGTATATTTTAGTCAAAAAAGGTAATTTCTAGTTATTTGGTGTTTATTAGGTACCTTAAGCACTTTTGGCGCGGATGCCTGCATCCATCTCGGTATGACGGCCAATATAGGTGGTAGCTTCGATATTTGATCGTGCCTAAGGAAGGCGAGCCACATGGAATTGGTCGTGTGTACGATAGATAACGAAGGATGTGACGTCAACTGTAACATTGTTTCTAAAAGTATCGGCAACCAAGACTCCACATCTGTAGCAAAGCTCCACAAAGACGTCAACTGATAGCCTAGCCCAGCTAAGACCTGTTGAGAACATTGGTGAAGACAGTTATTATTGGAACCACTTTGTGGCTAGATGGTACCTGTGTGGTTTTTGTACAATTAATAATTTTAATTTTCTTAAAAAAAAGCGCTATAAGGATTGTAATTCCTTTATATTAGAAGATGTTATAATCTTATGTTATCTGTATCCGGATCCGGTCGCTTTCGTTCGGACTGACAGATGTCAGACAGTACATTGTAAAATCCGCGCGCCGAATCACTACAATATCATATTAATAAAACACTGGTAAAAGATATTAATGGTGTTTGTTGTTGCCCAGAACCCACAAGAAAACCGTCCTACAACACTGGCGACGAGAAAGACTGTGGGCAACAAATTTAGTTAGTCGGTGGTTGATCTGTGGAAAACCATATCGTTGTCGCCGCCATTAATGGCGCATGAGGCCGACGCTGTGATGCCACCAAATTTTATAAAATTTTACGACTCGAAATCAAAATTCAAAAGATGGGTCCAGCGTCTGGAAGGAGCGTTTAACCTCTATAAAATAAAACCGAATAAAAAAAGATTCAGATTATGAAGGTTAACAATAATTTAATATAGATAAATGGTTTTATATTTCGGGTTCTACAATCACTGACACACCTGTCACAGATACGGCAGGGCGTTTCACTCCTTGAAAAAATCGGGCTTCCCCGAAATACACATTTTTAATAAGTACCATTCATGTTTTTTTATTCTAATATTATTGTAAGAATAAATATTACCTGTGAGAATTTTTTTAGGAACAAATAATGCGCTTCGTCGACAGCGTTAATGCTAACCACCGCAGCGCGGTGTATACATGATATTGCTTCTTTACTAAATAATATTATTAAAGGCTTCCTTTCTTTTGTCTGAAACAAAGAAAAATAATTAGGTATATAATTAAACTTTTTGGCATTTTGAAATCCGTCTTTGAAACAAGAATATCAGAAATACAGAATATATTGTCGAGTATTTTATTTTTTTTAAATGTGAAGAAAATTGTTTCTGCATAGTTTTTAAAGAAATAAGCGCGGTCAGGAATTCGAAATTTGGATTAATACCTTTTTCCCGCACTTTTTTTTAACTCCCGCACTACGAATATAACCCGTGTAGAGAGGGATTTTATAAACATACATGAAACGGGCACAAGGACCACCCAGATACGTGGATGCCACAACAAAGCGCATTAGAAAGCGTCGAGATGACCGCTTAAACCACCACGCCATCCATGCAGTTTACTTGTAGCACTTCTACATTGAAACTTTTATTTAAAAAACCCAAGTTTTAACATTGCCAAAAACTACGTAGAAACGATATAGTTTATGGTTTATACACATATAATTTGACCTATCGTCGTGCAACAATCTATACTAAAACTTTTACATATAATATTGACTTACCGAACCCTTTCTATTCACAATTTGTAATAGACACTCGGCAGCAGGTAACTGAAAAGCATCGTCCTGCATCAGAATGCATAGAATTTGAAGTAAGCGACCATTGTTCATTACTACATGATTTATTGAGACCCATTCTACATATCCAGTCAATGTTAGTAAAACCACCTGTAATAAAAATAAAATATGCTTATTAATGGATTTCTGCCGTACTTTAGACTATAAGAATAATTTTAGGACGTCAAAAAAAGTTTTTTTTTTAATTATTGATGTGTAACATTTTTCCACTTGCTTTCCCTCAATCAGAACTCTTAAACATCACAGAACGAAAAGTGATTGAATTCAGGCTGAATCAAGAATTTACTAAAAAAGGAATTCTGCACACAAAAAAATACTTTCCGGCAGTCTACTATTGATCAACATTCAACTTCATAGAAATGTCAAACTGGAACTGGACGTCTTTCTCGGCCGAAAAACGTCCTCCTCCAAGGCTCGCCACAATAACCGAACAACAACTTGACATATAAACAGAGATATTCTAATAAAATTACCAATGACTAGGACTGGCAGAATACCGATTTTCACCCTTTACATTACATTCAAGGTTCGATTGTTTAATACTCTACAACCAGAATACCTTTTATGTCACTTGTGAGGCCGGGAGTACACCGGAACTGAGGGCTGAGTGTAAGTTTATTTCACATCAACTCGCTCTCGACAGCGAGCGCGTTCGGCGTTGCGACTGGTGTGGGCCAATCGCAACGCCGAACGTCACCGTGACGTGTGATAAACTCACACTTAAGCCTCTGAATTTCGAACGAATCTATATTACGAGAATTGACTTTCTGTATGAATGATTTCGTGAAAAGGGACAGAACTGGTACAGGAAGATGGCGGCGCTTATGTTCGCCGTCAGATAATAATATTATTTTCGGACATCTAGCACACAACGCCATCTAGTTTCAAACTAAGCAGAGCTTTGCAATATGAAAGCTAGATTAACTGATAGAATACTTACATACTTTTTTTTGTAAATACATACATAATTATTCATAGAAAACTCCCAAACTTTGAAACAAATATTTGCAGATCATACAAACATTTGGTTCGACCCGGGCATTGAACCCGAGACCATAGCACAGCAGTCGCATACGCTACCACTGCATGGAAGGGGAGATGTGAGATATCATATGCGACTATTGAAAATTTTTGCGATTATTTTCCTTAATGTAAAGGTTTCTATACCTGCACCACTTGGCCGTGGCTTGTGGCAGCGGCGTAGTCACCTGCGGCAGTCTTCTCTCTAAATCCTTGTACATGTAACTCTATCAGCCGCATGAAGAAAGCAAATATCTCGGACATGTTCCCTGTTAGACCTTGGTTTATATCCTTCCGTCTTTGAGTATTATCTAATGTCTGTAAAAAAATATTAATAAAAAATCGTGTTCATCCTATATTCCACGTGCTATTTATTAAGGGGTATAGGACTTATTTCGGTAATGGTACTGGGAGGAGCACGAACATGGAGCCACTCGATTTAAGTCTAATGCCTTCGTTACTGTACGAGTATACTGCAGTTTGGTTTTAGCGTTTATGTTTGTTTTCTGATTTTATTTTAGCTAATTAGTTTTTTTAACGTCTAGGGTCATTTCCTAGGCAAATAACATTACTATCAGTATTATCTGATCAGTCAGGTTTATCTGCGATTTTGAAGGCAAACAGGCGGACGGACATAATTTTAAATTTAGATGTATGAAAAATATAAATTTCTAAGACACTGAATACAACAACATGTATCTCTATATAGGGGTTCACAGAACAGTGACGTCATATTTAAGGGTCATGATCTATGCCTAATACCATGCCCTTACTATTGACATTATGACTACATTATGTTTACACTATACCGATAAAAAGAAAATTCCTTTTTTACGTCATTATTCGTAATACAGATGTAACTCTTTGAGTATTAAGATACTTATATACATTATGTACGTTAGATATGACCATTTCAATCTGTTACACTCTGTATAATTATCAGAGATCGCAATAGGTAGAATATATTTACTTAGTACATGGAAGTAAGTAACATAGAGTAGGATAATACCTCCTCCAAAATAACAGAATCAGTATGCAGAGGAGTGAAAAACCTTCTACGATCTGTTTACTTCGCGTATTCATCAGAATGCAGGTTTGAGTGTAGTGCAAAAAAATCATTATTTAAAGAACAGTCTATCCGGTGAACCTGAAACGCTACGGAAAATTTTCTCAACCACAGGATCAAATTATGAAGAAGCCTTTAAACCACTTAAAATATTCGCCGTTATAACAACAAACGTTATTTGTAATAAAATAATGAAGCGCTTGTTTTCGCAACGAAACGCTCAGATTCTGCCAATTCAATTTTATAACTTCTGAATGATTTTGGTGTGGGGGTATTAATTTATTTGGTATGGTTTTCACTACTAATCAACTTACTAATTTCTCTTTATTTCTCTTTCTTTCTTGACTCGATATCGATCTTTAGAGATGATAAGTGGTAACAAACCAGCAACAAAATCTTACACTCTGCACCCTAACACTCTCACCATTACACTTGATCTATGAAAAAATCAGCTGCAACTACACTGCTAGGGCAGGGACAGTTGAATTGATGAAATCTAACTTAAATCAGAGTACAGATCCGAAAAAAAAAGAGTAGTAGCTTATTTGGTAACAAAAAATAAATAAAAATTAAGAACATAAGATTCTTCAATATAATAATTTAGTTGAAATGTATTCAAAGTGCAATAAGTAATTTGCAATTTCTTAAATCCCAGCATTAAATGGTATATTTATGATTCCGGGATTTTGGAGGAGGTATTATCCTACTCTATGTTACTCCCTCGAACTTCAGGTAAATATACTCTATCTATTACGATCTCTGATAATTATAAATGAAATTATACTTGTTCGAAAGAGCATCTTTAGATGTTATATTCGCTTTTTGGTGCGAACTAGGTATTTAGATAAAAAATCCTCACTTGTAGTATAGCAACATCCTCAGCCAGTCTTAGGAACACGTGTAAAACAATCTGCGTATGCCTGTGGCCCCGGGAGCAGGCGTCACTCAACTCCGCTAGCAACGTGGGCCACTGCTGTGGCCACTCGCGTTTTATCATCTCCACGATGACACGGGCCAGCGCATCGTTAAGATGACTTGTCTCCCATCCGCCCATAAAAAGAAGCTTCATGGCATTTTCCTGTACATGTAATTTTTTATCATTATTATTTAGCTTCATTGCAAAGACCAACTTAATGAACAAAATAAATATTTCACTTGTTCTTGTTTTGGATTGGTTTATAGCAAATTAATTTTTAGGCAAAAATAATGTGTGGGTTCAAATACAGCAGGGAACAAACAGATATTTGTGTTTCAATTATGAAATGATTCGCTTTGTGTGCTCTTATTTCATTCAAGGAATACTAATTCTACATCTTTTGCAATTATAAAAGTAGGAAAAGAAGTATTCGTTAATAATGTATTTGAAAATACAGAATGTTAGGAAAACGCTTTAGAAAACGAAGACATCCGATGGTACTTATAGTGCCTTTGATGGTGGTTAAAAAATACATCCCGACGAAAAAGTAATGCTTTTACGTTTCATTAGCATTATTCACAGTAATTTAGGGGGCAAATACTTGTATTTGTATTTTATGGAAGAGGGGGCAGACGAGCAGACGGGTCACCTGATGGAAAGTGACTATCGCCGCCCATGAACGTCTGCAACTCAGGAGTCACGAATGCGTTGCCGGCCTTAAAGGTAGGTCTTTTCTTGAAGGTCGTATCGGTCCGGAAATACCGCAGACGATAACTTGTTCCACAGATTGGTTGTGCGAGGCAAAAAGTGTCTTGAAAAGCGCATAGTGGTAGAGGCCAGATATCCAAGTGATGGGGATGAAAATTTTGCCGTGTGGAACGATTGCGGAAAGTAGCGGCCGATGCCAGTCCCAACAATTTCACGGAGCACTCTTCATGATATATACGATAGACAATGCAGAGTGAATCTAGGTAACGCCAAAGGATCGAGCAGATAGGAGGTCTTTAGGCTATCGACGATTCGAGTCGCTCTTTGTTGGGTGCGGTCCAGAGGGAGAAGCTGGTACTGAGGTGCCCCTGCATAGAGATGAGAACAGTATTCCATATGCGGCCGGACTTGCGCCCTATAGAACTAAAGGCGGTGGGCCGGGGTGGAAGCCATTATAGTGGGAATTTTGATTTTTTTTTGTTTCGTTACAATTAAGTTTTATAATTAATGAAAGTTTCAAAAAGTAAACGTCCTTATTATTACCGTTTTTAAAAGTTAACAATATTTCACGTTAACATGTCAAGTCACCAGTTTTATCAAAAAAAAAGTCAACCATGAAGTGAGTAGTCTATTATTCATAAAATTTAATAAACCTTGCTGATGTACTTAACTTAGTAAGAAACTCTCAAGTTCAACAGCAGTACATGCCAGAAAGATAGATCAATGAACTAAAGAATTGTGAATGAAATAGATTGGGTTGAAACAGGTAAGTGGGGACTGTGAGTATAGGAAGAATTTGGGAGTAATAATTAATCAATAATCAAGTGTCATTGTATGGCACTATACCTACTGTAACAATAATAGAAAGCAACATAACTTACCTTTGGTTTTAATAAAAAGCTTTGGTATTCCTAGTATACTCATATATTTTTGGTGGACTGATACCTTTTTTTTCTTATATTAAAAAGTTCTTTGAGAAAAACTTATTTTAGGAGTCTCTTACTTAGGATTTATAATGAACCTCTTTGTTTGATAAAATAAAAATTAAAAATTCATATATCCAATGGTCTATATATCACAATGGTTTTTAATATCAATAAACTAAATAAAAACAATTACAAATAAATACTGCCTACAATTCTGAGAACAATTGTCACCATTATGGTCGCATTAACCATGGTCCTTACACTCTATTCCCTTTTTTAATTTAAGAGGAAAGTGCTGTTTAATATATTCTCAAAGAAGCATAACCATTAAGTATTATCTAAACATACAACTCTAGCTCTTTTGGCCTCTTAGAATTTAACTCTTTCTGATGCAAGCCTTTGGTTAGAATAGTCTAAATTCTTTATTACATTATGTTAATTAAATAACAGCTGACTGCCGCTGACTAACCAGTTGTATACCAAAATTTCGTAATATTGAAAGTTAGATTTCCAAATACAATGAATATTTGATTTATTTACCTTAATAAATATTTTTTCTGCTTGCGTAATTTGTGTCCATCTATATTTAACCGTATGTTCCATAAGTTGGAGTCCAAAATGTTTAACTCCTGGTGAGTACTGACCTCCACTTGCCAACAGTAAGCCAGCTTGGGCACACCAAGGAGAATTTTCCTTGAAACTAGAAACAGAAAGTTACAAATTCATTAGTAGATAGGTACCCCCATTGATATTTACTGCACAAAAGCTTAAATGAAAACCATGAATGATGATGAACTAATAGTCTGTTAAGACAAGAAAGACCTCAACTAAAGTAGACTTGAATCAGCTCTGGAAAAACAAAGGAATTGCACGTTCTTTAAGATTATTTATACATTTCTAAAAAAAAAGTATTAATTATTACCTTTCACAAGCATTATAGGCCTGGCTACGTTCCTCATGTGGTACAGTAGGCATCAAAGTCAGTTCAACTGCACGGTTAAGTTCATCAACTAAAAGGGCCACCTCTCCGGATGCCTCGCTCCCAACACCTGCTACATTCATTGTAGCTCAATACTACAGCTGCAATTAAAGACATATATTACTATATCTAGAGTTAAAAATGAGATCTTTTGTTTGATTCTGTATATTAAACTATATAATATTAACAAGCTACACATTTTGACAATTAGCCATTTATCAATTGTAAAAAATCAGGCTCCCATTAAGTTAATATATCTTTAAAAATATTTTTTAAACTGAGACTAACTTTATTAAAAACTAAAAAAACCACATCACAAATGGTGTCAATGTTTAAACTTACCAGCTGTACTTAAAACAAAAATCCCCATAGAATATTTTTTACTGCATATCTGACTTGAAGTCTAAAAATTACACAGTATAAGTTTAATCTATTTGAATATTAAAATACCCATTAAATCTCTCTGTGTAAAATAAAATAATACACAAAAGTACCCGGCGGAACAAGCACTTATGTTTGCAAAAAAAAAAAAAAAATTTTAAGACTATTATTTTGAGATTCTAATTACATTCTATGGTTTGAAGGTATATTTACAGCGGTTTCATCCAAATTCTATAAAGGAATATCACAAAATTATTGAAATCAAATTCAAAACATTAGAAAAACCTCGTGTCCATTGAAAACTAAATCGAATGTCTGTCTACTAGTCGACCACAGACTAATTTGACACTACAGAACAGATGAATACTTTTTTTTTCGATTCACTTACTGTAGCCACTAAATTATAACATGCTCCTGTTGTTTCTTTTAACAACAAACAATAAAATTTAATTTCATAAACAAATCAATTAACGTTCAACAAAAAGTTGAACAATAATTAAAAAAGTTTTATGATCTTCTCAGTGATAAGATCATAACACTTTTGACAAAAGTATTAACAAATATATTATAAAAATTTGATTTAATGAATTCTCAGAAAACAGTACGCAAAATCTGTCTACTACGATCAATCAGTTTGATTTTTTTATTATATTCAAAAATTTAAACTGAGATTAAGCCGCATTTAAATTATTCGTCACCATAAGCAACATAAACATTAATCTTCTTGAGTTTTGACATTCAGAGCTGTGTTTGTTTAAATAAATGTCAAATGAACGTCGTACGACGTGACATCTACTTGAATCGTTTAATTTGAATTGTACGCGTTAAAACTTTACCGAACAACGTAATTAGACTAATCAGGTATAGGGGAATTACATATGACATGGAAACTAAATTTACTTATCTTGAACCATCATTAGAGAAGCAATTGAAAGGGCATAAAAATGCTATCACTGCATTATATTTCAATCCCAATGAACAACAGATTGCCAGCAGTTCACTGGATAATAGTGTTTTGGTACATATTTCTTACATCAATTTAATAATTAAATTTCAAATACTTACATCTTGCTAAATACTTACAACTGTTTCAGTTGTGGGACCTTCGGGGTACTATGAGAAGTTATAGATTCCAAGGTCACGATGAAGCTGTAATGGATGTAACATTTTCACCTTCAGGGAAGTATATGGCATCTGCGTCACGGGATAAAACTGTTAGATTATGGGTACCCACTGTCACTGGCAGCACAGGCATGTTTAAGGCACACTCTCAGACTGTACGCTCCGTGCAGTTTAATTGTGATGGATCTAAGGTAATAAACATAAAAATTGGTTGTCTTTAATTGCTTGAAAGCAAATAAAATAAGCAGCTAATAAAATTGTACATTCCAGATAATCACTGCCTCTGATGATAAAATAGTTAAACTCTGGTCAACTGAAAAGCATAAATTTATTGCATCATATGTTGGACACACTAATTGGGTAAGATGCGCCCGTATATCTAGTGATGGGTCAGTAATAGCCTTCCTGTTCTGATGACAAAACTACCAGGCTGTGGAATCCTGACTCAGGAGAATGTGTTCATACTTTTAAAGATCAGAAAGGTCATAGTCTATGCCTAGCATGGCATCCATCTGGCTGCTATGTAGCTGTAGGAACATCTCATGGTAATGTTAAACTGTATGATGTCAGGACACACAGCCTTGTGCAATATTACAGGTCAGTTACATTTTTTTAAATTGCAACATTTTGTAGAAGAAAATAATTAATTTCTCAGACAGAATTTAAAAGACATCCCTATTATATTTTCAGTATACATAATGATGCAGTAACTCAGATTGCATTCCATCCGAGTGGCAGTTATATATTAACGTCTAGCAAAGATGGGAAAATGAAGGTAACATAACATACTTAATAATTTTTTCTGTTAATAAATATTAATTAACTGTAATTTAATATAAATTAACTTTTCAGATACTTGATTTACTTGAGGGTCATCCGATATTCACTTTGAGTGGGCACACGGGTGCTATCAATACAGTTAACTTTTCAGCTAGTGGTGAAACATTTGCCTCAGCTGGTGATGATAAATTGGTAAATATTTGGCAGAAGTATAGATTAAAAAAAAAAAATTGTGTCTATTTTGTACTATGTAAGCTCATGAATATTAAATGAAACACTTATTTTTTTTAGGTTTTTATCTGGAAAACAAACTTCACTGAACTTGTTAATGATGTCAAGGAAAATATTCCCCAAACAATGTCAACAATACCTAAGTCTGCTTCCCAAACGTCTAAGCTAACTTCAGCATCAAGAGGAAAATCTCAGGTTGCTCTAAAAAGATAGTAGCTATTTGTTGTATAGTAGTTATAGTAAATAATTGTAATTAGTATGTAAATATGCAGATTTTTATATGGTTGAGGAATATATATTCTGGATTAAGAACACAATTCTAAACTTATTACTTTCCTTATTCAGGAATCCCTAAGTGCTGTTTCCTCAAAATACATGATAGCTCTCCAAAAATTGGAGTTCAGAGAAACCTGTGATTTTAAATACAATCTACAAAGGTCTTTATCTTACTAAGGTAGTGCAAGTACTAATAGTTTTCATCATCTGTAAATCAGGGTACAAGAATTTGGTCTATGTGCTATCACAATACACAGCTGCCGGAGACTAACTTTGTCCACCTTGATGATGTACATGAATCAACACATAATACAATGAACTTTGCAAGTTTCTCAGAAGAGCCACCTAATGCTAACAGTTCTCTGATTGAACCAAGAATATGTAGTCAAACAGATCCTTGTATCAGACAGACATCTGTTTTTGATGAATCCATCCAAGAAACTTGTGACAGGCCCCATAGTTGTCCAATACGTGATTGTCACACTCATGATGTTGGCCATATGAGCCATATCCCTCGTATCCCACCTACCCCAGCTACATTCACAGTCCCTTCTGTAACAAACAAGTCAATGTTGCCAATGCATGGACATGTGGAAGATCTTTTTGGTATGATAAAGTTGCAAGACAATGATGTGTGTTATACTAGTGGCCAATAGATGGGTGGGCAGAAAAGGGGTTATCCTATAAATAGTGGGTTTAAAGTAATTTAACATACTGATGACATACACCGGAAGAAATTGAGAAAGTTAAACAAAACATTACGAGTGACATAGACAAAATAAAGGAATGTGACCCGTGCCGATGTATTACCAACTGTCCCGTGCTATTGTTGATCACTTAAATGCATTGCATGAGGCTGTTGATCTTGTGACCTGCGGTTGAACACTCTAGAAGATGCTACTAGTTAGATTTAAAACTGATTACTTATTTATTTTATAGAGTTTGTTTTTCCCCCTTGTGAATAATACAACAATAATCTTTAATTTTAAAATATTTTATTAAATTACTGTATCTATTTACAAATAATGGTATAACATGAATTTAAAATTAGAAAACATAAGATACAACCATAAAGAGCAATGTAAAAGTACATTAAAAATGTAAAAAATTTTAAATCTTAGCCCAGTCTCAAACCATTAAGAGTTACATTAAAAAAGGGAATACTTTTTAAAAAGTTTTTGATTAGCACTTCACTATCTCCTAAAAAGTGTCCTGGCCATAACTATTTGGGGCCCACTATGTTGTTTTTTTTTTCCAGTTTTTTTTTATATTAATAATTGACAGCATTAGGGCTAGATTGATGATACCTTCTGGTTGGGAGACTTATTGATACATTTTCAACCCCTGGCCTTTTAGCCTTTGTTTTGAGGAACAAAAAAAAAAAAAAAAAAAAACAAAAAAAAAAAAAATTCTTGGTTACAATACTTATTAGGGACCAAAAAACTTACAAAAACATTTTTGTTACACTTTTTTTTAGCAAAAATAATTTTTCAGTTAATTTTTTCTTTTTTAAAAAAAACAAGAATTTTTTTTCGGTTATTTTTTCCTTACTGGAAGCGTTTTGTATGACGTTGTCAAAAAATTCTTAAAGAAAAGATACGACTTCCACGTTTTGGGAAAAATACCGTATTTTAAGGGAAAGATAAATTATTCTTTTGACATACTTAACTTTAACAAAAATACTGTAATACATCCTCTAAATATCACTTTTTGGACACTGAGAGCTAGGGGTGGGTTGTCAGAAAAAAAGTTTTGTTAATTTCTTTCACCCAGAAACATTCTTTTGGTTTAATTTACTTTAACAGGTCAGTACTGTGCGAGTGGATAGTAGGGGCATTAGGTATTTTTTTTTCCATCCCCCAAATTAAAATGTTGGAAAAAAACATTACATAGTCCTTTCAGATACGGTTCACCCCCCAAAATGGATTGCAATCAAAAAGGACTAAACCATAGGAGGAATCCCTTTTTCCCAAAAAAAAAATTTTTGAGGCCCGATTCTTAACCCGCGGAAGGATTTGTGGAGCTTTGACAAATTTTTCAAACGCTAAAACATTGTATATACAAAATAGCAAATAATCTCTCTTTCCCAAGGTTGCCCCTTTTTTTGGCTTAAGGGGGGACCTTATAGCACTTTACCAAGGATAATATACCCCCACAATAATGGGGCCACCAACACAATTATGTCAAACCGATAAACAGAATGACGTCATGCCGAATGGTTTAGAAGTTTTTTAAATCATGTTGGTCACAAAATAGATGACGTAATAATATTCTTTTAATGACATCACAGAATTAATATGACATGACAAATAAATGCGGGATGCTTACAAAAATACTTTACATGTGTCCCCTTTTGGTGTGCCAAGATGACATAATTTTAGGTAATATAGGTGTAAAATTTCGCCCAAAAGCTTAAAAAAAATGAGGGGAATATTTCCCCTCCCCGGAATTTTTAGTAAAAAGTAAGATTTTTACGTTTGAAGGAAATCAGAATTGACGTTAAGTCATAAAAGCGCCGTAAAAAAACCTGAATGAGAGCAAAACCCCAATCGTGTTCAAAACATGGTAGCACGCCACATCGAGGAAGGGGTTAGTTGTCTAATCCCTCTTATGACCCCAGTTTGAAAATTTTACGAAATAGCCATTCAACGGTAATTTATTTAAAAGCTGAAATTTATCAAACACTCAAACACAAAATTCTATTTTTATCAACTTTAATCAGGCTTTGGAGACTTTTTCCTTAAATTTGCAAGACTTTGACCTCCAAAATATTTTTATTGCTCACCAGGACACCTTCAGTGACAATAAATTACCAACGGGACCGGTATTGGATGCTGCATGCTTTTTAGATTAGATATTTGTGTCTAAACATTTTCGTTTAATTATCACGGGACTACAATATCTTCTTCTTTGATAATACTTTAATAAGAATATAAATTTATTACATTTTTCTATTAAAGAGAATGTTTCACTAGTTAATAAAGGTATTTTTAGGGTGCCGTACCTCAAAAGGTAAAAAAGGAACCCTTATAAGATCACTTTCTTGTCCGTCTTTTTTTGCCCGGGGGGGGGGGGTGTCACCACCGTTTTTCTCAGAAAGGGGTAGACCTAGCAAGTTGAAATTTTAAACCCCAAATTTTTGAGGACTATGGTCCCTTTTAGGGGGAAAAAAATAAAGGGTTTCCTGAGTCAAAAACGAAAAAAAGGGATATGGGTTTTTTTAATTTCGATTTTCGCAAAAATTGTAAGTCCCAAATTTTTATTTTAATTTTTCAATTTTTTTTTATTTTTTAGAATTTTTCTTTTTGTTCTGTAGACCGCTTTTAAACCCAAAAACATTGAAAAATTTGGATAAAACCGGAAGTCCCCTTTTAGGTTTTTGGATCAAAACCTATGTGGTAGTTCCCGTTGACCTAAACCGAAATTTGGCAAAAAAAAGCTTACAGAAACAAATAAAGAATAATTTACAAAAAATAAAAAAGTTGGAAATTAAGATACATTTTGTGATTTACAAATTTTCGCGAAAATCTACGTAAAATTTGGGTAGGTACGGAACCCCGGGCGCACGAGTCGACTCGTCCTGCCCCGTTTCTTTGGTTTTGTTTCTTGGGTTTAGGTGTAGAAAATTAATTCCCTTCAATTAAAAAATAACCCAAAAGTTTGTTACGATTCGAAATAAAAAGGGTAAAAAAAAGCAATAATTTAAAGTACATACGGAGGGGGCATTAAATTTCGTAAAGCACAATTTTGACGTCAAAAAGTCAAATTTTTTGGTCAGTGTTAGTCATTATAATGTCATCATAACAAAGCCCCAAAAAAAGTCTTATTAAATCATATCTATGTAAAAATCCCCAGCCTCTGTAGATCTAAAATTTACGTCATGAGTTCAAAACACTCACACATCAAAGCCTTTTTGTCACTGCTGGGCATAGGCCCCCCCATTTGAAAAATTTTGGGCCTGTCATGTTTCACTGGATGAAAAAATATTTTTAAATTTTGATACAAGAGCCCAGTTTCCCTTATGATCAAAATCATTAGGCATACAGGGAAGTATTGGGGCTGTCACTTTGAGGGCATAAAGACTGAAAGCAGTTTGGGTTTTTCACCCTAACGCAAAACCCTTTTAGCCCCCGCGCCCCAAGCTTCAAGGTTTATAAAAAAAAGAGCCTTAATATCCACTGTGGGCATAGGGGCAGACGCTTGCCAGGGTTGGTATAGGGTTTGTTTTGAGTTTTCCTTCTTTTTGCAGTCTTGCACAAATTTTTGCAGTTTGTGCCCTTGGTCGGCTCTTACCACATCCACGGGATGAATAGGGGTGGTATTCCGTATTTTTTTATTCGTCACCACACGGAAAATAAGTATAATGTGGTATTTTTTAGCCCTAGTTGTGGACGATTTCATATTTGACCAACTGCAACAAAGTTTTTTTCAACTTAATTATACTCAAGAATAATATTCGAATTGGAATAAAAAAAAAAAAAAAAAGTAAAAATCAGGAATACAGCTTATTTAAATTTTTCATGATTTGAATTCAGTTGTATATCTTTTAGATTTTAATATTGTTTAAATTGCTTTATGTCGAGGGAATGTGAATGTGCGTGAATTAAAGTGACCATCACAGCTATATAGGGCATCCACTCTTTGACAAATGAATCTAAGTCTCGGTGCTCCTTTACAAACCTTGAACTGGCTCACTACAAGCCAAACTAGGTTGGTCATCAGTCTACAAATCGAATAAAACTTGGATATCGGTTATAATAAACTTGCAATAATTTTCTGTTAGGATTGTGTATTAGTTTTATTTTTGTACATTCTGATTTTAGTCGAGTTTGGAAAATCGCAAATATTCGGTTTTTACCTAGACATTGCGGACAGCCCACTGTCATAGAATAATGATTATGTTTTGTATCTGTCTCCTATTGTAATACTTTGCCGTACATGTCATGGTGCCGTATGTCTTTTGATAGTTTTATTTTTAATTATTTTTCTTGAAGTCATGTTGATTTAGCGACAATTAAAAACATGACACTACAGGAAAAACTCAAAGATTTAGGCTGGTAATTATATTTCTAGCATACCTGTTGTTTTCGTGAAGATTACAACAGTGGTTTATTCTTGAAGTAAAAATCTGAATTTTTCAGGCATCTAAGTCAAGAAGGCATCGATATTGTTAGTGAAAATGGTAAAATACAGGATATTAATGTTCTAACGACCAAGGCATTAGATGTAAGTATATGAATTTATTTTAGTTTCAATTACTGTCAAGGTTATTTCACAATCTGTTCTGGTCTTTTGAATTAGTATTCTTATTATTTTTCAGTACGATTTAAGGGATATCGGAGATGCAGCACTTCCCGAAGACTTTACCAAGGATCCTTCGAAGTTGGAAAGTCCAGTAGTACTTCAAATTCAAAAAATAAGAAATGTGTCAGCACCCAAAGCCAATGAGGAGTCATCATCTGCTCCACGAATGCTAAAGCTTACATTACATGACGGCAAATCAATATGTACAGGGCCCAGAAACGAGTCCCATCTCTTTTTTAAGTATTAATACTCCCCCAGGTACAAAATTGATGTTGAATAATGAAGGACTTGAAGTATGCATGGTGGTAATTTGGCTAGTACCAAGCGTAATAACAGTGTTGGGTGGTAAAGTACAATATGAATTGAAAAATGGGAGTTAAATAGAAGTTGGCTAAGCATACAAGAGGGAAGTGGAATTATTAAATTAACCCTATGTCGTATGTTCGTAGAATAATGTCAGTTTTGAAAGTGAACTTAAGCATGCGATTTTTCTAGAAAAAGTCTAGTGATGAAGATATGTCTACAAAAAGTTGATTTTTCTTGTAAAGTCTCTTACAACGCAGTAGTATCCAAATATGGTAAAAAAACTGATTTTCATATATTTTCAAAACCGACAAAATTCTATGATCATGAGGATATATACACCGTATGGTATTTGCAACCTGTGTAGTATAGAATAATAATAATAAGTGAATAATTATAATAGCCATAGTCTAAAAAATAAACCACCCTAGATTCCTTAACCTTAAATAATATATAACAAAGTATTAAAAGAACCTTTAACTAATAATAAATAGAATTTTTTCATGATAGCAGTTTTCTGTATTTAATGCTACTTCAATTTTGTATTCATAAAGAGTCTTTAGTTTACTTAAAATTATATTTGTTATACTTTGTTTCAATTATTTTATACATATTACAGAAAAGATCCAACTAACTTTTTTTGTGAAAGTAGATTACAGTAGGGACTTTGTAGTTTGATTCAAAAATATGCTATAGGAGATAATATAAGATAGTTATTTGTATTTGAGAAAAAACACCATAATGTTATCAAAAATGAAAGAAAATACCATGCAGCTTGAATATCAGAGTGCAGGTTCGATCTTTGTATAGCGGGGTCCATTTATGTTTTATTTATTTAATAGTATTATAATTATTTGTAGGTCAATTAATAATAAATCTAAACATTAATTATTAGATATCAATCATGTACTTTTGTGTCACAAAAAATTTGGAAGTAACATATTTTGATGGTAAAATACTATATAACCTAGTCTCCTTATTAATCCTTAAGAGCCAAATCACAAAATAGTATTTTACAGAATTAAATATAAGTATTTTACCTCTGTAACTAAGTAAACTTAAAATGAGTACTTTTTATAAAATAAAATATTTAAAATTTGACTAACTTGCTTAAAATTCGTTAAAATAAACACTTTGACCAGTTATAGTAAATATTACTTTTGTTTTTATATTGTTGTAAAAATAATAATGGGTATCAAGGAGTGAAATTAAGCTAACTTATTGAAGCGTTTTTTGGTTGTTCACTTCAACAATACTTATTCAAAAAAAACAAATTGAATTTTATAGTTCAAAGATCTAAAAAACTACGATAGCAACTGTGTTTTATGAAAACATAGCAATTAATACAATATTTATCTTCATTATAATGTACCTTACTATAGGCCTCTAAATTGTAATGAGGATTAATACTTTCATATGTAATATATGAAAGATGTAATATCATTACATTTGTGTTTTAGCAATGATACAAATATTAAGATGCCAATTATTATTCTATTTCATGTTCAGAGTTTTTGGTGGTGGCCAACGCAGAAACCTTCCTTTAGTAAACGCGAATGTGTTCAAAAAGGATGTTGTGAATGCTGGATCACTTTCTGAGGAAACAGGACTGAAAAGGCTCTTTATAAATACAACGAAGAATTAATGTCGATAAGGGAGCTCCGTTTTAAAAACAAAATTCGACAGAAAAGAGATAATTCGGAGATATAGGAGTAAAGAAAAAACAACCAAAAGAACCAGAACAACACTAAGGCAAAGGGCAGAAGAAGTAAACATAAGATAATAAATGATGAAGAATATCCCTGGTAAAACTTCTGGGAAATAGTGTCTTTGTTTGACTTCACTGGAGAAAATAATTGCCGCAATGTTACAGATAAGGAATTAAAATGTAGCAATCGCCAAAAACAATCCATCAACAAGAAGATAGAAATGAGAGAAATTTTTTCTTCTGTTTTCTCCCACATATAATGGTAATACAGAGAATAGGAAACAAGACTCTAAAAGCAACTTTCGCAATCAAGGGTCCAGGTTAGAGGATTCACAATAGACGATCTGAAAACCGAGCACATCCCACTCTCACGAAAACCATGTCGTATGGGAGATAGGAAAGTATCAAACCAATGAAAAACCAGCACGTGTTCCAGAAGAAACTAGAGGGAAACAAAAATACAGCAACAGCAAATGTCAAAAGTCAACAAAACTCAAGTTTAATTGTATATGCAAACGTAAATATGACAATATATTATTAGGCAATGGCATACACACACCATGGCCCCGGTTTCCTAGTAAACTTATACGGAGAAAAATGTATAAGGGCCCGATGTGACCTGTTAAGTGAATAGGATAGTAGGCACACATAACAGGCGAGTTTCACCATAACGTCTCGTAACTAGTAATGGGTATAGCCTGGTCAGACGCCACTGGTCAAACCCCAATCTTCTACTCGTGGCAATCGCTGCCGATGGATGTGCTAAGTGCACAGCACCCTTAGTTAGTTACCAGCCTCGATGAGGTTATCATTACCGAGCAGACCTGTACCAGAAGACATGCAAAGAGCACCCGTTCATGGTACCGGAGAAAGAACGACATACTAGATAGTAAAGGTGAGCAAGCGTACAGCGGCGACAGCAACAGAAGGTACGTGGAGAGACAGAATCAGTATGTTTGCGAGCATGGGGTATAGGGCTGGGGCTTGCGCGGATACGCAGGTGTGCGCGGCAGTACGGGTGTTTACGGCCTTCGGCTCACAGGAGTTCGTCGGAGTCCGGGCGGCGCCGTTCCTGGCGGGCTCGCTGCTTGGCTTTTCAGAAACGACGCTCGCCGTTCAATATCGAGCAGGCGTGAGTGCACATGTCACACTGTGCGTCGTCCGACATCAACATGGAGGTCGGCGATCGCTGTCTCGCTCTGTTACTGGGAGGACAAATAATGGAGTGTTCTTATAACCGGGGTACATAGGTTGTCACCTTTAGAACCGAGTAACGAGACATGCCATACCGTAAAAGTGAGGCAAGTAAACTATATCCCATTTTTGTGCCAGCGGACGAACAGAAAGGGCGTTCAGTTGGTCCTAAGGTCTCTAAGGTCTAATTTGTAGTGTCGTAAGCAGCTCTCGTTTAATCTCTAATATTATAAAATTCTCTTGTCACATGTTGTGTGTACCAATCTCCTCCGAAACGCATTGTGATCGATTTTTATGAATATTTTTGGTGACATCGGGTAGGTCTTGGAGAATCGCGCCAAATCTATTTTTATACCCCTAATCGCCAAGGGGTACACAACCCTAATTTTTTGTTCAGTTATTTTCTAGCCGAAGATAATGTATTATGAGAGAAACAATGTTGGCGGCTCAGCTTTAGTTTTAATATACAAATGCAGTGTGTGCAGTTAAGGGTGTATGCCACAGTTATCTCCCCCCATCAAGAATATACAAAATGTAACACAAAACTACCTTAGTTGATAATGATATTATCTGATATTGGAATTTTTTAAACGACAACAAATGTTGCAAATGGTATAGTCTAAATGTTTTTCCCACACATTTATGATTTATTTATGTCTGAAATAAAAAAAAAGTTTCTCATTGGTTGGTATGTTTAATCACTTTTCACTGGAAGTAACGCTTGACTACAGAATATGACCAAGTATAATAAAAATAATAGATGTGTTATAATTCGGTGGATGATCTAGTACAAATGGACGCGATTAAGTAGCTATTAGCTTCTTTAGTTGTACAGGATTAGGTGTCGTCCATTATATCAATGTGATGTTTTTTTAGAAAATCTTTTTAATAACCAAATATTGTGTTTAATACATCCATAGGAAATCAGTATTTATTAGGTAAGTGATAAAAAAAAAGTATAATTCCATCTTGGCACATAGAAAAACAAGTGTTATCTATCAGACATAGAAAAGAATGGTCTTTAGGTCCATTTATTGATAATATTGAACCGTATTCAGATGAAGATTCCTTTAAAAGTCTCAAATCTACCTGAGAGAGCCCTGGTAGGTTCAAAATTTAAATTACGAAGGCAGGAGTGCGGCAAAATAAGTTCAGCCATTGAGAGACCCGACGCACTTATGTCGATTGGTTTTATCTGTACAAAATTATACAATTATCCTCATTGATTCACCCGTTTATTTGGTCAGATCAGTTTCAATATAAATTAGTGGCGTAGTGGCTAATGATAGAATATGTTTTCACCTCAAATATATTAAAAAATAACAATCGTACTACTGAATTCCACATTAACAAGGAATGCGCCTCTCGTCCAGTATACATGATAATACTTCAAAAATCAAAATTTGGTCTTACTAGATGTTTTTGATTCAAACTATAACAGATAGTGAGGTTGGGAATCGTGCATTAGAATTCAGATCGTGCATCACATTGGGTCTGCTTGCTTAACTTTGTTTTTATTGTCATCCGACTTTACAGTATTGTGAATCAGAATGTAATTGTTTGTATAACTTTCCATGTTTTTCTTGCTGCACACTAAGTTACATTACGATACAGACTCTAAATTGATGTATTTATGATTATGTGTAAAATCGATTGTAATGTGTGTTGAATTCAACAAAAAATATAACATAAAAATAAAAAGAATAATAAGAACCTAAAATTGGAAAATACCCAAATATGTTTACAGATATCGTAAAAATATTTGGTCCGACCAGGAATCGAACCTGAGATCTCTCATAGCTAGTCGAATATGCTTGTACACGTATACATTTGTAGAAGATGCTAATCTAGGGGAAAGATAGTAATTACTTTAAAAAACGAGTGTACCGTGATAGTATATGCCTAAATGTTATTAGTTATTTCGGTGAAAAGCCGATTAATAATAAAATTTAATTTTTTTTGAAAAATTTTAAAAAAAAAAATTGTGTTTTTTTTTTTTTATGATAAAATTAAAAGAAATTCACTTTGTGATTGCAGAAACCTTCTAAGGACTTAAGGAAGTGAGCAGTTTCGAATTTCCCTAGCTTTTGGGGAAAAATCTGATTGTCTGTTAGCAGATCATTACTTGTACGCTATGTGTGGTGTTGCACGAGGTAAATACGCGTTGATTACGATACATCAATGTGTTTGCCTCAAACTCGACCCGGTTCGAAGGACTATCCTGTCTATGCGATATTAATTTCTAAGGGTAAAAAGGTATTATATATTAGAATATTAGTAGGCAGTTGTTTGCCTAAATAGTTCCTTTATAGGAAGCACTCATCGATCAATATACATAAGTTTGTGTCATGTAGAAATTTCATCTGTTATTTTTATTGAGGTTGAACATGTTCCTTTGGATAGTAATATTTGGTAATGAATGTTCAGTTCTATGAAGCAGAAAATCACATGGATGATCAGCGAATAAATGTTGTGGTAAAGTCGGCGCCTTATTTGGTAACCATTGAGGAGAACTCAAGACAAATTTGTATTGCCGTTTCCCCAGCCAAGGTAGAGAATACTGAGTTTATTACAAATTATAAAGATCACGTTAGTTTTTTGTTTATACTTAATCTAATAACCGTATCTTTTGCGACTGGTTCTCATATCATGGCACGCCTGTCAGATTGTCCCGATTTCAAAATATAACTTGTTTTTCGAAATTATTCATTGTAAAAACATCCTCTTCTAACGGAGGTGGCCTATGTCCATGCGAGGTGGAATGTTAAGGCTGGTGGATGATGATTGTATTATTTAGGGTGATTCGATATCTGAAAAGAAACGCAATGTGTCGGATTATTTTTACTTACGTAGTTGATAATTAGCGCTCCATAGCGGTAGATGTCTAAGATTTAACGGCACAAATCGGGACCGGTGGAGCACGCGATGATCGACTAGGGTCGCGGGCGAGAGCGAGAGCGGTTATACATGGCGCAGAGCCGGCGTGTTCGCGGACGCGGCGCCGTTAGTGTATAGTGGGCGGCGGCGGGCGCGAGTGGCAGGGGGGCGGCGGGCTGGGGGGCTGGGGGGTGCGTGCACGCGCCGCCAAGAATGACCCCAGTGCGCTATACGCACCGCAGCACCGCCCCGGCCGGCCGAATGCGAACTCTAACTCACACCTCTATGCATTCTACAGTATCAGTGCTGCCCCTTAATTAGTGCGTTGGCTGTCGCGCGATGCGCTGGTAGCGGCGTGTTCTAACACACCGCGCACTTTTGTTTCTATTCTAATAATAAATCTTGGAAATTAAGTATAAGTGTTCTTTAAGCTGATTTTTGTAAAATTTAGGCTATGGTTATCTTAAAAATTATTTAATTGTAAAATATCGGTTGCAGATAGTCAAGAACAGAACGGAAGACAAAAAAATTTCTGATTTAGAGTCTCCCCAGTGGTTCTGTTTAACTCTGTAGTTCTCTTTTAATTGATAATGACATTCACTGCATGTATTAGGTACGTTCAGAAAGTAATAAGCTGTTATTTCGTGGGACAAATTCACTATTCTCGTTTATGGTATTGGTTTATAAAAAAAGTTAGTGCATTGGTGTATAAAAAAATTATTATAAAACGCTTGTATTAGAAGGAACTGGTTAGAATATCCTGACAAAATATTCTTGTGTTGTGAAAAACTTATGTTTCGGTGTAACTATCTACGACGCTGCAACTCTAGTATTTCGTTTGATATAAAATAAGTATTCAATGGTGTGTATATATTGTTGCGTTTTTGTGATCATAACGTTTTGTAAGAAAATAATATCTTATCATGTTGGCACATAATTTACAATATGAGCGCGCGATATGTATATACGTAGATATACTGCAACACAATATGGAAGCTCTTAAGCAAATCTCGTATCGGTTTAGTTAAACTTCAGCACAATATACCTATTAAATCACCAGTAGTTACAAGATTGGACTCATAGATCACAGTTGTGTAATATGTTTAAAAGGTTTTATGCGCTTCGCTTAAGTGATCAAATTCATAGGCCATTATGTTGTGTCGTATAAATTTAGCAAGTTCTGCGGTGATCTGCAGCCGGGTAAACAGTCATATTTAGTTAAAAAAATAACTCGATACCTTTGATATTGTTTGTAACGAACGCTGCACTTTGACATTTCGCAGCAATTCGTCAAAATTTGCATATATTGTTGCCTTTTGTTAATTTTCAATTCAGGTTTGTGTGTAGGATTTCAAACAATTATAATAAAACACATCGATTAGCAAGCTGTGATGTTAGTAAGTAAAGCTATTGCTGAGTTTAAAGATTAAATATTGACTGAATAATTGTCACACAATAAAGTACTTTTTCATGTTGTTGCCAATTTCAAACAACAGCGGAAATGGATATAAAGTATGTTAATATTAAAAGAAGTAGTCAACTGTGAGTACAGCGCGTCGCTCCAGGGGCAATTAGGTTTTATAACAGGGGAACTACCCTAGGCCACGGGGTCTGTGTACCATTCAAGCAACATACCTTAATGGAATCCCGGATGCTCAAATTTAGAGCGATTTTAAATAATCTTACTTTCATTTTAATGTCTTCACTGAATTGCACTTATCTTCATAAAGAAAACAATTTTTTTTTTATCTTTGGTTAAAGAACACGATTTGCTCGTGCGACCAAATTGAATTAGTAGTTATGTTCTGCGATGGTATGAATTATTATAACATTTAACAAGATTTTGACTATGTTTATTGCTTTTATCAAATTTCAAATTGTATGATAATAAGTTTTGTGCATGATGGTGAGCTTATGACTTTCAAACAATAGTGCTGAATTGTCATATTTTATTGGTACCTTGACATAATACGCCGCCGTTGTGGGTATAAACTGGACTCTGTAATTGGCAGCTAATGTTTTCGATCACTTGTTCACATATGAAATGAGGGTTGAACAACTAGTCTGTGGGTGTATTGAAGATCTGAGAGTTCCACTTGAGTGTTTGATTTTGAAAGATATTCCAACTCACAAAGGACAAAGTTAAATGGTATAATAATGTATGTGTTAAATGTTTATATTCAGGACATGACATATAGAGTTTCGAGCATGGAAGTTAATGACTTTCCACTTTCTTTACTTAGGTATTTATAACAATTGGAATGAAAGGGGTTATATCGCTGTGCAGCATCTGATATGTATTGTTATATACTTCTAAATTGTAAACTTACTTTAAATATACATAAATGTATTTTAATATTTATTGACTGCCGGTTATTAATACTTCGTCAGTTGTTAAAATGCTCCATACTTTAATAATTCCTTTAAAATAAAAATGTGATTCACTATTTCATAATCATCATTTACAGGTTTTCAATTCTTCAAACAAAATAATAGTCCACAATAATTAATTATTAGCGTAATGCCGCCCACTATAATTATTTTTTAATCTAATTATAGTGGGAGGCATTACAAATCTGCGTGAAGTACGAATTTAATATTCTCATTAAATCGACTATCGATTACATTGCAAAAAAACTACTCCTATTACATAATTTAGTTCACGAACCTAAATCCCATCTCCCTGTTACCTTTGAAATATACGTTTATTTAAAGTATATATGGTTTTGTGGTTGTATTATAGTTTGAGATAAAAAGAGGGAAGATTATGAGGGGCTGCGCAGCGAGTGCCGTGTATCTAGGTCTAATCGCATTCTTAAATGTTAAAAGCTAGGTATTGTAATGTTAATAGTTGTAACTCATACATTAGCATTAATTTATTGTCGGTCCGTGTGTAACCAACAGCAGTGCCGAGTTGCTTGTATAAGTGTATTTTGTTGTATTTTTAGCGCAAAACATGTAATATATAAATACTGTCTCAGTTAGTATATTGTTTGAAATGTATTTGTTTTTTATTTCAATCCGTGTTTGAATAGAAAAATAACTTTATTGTACAATGGCGTCATCTACCGTTTAGTACTTCATATATATATTAAGATAACAACAGATGTATGGATATTTATGAGTTTTATTTTTGTCTCATTGATTTACATTTGTCACATACTATAAACTACGATATCAAAATGTTGTTGATTTAATTCAAGTGAGTTTTGATACGTGCAATTTCTATAAACACTCAAATTTTAAATTAAAATACTTTAACTTTCGTTAACATCAAATGAAATCAATTCACAAAGAATGTTTTAAGCTTAGGGAACGCACCATATCGCAAAATAAAGAAATCACCTCTCCAGTCGAAGTCATAGACTAGATTTAAAAATAGCAAATAAGAATATGGCCACGTATGAGGCGATGACGTCATGACTCATGACAATACTAGATCGACTGGCTTGGTCTACGTACGGCATTTGTCGACATTACACTTGGACACTAGATAGCAGTCCATTGCACCTTGGCGTGTCACGTATCATAGTTTGTTAAGATTTAAATTATACCGCTTTGTCTTCACTCCGTGACTTCAAAACTCATTTGGTCATCTAAATTGATATAGCTATGGTATAATGACGTGATTTAGGCAATAATTGCACTGAAGTGAATAGTTCGTGTTATAAAGAATTACACCTTTCAAAGCTCACTTTATTTACGTACCTATATGAGTTGCTAGCAATTGAGAATACTTATTTTGTGGGATTCAGTAGGACATAGTTGTTGTGAGGAGAAAATTCACACTAGTGTATATTGATTTCTATTCGGTATCGTATAGGTATTTACGAGTCAATGCACAGGATTTTCTATTTATATCAATATAGTTTAATTAACGGCAGTGATGTCAATAGTGTGCGACCGTCGTGTAATCAAGGAACTGTCAGCTGTTTGTAAACCTTCAAGTTCTATGACTAGGATACAATTTGGCTGCCCTATTTCTAAACCATTCAAGGGACACTTAGAAAAACAGGTTTATTGCATAATTTTGCTAGTCACTATTCAATACAAAAACACGAACTAAAAGCTCAATAATTGAAGAAGAATGAGAGAAGATGTGTTTTGAAATCAATATTTTGCAAAAGCGCCTCATTTACGGGCCTCTTCAAAAGTAAAATTTATTAAATGTGCAATATATTTTAATATATTTTAAGATATTGGTAGATAAATCTATTCGTAAAATATTTATTACTTTATACAAACATTAACGTGTTTATTACTTGACATAAATACATTTCCTATTTATGTTAAGTAAACGGACAATCTATTTGATTTTAGTGCGTTTGTCTGTAAAATTTAGTTTTAAGCTGTTACTAGGTTTTGTAACAGACACCCGAATTTGGTTTTGGTGTTTCAAAGACGCTGTTAATAGTTGTACTTCAGACTCCAGACCGCATTGCCTATTTAATCAGCCCAAATCAGAATACTATTCGGTGTCAATGTCATCTAATTTTTTGTTTTCATATTTCAAACAGTTTGACAATCTTGATTATACGAAGGTCATATCTCGATGCATTCAAATCATACTGATTTATATATGTCGAATTATGTGGTAATGTAAACCAAAGCTTAATAACATCTTAGTTGGTATTAAACGCAGTGTGCTCATATTGATGTAAGACAGCGTTGATTACATACATTAGTACCATCAGATTTCTATTGAGTTGAGGTGAACTTTTATTAACAAAAGCTAATAAAACAAACTGTGAAACATATTTGCTTGTTTTTTTTTGTTCATATTTTGTTGTTTAACTAACTATCGGAAAGAAGTTCTACCGGGAAGGAGACGCTATGAGCGAGACCAAAAAATGTGTAACAAGACTTTTTTCGACACTTCTTGCTATAGTTACAGCCGTGTACGGACTATATACATCACCGCACACAGGTCACCCGCGAACTTCGTTCCATGATAGACCCTTCACGCCGTTTGTATTCGTATAAGGGAGGGCTCGCTTCGGCACAAATGGGTCGGCTCGACTGGAGTGATGCTACGGCCTCACAGGAAACCGGTGTTAAGCAGTTTTCTTTCGATGCCCAACTTCCTACCTCCCTTTATCGTTGGAGAGGAGACTCAAAGGTCGTCAACGCACTTGTGTTGCATAGGTCGATATGTTGTGGTGATGACGTACCATCAGGTGACCCGTCTGCTCGTTTGCTCCCTTTTCCCATTAAAAAAGGGAGGGGTTTTAATTCAATAAGGGATGTCTAAATAATAAAATAATATTAAAAGATTGAAATAGTAAAACGTATTTTTTTTAAATACTGAACTTGAAAAGGATTGGTGACCTTGAGGTCAAAATTTGAGTACCGAAGGTCATATCCGATTGTAATTAAAAGGCTCAAAAGCAAGCAAAGTTTTGTATATTGGTAAGTATTTTGTATTATTAGGAAAAAACTAGAGATAGGATTTTTAAAGTAATTTGGCTATCAGTTCATTTTGGAAAAGGGGTCTCTTGCCCAAAATAGTTTGGGAATCCCTGGTCTAGAAAATAAAAAAATGGAGTTATTACAGCTATCTATCCGCTTTCAAACCAACCCAAGAGTAGACAAGTCACATAAAATAAAGTAAGCTAAATAAAAGTTATGAACGTAACTTAAATTAAAAAAAAACCGCATGTGACCGACATGTTGAATCTGCAAAGAACAAATATTGCTCTCACTCGTAAAAGATTACTCGTAAAATCTGAAATATGATGACTATAGTAGACTGTAGAACAAACAAGTTAATTACCTATTAAAAATAAAACCCGAGTGCGTGAAATTTAAAGGTACGTATTTAAGATTTACCAATCGGCAAAAATGGGAACCCTCTTGCTAGCGCAATCGGTTAAAAAGAAATTATTTTTAAAGTATATATAGCCGTTTCTCAAAAGTTTTTTGTGTAACTAGTCTAAATTCGTATTTTACACTAAAAAAACATTTACAGGGAAAATCCAAAGATTTATGTAGGTAGATAGAAAGAATTAAAACGGAGTAAGTTGTTTAAAGGTCATAGCTGTTTGTCTTGTCTTGTGTTCTTGTCAGGTACATCCGACCAGTACCGTTTCGCCTTGAGCGTTATTATTCTTTGTATCGAGTACTATGCGTAAACGCTCACTATATGAACTCCGGAGCGACTCGCCCGCGGGTTGACACGCCCGGACGGCGAGTAGACCACTCGGTGACCACTGTCCGCATTGGTTCACGCGCTAGGACTTCGGCAGCATATTGGTCCACCTCGAACGTGTCTGTTGTATAGTTTTCTGCATAACAAGGCGGCGTTCACCCGGCGACCAACCCTTTCCCTTTGTTTTCCTGTTCTGTACTCCCCTCGGATACCACCCACCAGTGGGGTGGTTATGTCGGACTCGAACCGACCAAAAACCGCACGCCGTCTCCAGGTACCAGTAGCCGGGGAATCAGGTATACCCTAGAAAGGTAAGCCCTGGTACACCCTTGGACCAACCGTCGACAACGAGTGTCGAGTGGGTGTAATAAGCTATGACCTTAAAAATCAATGGAAGCTATAATAAACATTTACAGGTAACGCGCATTGGGGTTAAACGCGCGCAATTAAACTAGGTACACTTTTCATAACCACCCTATTTTTTACAAAATTCTGATATTAATGATTAAATTTATGTATTTGTGTATTTATGTATTTATGTATATAAAAAAATATAAACTATAAAACTGCTTTTCCAAACAAAATAATTGATTGATCAAATTTTAGAATAAATAAGTACGTAAAAAAGGACAGTATTCATTTCTCGCTATTTTAAAAACAAAACATTGTGAACAGAATTATCCATTATCCATAAACAGAATTATCCATAAATATAATACAAAAAAATTAATCTGGCGAAATAAATATTCAGAATATACCTATAATGGATATAAATACACTTTACAAAAATAAAATTATGTTACATATTATAAAACTAATTTTTATTTTGAATGATGATGATTGTGATATTGGTAAAATATTTTTTATACGTATAGAAATATATGTTTTGTACAAGGCTTAAAAGAAAAAGAATGAATGACTGAAGGAGGATGACTCGGCTAGTTCACAAAGTTAAGTTACGAACTTACGTTACAACGGTTATTTTATAATAAAACAGAGGAAACAAACGGCAGTATTAATTTGGTTTATGCATCACTTACTACTAGTACTATTAAAATTATCAATCATCCGTACACCTGCATACCCACGCGGTAATCAAGTGACCTAGTTGAAACACAAACATGTTAGTAGACCCTTTGAAGGCTGTCCCATTCCCATTCCACCTCATAACACGTCGTTGGTGGGGCGTCGCCGCATGCTCGACTCGAAGTCAAAACCAGTTGTGCTTGTACGACGGACTACGGTGCACTTCTGTTAATCACCTTAGAAAATGAACGTAAACAACTCGTGAACGAACACTTTAAATTGTCGTAGGAACCAGTGACGTGACAAACAGTGATGGCAAAGTGAAACCGTTCCAGTTAACGGTTCTCGACAAGACTCAAATTTCACGACTGTGAGTATATTTAAGTAAAGAAGCGACGAATGCGAAAGTTATATTAATAAATATTGACCGTTTTAACCGACGCGTCTGGTGTAATCTATTCAAAATAGGCGTTACATTTTCCCTTGCTGTATTTTCGAGTGAGAAAAATATAAAATACTTTCACTGTTTCTCATTAAGAGAATGTATTAGACGGGCCTTGTGTTATCCGTAGTATTACCTTGAGTTATGTTGCGTCTGCGCAACTCACATAACTTTGCAATTGGTCGTCTTAGCTCGTATTAATGTGCTCGTATGACACACATTGGCACATACCTTTATTAGTGTAAGTACATATGTATAAATGATAATAGTTACTTTTCGTAAAAATATAATTAGTTTTGATACATGTATCTGTCTGCAAGTCTAGATGTAGCTTTCAATAACATAACTGATATACCGGCTTTTTATAATTTATGCAATAGGTGTTGATCTACCTGAATAAAACAAAAAAAAATCGAGAAGATCATGGTTTTTACTTCACATATACATTTATATACACTCACATAATGGATAAATTTTATAAATACCTGTCTAATATACTTCATACCTACTATAGGTAAAAGACAGAGTTGACACGGTCTTGCTGGCTTAATAGAATAATACGACTGCACGAAACTAGTATCATGGCTTATTCGAGGTACGTTTTTAAATCTAACACTGAATATCTTTGAATGACTGTTGGGGCCTAGCCGATACATTTTGTTAATATACCTACCTCTTTTGAAGAATGATTATTATCAATCATCTTGCAATCAGTTTTAAAACAATAATAATATATAATCATGTAAGGACGTTTATTGAAACTGCAGTTTTTTAATCCAAATAAATTACCTCTAGTAAGAGAAGAGAAGATGGTTTTAAAAAAATTCACATAATTTATTGTTAGACTTATGTCAATGAATGTGTTCTCTGAAAAGTGTTTTTATTAGAATCAAGGTGTAAACTCCCGATTTTAGTCCTGTTCATAGAGATTTCTAGATAGCTTTTTGCTGCTAAGATGGGCTTGATAGAAGTTAAGAGCTATTATGAAACATCAAAAAACGATCAAATGTGTATGGCAATGCACAGTGTAGGGTTTTATAGTTGGCCATCATAATATGCGGATACAGAATGAGCCTTTTTTGATACTGTGAACATAAGACTACAGTTTAACGGCTAATAACGTCTAACAGCGGGCCGCGTGACCGTCGCAAATGATTGATTTAACGTAACGTTAATATTACTAATAATTAGAATTTATTATTATTCAAGATTTTATAGTTATTTTTTCAAATACAAATCGAATAAACTTATATTTACTTATTTCACACTAATGCCATATTCATCTAAGTAACAGATGCATAAAATTTTAATCTAAGTAATTTAATTCACTACGTACATTTTATAGGTCACTTACCTAACTATTACTTGACTGTTATTAGTTAACTCCATTTAATTAAAATGTAATAAACAAATTAGTTTGTAACGTAACATCAAAACTTTACGAACTATGTGACGCGACGCTGTTGCGGTCGGTGCAATAAGTAACTTAGCGAGGGTTTTGGTAGGTGTCTTTTATAGATAGCCGTATGTCTGGTGTCATCACATCTATGAAATGTAATGGTTTTATAGACGGGTCAAACTTACAGATACCTCCGTCGTGTGTTTGGACAACAGTATCCCCTTCCTACCTCTAAAGGGCGCGCGCGCTCTGGAGCGAATCGTGCCGTGCGTCGGCCCGGTTTGTTACTGCTAGGGTGACACGGGGTCACTGTCACCCCTAGGGCTGCGCTTATCGAGGACGGAGGTCGTTCGGTACTCTCCGGCTCCTGAGCCGCCTGATGTGTCTGGCCCGTATTTCTAAATATGTCCCGGTCCTAGTCCGCCCTCTCGCTTATAACTTTCTCGTAGACTGACTGGGCTGTCGATTGTTATTACAATGTGATCATTAATTATTGTACTTTGTGAATTTCACTTCAATCCCTAATGAACAAAAAACCACTTTCGAATTCATCATCGAACTAAGAAGCGATCGTTTATACCACAGTAAAACCTGAAACAAACTATGAAAGAAGAAAGATGGCGTACTAGTTCTGCCTTCAATGCATCCATTCTTCAGTTCCTTTGTGAGTATGCAGTTCTAAACCCGAGTTCTGATTAATTCATAAAGGTCTCTGGACTTTTCTACATGCTGCACACAAATTGTTTAATTTATCATTAAATGAATGTATAAATTGAAAAAAAAAAAAAAAAAATTACCAACAGAATAACTCAATGTGTGTGACATTTTGGCCATTACTTTTATATTTATATCTTCTAAATGGTATGGGTTTTATTATATCCGTTTTTACAAACAGTACCTATAAACAAATTCATAACAACGTATGAAAAAAATCTACTATTTAGTAATAGATTTTTTTCAAGAGTAGTCTCTTACATACACAATTAATCGACGTCATATACAAAATATCTGTTAAACTCAAATAATGAAATTCGAACTTTTTCCGCTGGGGCAACGCACACTAAACACTGCCAGATCAGCAATACTATTCACATAGCGTACCAGATTCTGTCATCAAGAAGTCACAGTCGCCCGTTTTCAATTAAGTAGGTATACGTAAAGTGCTACATACAACTATTACATCGCAAATAGGCAGGCGAGTAAATTAAATTTTGTCTTTCACTGTTCAATAAAAGCAAAAACTTCTAATTATTAAGAAAGAAACAATAGGTTTGTTAAGATATAACAATGAGATTGACAATTGGACATGGACTAATATGTAATATTACAATTATATATTTTAGATAAAAATTATGTTTTGAATACTATGTTTCCATAAACGATTCGTCATCTTCATCATCAAAAGCCTTCAACAGTCTACTGCTGGACACAGGCCTCTCTTTAGAAAGGAGGTCTTAGCCTACTACACCACGCTGCCCAGACGTGTTGATATATGGTTTGTGTCAAGTTTTCCTTCTCTTTGCAGTGCTGTTGTCCTGCTCCCTTGGTCGGGATGAATAGGGTGACGACACTCCGTATTCTTAATCCGTCACCACACACACTAAGTCATCAAATCCATACTTATATTATAAACTTGCTGGTGCCTGCGACTTCGTTTGCGTGGAATTTGTAAAACGCTTAGTGAGTTCCATTCCCGGACCAGGCAAAATTTTATAGGGTTTTTGTGAGAGAAAAAATAGCCTTAGTTACACCTTATATAAAAAGCTACCTGATAGTAAAAAAAATGGGTCTAGCCGACAGACAGATACACAGACAGACAGACAAATAATATTTAAACTTGTTCTAGGCATAGGTATCGTATAAATAACCGTGTGAGCATGAAAAAAAACATTATTTTGACATTACCAACCGACACTTCAATTTTATTTATTTGTATAGATGAAAGTGAGCTCGTTTGTTTGTTAGCTTTCAGGCCTAAACCCCTAAATCGATTTTAAAACTTCTTTCACTAATGGAAAATTACATTATCAGATAGTAACATAGGCTACTTTTAACGCGATAACCGCCATGCACGCGGGTGGAGCCGCCGGCAAAAGCCAGTAATACGAAATTAAGAAAACATATCAAATTTCGGTTAAGGTACGCTAAAACATAAATGTCAAATAATAAATAGCAACCGAAAACAAAGATTGGTGTAAAAATATAAAAAAATAATGCATGAAGAATAAATTATACATTTTTTTTTATATAAACATAAAATATTTAAGCAGGAGTGGAATAGGTCAAAGTAACTAAAAAAGAAACGAAATCTATACCAATATACTCGTAATGAGGTTGATGTACATATTTTGTTTATTTAAACACGCACACTGGAATTATGAGTGAGATTTGAGTAATACTTTTTGTATCGAGCAGACTCAGAGGCTATGTAACAATACGCTACAGCTGGTTGGAGAAGAGCAGTATTTGTGATAAACGCAGATAAAACTGCAGGGAACAGCTAGTCTACTAATACTTTTAAAAGCTTTTAGAAGTGAGCATGTAAAGAAAAGACAAAAAAATCACACACAAAGAATTAAATATATTGCTTATATTTTCTATTTTGTAAAATTACGATTGATTTTAGTTTCTTGACTTGATTTGTGAGAATTAAAACAAATTCATTAAACAAAATAACATAATAACATGCTTGTTCGTAGTCTAAAATTGAACATTTACCGCCTAAATTAATAGTAAAAAGTAAAGGTAAAGGTGGGTATTTTTATAATATCTATGGTTAGGTGTTACGTTAGATTTACAAACCGCAAGATTATCAAACATACTAATTTCTCTGGACATTTAATTTGTATTATTGTAGTGATCTAACTGACCTCTCTAAAGTCCCTTGTTTAGAGGCCAGTAACTGATGTCCTTTATTGATTACTAGTATTTGTTACCTTGTCAACAAAAGTAGTTAATATCCACTTACTAACCCTGATTAAAAATATTCATTGTAAATATCCAAATCTCTCTCAACTGTACATAGTGCAACATGAAAACAGAATTTATGTCAATTAACGAAAGCAGGGTAGGTGTATTAAAATAATTTAAGTCCAATTACGTAATATAGACTATGAGTTAGTGAACCATTCGACTAATCAGTTTCCTACAAGTAAAGATAAAAGAAATTTAAATGACGTTTCATTATCTGTCAATGAAGAGTGTTCAGCGATATTGCGGTTGCGTCATCAACATTTAAATTTTTAAAAATATAATAAAAATGTTTTTGATACACTGTAATTTACATTTAAAAAATTACAACCTATTTTTAAAGTAGTAAGGATGTGGCAGATGATAGCAAAAGGTATCAAAGAGGTGAAAATTTATAAACTGTTAATAGGGGGCCAGCTTATTATCGTCAACCGGGCACATATATTTCTAAATAAACATACTTATAAATTTCCAAGCAAACATTACATATAGATAAATTACATCTAGAAAGAACAACTAATCGTGCTCATCACAATATTTTCCGGACAACGAATATTGAACCCACGACTTGTGGTTGAGCAGTCGGGATTGTTAACCACTAGACCAGCCCGTCAAGGTCATAAACAACTGTACCCACAATGTGGTTGCAAAACATAGATAAAAGCTATCTTTAAAGCGTGTTGTATGTCGTGTAAAAACGTTGACCTCAACCGGTGCAGAACTGTTGGAATTTTTTATAATAATTTTATTAAAATTATTTATTACAAATATATAAATTGACAATGCAAGTTTTAAATGTTAAGTAATAGGTCTAAAATTTTAAAATGAAAAAAGATCAACGCTTTACAGGCGAGCTTTGTTAAATACAATCGCTGCAGCTTGAGTAGGAAGTATCGCCGAAGTAGTCTAGATTGTTTATCAGTGTACAATGTCGCCCGCTGTATGTATCTATGATGCAAGTTCACGATTACATCAAATATATATCATATAAATTTTCTCAAGTAGATGCTTAAGTTGTTTGCTGCCTTCTTTAATTATTAGGTAAACATGTATATATATCATAAATTCAGAATTAAAACTGATAATATCTATCTCTTTAACTTCTTCAATAGACGCTTTAGTGACTTGAAAGTTTTTTCTTGTTCTCTTTACTCTAGGGCCGAAAAGAGCATTAAATCACCTTAGTTCAGTTTTTGCCTTATCAGAATTCATACTTTGTAGCATTGATCCCATTGCCATACGTTCATATCGAGTTTATTCGATATATGTTCTTGCTATGAATATTCAGAGCAATACTCGAAGTGTACTGATGGCAGAATAACAAGTTTTGTTAGAGTACTCCGGATAAACCCGCTCATATTGCTATACGTAGGTAACATAGGTTTTGATCCACTCCAACACTTTTGATCTCCAAGTAAGGAGACCTCTAAGTGTATTGTTGTGACTATTTGTGTTTCGGCCTTGCAGGTGTCCACGGGCGCCGGTAGTTACCTACCATGAGGTGACCCTTCTGCTAGTTTGCCGCCTATATCAATACAAACATTCATTACATATACATGACTATACATTTCCCGACAGAGTTAGTCTAAGATCCTATCCTAGCAAGACTTTTCAGCTCCATATAGTTTTCGATTTATTCGAACACTGCAATATTTTAATAGGTGAACAGTTAAATTACATTTATGATATTATGATTTTTTTTGGTTATTTTTCAGATTCTTCTTAGGTAAGACAAAATCAATGGACGGCTGTGGAAGATGTATGAAGTATTCACTAATATGTATCAACGTGGCCACCTTCGTAAGTGTTTCTCAAATATCACACATTTCGTACTTATTAGCACTTTTACTGAATCTGTTTAATAGTCTTTTTAATCGGTTGTTAACACGGACCGCCTGCTCTTTGGCCACCCTCCCATTATAATAGCAAACACTTCTTACAATTACAGCTAATTACAAGCTATTGTAACACTACCCAGCTTTCTGTGGGTATCTGAATGAAATAAGTATATGCATAAATGTTTAGGTAGCGCTAAAAATATTGCTCAGACATTTTAATCCTATATTTTTGCGTATACTTATAAAGTTTCTCTTTATATTGGACGCTATAGAGAGAAACTTAATACCTGCGGTCTGTAATCGTTAGAGTTGAGGTATTTAATAGCATGAATGTTTAACGATTAATACTTTGTTATTTTTCAGCTGGGTGGCATAACAGCGTTAGGGATAGGTCTATGGGTGTGGATAGACCGTTCGTTTTCAGACACTCTGGTGAGGAGCAACATGTTCTCATCGTCCGTCGCGGTGGTAGTCTTCATGGGACTTGCTGTAATACTCCTCTCGATACTCGGCTGCTGCGGAGCGGTCATGGAAGTCAAATGCATGCTTCTGTCGGTATGTTCATGTCATAGTTTGTATTTATGTTGTCTGTAATAAAGGGAAGCTCCTCCGAACAAGCAAGAGGAATTGCTGCAGGCATGTTTAGCGTTCATCGGTGAAGATGTGACACCTCATAATGTAAGACACCAGTATTTAAGAGTTCATTCGGGTATCGTTGGGTTCGTTTTGTTGGTAAAATTATATTATGCAGGAGGAATCCACACGGCCGTCCGATACCAAATAAGACAGAGCCTGTGCTATGGTATGGTTACTATAGTACAAGCTCTGTCTTATTCTGACTGCTGATAAACATACTTATATATTTTTTAAGACCAGCATATTACACCCAGGGACAGACCAACATACCGTATTCAATACACAGCATCCGTCCTGGATGTTAATCGAACCTAGGACCTAACGTTTAGCAGTCAGAATCGTCAACCTAGATCAACTAGACCAACATGTCCAGGCCAGATTGAAACTTCTTAATGACTAGATTAATGGATTATTTTTAATTGAATTGGCAACATTTTCGGTCATCACTAAAGGACCACATAATGATAGTTTATCTGAGAGAGACTTTATTTGTAAATAAAAAACTCTAACCTTTAATTTGTTTTTTTTTTTCAGTATTTTATTTTGGTGCTCATCATATGCGTAGTGCTGCTCGTAGGTGGCATCCTACCGTTTGTGTTTCGAGAGCAAGTCGTTAAGACTTTGGAGAGGGAAATGTATGCGGCAATACCATACTATGGAATTAGAAGGGAGTACACAAAGTCCTGGGATGACACACATACTTACCTACAGTGTTGCGGAGTCAAGGGTCCGGAAGATTGGAATACTAATCTCCCTGAGAGCTGCTGTATAGAGCTTTACCCAGGAAAGGTGAGATTTTAATAAACTTTTAACGGGGTTTAATACATTTTCGCTCTAATAATTCGAAAAAAAGTAAGTATTATTTATTAAAAATATTTTCAAAAATAAATATTTTAGGAAATATTACCGCTCAATTTAAATTCCCTTTTTTTTTTTATTAACCCGTGTATAGAAACTACTACGGATAATACAAACTTTATTTTTTAGGTATTTCTAGTCCCATACTCTTTAAAACGATATATTTTTTGGTCAAGGAGGGCAATAAGGAAGGCCTTTATTTTATTTTGAGAAAATGAGATGGGTATCGAGAAGGCTACAGCACCATACACCACTTTTACACTGTTTGACAGATCATACCAGACCAGATGCTGAGTCTTAGCTGAGAATAGGCAGGGGAATGTAATGCCCCCGTTTTAGAAACTTGGAATCGGATAACGGACAACGGTAATGTAAACAGTAATGTTATGTTACAGAGACTGGATTGCCGGGCGACTCCAAATCCCACCACCACTCACATGGTCGGATGCTTTGATAAACTGATAAAGCTCTTAAAACAAAGCACAGCTTATGTCGGTGCCATTGGTATAATCCTGGCTTTTATTACGGTACGTATTAATTGGATGCTATTGTCTGTTCTTTTTTTTTAACAGCTCAGCCCAGGAATTGTCAGCATTCACATATCTCCTTGAGGGTTTTTCATCCGAGTGGTGACGGATTAAGAATACAGAGTGTCACCACCTCTATTTATCCCGTGGGCGTCGTAAGAGCCGGTTTAAGGAGCAAACTACGCAGGGCAACATCACTGCAAAGAAAAGGAAAATTTGAAACAAATCTTATACCAATCCGTCTGGCCAGCGTGGTATAGTAGGTCAAAACCTTTCTAAGGAGAACGCAGTGGACTACTAAAAGCTGTTGATGTAATGTGATGTGGGTTATTTCATTTCGAGAATGTCTAAAAGTTACAAACATTAGAACATAGGGAAGGGAACCTTCGATGTTTTCTATATTAGTTTGTCCACGGGTTGTGTAACACCGAGAGTTCGGCGATGCGGTGACATCAAACTGGATAGGCAAACGCTTTCTGTAGGAATTCCTTAGACCTATCTTAAGTAGAGTTGAACGGTAGTATTACATGAACAATGGACGACCCATGCTGCTGCTGAGATGGTCATAACGATGATAGTGAAAACAAAATAAAAACAATAATTGTGATTAAAATGGCAATATATTTTTCTGTTTTCAGCTGTTGGCTATGTTGTTGGCATGCGGGCTGTTCTTCAAGATAGATTGAGGAGAGCGGCAGAGTGTCGGTAAAGAACTATAAAGAGAGTACTTCCATCATAACGTAGTGTTGCAACTATTGCGAGTATTAAATTAATGTTCTATTATGAACGTGTGTGATTAGTTAGTGTAATCTGTTTTTCTACATATTTTTGTATATTTGTGCAATAAAGTGTGATTGCATACGTTATAACTGGTTTATCTATAAAATAATGTAAATTCCTTTTTCGAAGACCTATTAACTTATTTGTGACCAGGTTAGAAAAAGAAGTGCTTAACGTCGACACTATCGTGCCTTGAATACCGAAAAATTCACAAACTCTCCGTATTGCGGTCGCATTACTAGTTATTATTATTATTTAGTTAGTTTAATTATAAATTTGCAATGGCTACAGGTGACCGGGAAATTATAAAATACTTCTGCCGCTCAGCTCTAGCCATTGATCTTAGTGAGGTTTTAGGTGACTTACAACATGTAGTTGAACTCCTCTATTATATATACAAGTATCTCTCCACTGGCAGGAACACTTGGCAGGCTTTTCCAATTGTCGGCATCAAATTTAAATTTATTTTATTATAGTTATAAACCTAATAGAATAGACACTTAGGGAGTACTACATTACATGCTTAAAGCTAAGGTGTCTTAACTAAAATTGCTCCCAAATACTACATCGGTAGGAATATATGAAACTTCTGCTTTATCTATCCCTGAAAGAAATAAAATAAACATAACACGATAATTTTATTTCATAAAAGAAGGCAAGTGATAATCGAACCGGCTACATGTTGTTTCTATTTACGTCTGGGTGGAAATTTGATGGTGTTAGGGTTGCCCTCGCGATATTGTCCGAAACGGCTGAAATACCCGCATGATTTCATGATACAGTCGTTAGTTGTGCCACCGAGTGCCAGCCCTAGGGCACTGATGCGTTCTAACGTCAGAGGCGGTCCCCCTATAATCTGAAATTACAATTCATCTTTAAATACTTGTCGAAAAAACGTTCATCTTTCTTTTATTTCTATACAAAGATACTACGTTACTTTTCGTGTTGTGCATGTTGTCATAGGTCAAAAATAAATTTACTAGCGGCGAGTTTGAGACATTATTTCACTCGGACATGTTAATCTATCCAAAAAATTCCTTTGCTTTCGAAAATTTGTGCCAAAAGGTAGGTACAAAGTGAGAAGACATGTAGAAATTCAAGCAAAAAACTCCGATAAACTGACCGTTCGAATGAGAGTTTCCATTTTCTACTGGATGAGACAATTGCATTTATTGTTACACATTTCGCGTGTAGGTAAATATATTAAGGACCATGTATAAGTCGTAACAACAACAACAACAGTAATACTTACTCTACCGAATACAACATGTTTTCCATCAAACTGCGGCAATGGTTTAAATATAATGTTGAAAAACCCATAGACTTCATTGTCTTTTGACACTGACATGGACAGTACTCCTGAACAAATAACATACATTTAAATAATTTGTGTGAAATAATTTCGCTTTAAAAAGATGCTCATTATAAGAAATAACTAGATATCAAAATGTCTGATACCTACGAGTAAACATCTCAATCGTAAATTTAGATAAAAGATAATTACTGTACTATTTCATACCTATAAAACTCCATCTACGATGTACATTATTTAAGATGATGTTTCAATCGTCATGGGATCAATCTAATTTTTAATACAATTTCAAAAAACATTAATAAATTATAATGAAAAGGGTCACCTGGCACAGTATGCTTCAGGATAAAATTCTCAGGACCCATTGGGTCCTCCCTGTCTCCAGGCACGTATGTACCGTAGCCATTGTCCTTAGTTACGTCACCTCCACAACAGTACAAGTTTGGCACTACCCTGCGTAAGTAAGTTTAATCAAAATATATAACATTATTTAATAGCCTGGCTTATTCAATAGCCTGGAATGAAATCAATAACATGATAGCAATATTTTTGAACTTAAATCTTTAAGTAGAATTGCAACTGACAAAAGAGGATGCACCCTATATTAAGAGAATAATGAACGGCTGTTACTGTGTAGAGTTTTTAGGGTTGCGTACCTAAAAAGGTTAAAAGGAAACCTTATAAGATCACTTTCTTGTCCATCTGTCCGTGTTTCTCAGGAACGGGTAGACCTAGCAAGTTGAAATTTATACCAGATACTGAGGTCTATGGTCCCTATTAGGTGTATAAAAATCTATGTAGATATCCCCATCCCATATCTTTTTATCTATGTTAATAAAAAGATATGGGCAAATTTTGATTTTCGCGAAAACTTGTAAGTACCAAAATTTACCTTAATTTGCAACTTTTTTTTTTCAGAATTTTCCCTTTACTTGTGCTGTAAGACCTTGCTCTTAACCAAAATTGACAATTCTATAGGTTTTGGGTCGAATACCTATATGGTAGTTCCGGTTGACCTAGAGTCACGAATTTTGGCAAAAAGAAACGTCTTACAGCATAAATAAAGGAATAATTCCAATAAATGAAAAAAGAAAAAATTAAGATAAATTTTGGTACTTACAAATTTTCGCGAAAATCTACGTAAAATCTGGGTAGGTACAGAGCCCTCGGCGCACGAGTTCGACTCGTACCTGACCGGTTTTTTAATTCATTGTATGTAGAAGTTGCCACAAATGACGTAGTCAGTTGCAATGTTGGTGCATATCAATGGACCTCTGCCTAGTTTGGAATCAGGCAGCCGTGTGTGAGATGTGTGAAGGTATTATTGTTATAAATGACATGAAAAATTAATTCAGAAATAATTGTGTTTAAATGTGAAACTAAAAGTATGCCAAATAAATTATTAACATCAAAAATTAATAAACTTACTAAATTTTACAACCAATGGAATTGGAGGGGGAGATATGGTTTGGTTGTTGGTGGAACCTCACTCACTCGGGGAAATGCAACGAGGGTCGGAGGAACAAGTTAATCACTGTCGTTACTACTAAAATTTTTCTGAGCTTTCAAATTATATCATAGCGAGAATTAGGATCAAAATTTAACAGTTTCAGATCTTGCACCGCAGGTGATACAAACCTGGTGCGTGGAAGTTTGGCCTTAGTCTTGTTAGTAATTAGTAAAGGAAAAACAATGGAGTAGATGACTGTCGAGTCAAATCAGTTATTTTTTTAAAACGTTAAAACGATAGCCGCGGTACATTTTTGTTTGAAATACTATGGCGTGACGTCATGCCTATTAATTGTCAAATATATATATATATTATGTTTAATATTGATTTAAAGATATAAAAAAATACATTAATTAATAATTGAGGACAATTCAGGTTTACTTTAAGAAGTTACATATATTGATACAGTCGAATTTATTTTAAATCTAGGCATCTACATTATAAATAAAGAGAAACAACTGAAGACTTGGATAGGGACGTAGTGCTGAGAGATATGACTGTCAGGTTTCCAAAGACAAGAATGAAGAAAATGGGGAAAGCTGTGTGGGATGTGAGATCTTCCATCACTACGATGGACAAATAGCTTGGAGAGAAAAGCAAAAAAATAAACCCCCTTTTCTTCCCGATTCTGAGGACGACCACGCACTTGTGACTTAGTTGAAGTCACTGCTTCAACTCTATCACAAGTAAAAAAAAGTCTAGTAAAATAAAAACAGTGACCTCCGTATGCCTAAGAAGATAAGATAAGATACAAACCTAAAGAACCTGGTGCCCATGTAACCGTGACCTGTTGCATCTCCTTTAATCAGGCTTAAAAATAATTGGCATGTTAAAGGTACGATGTCATTGAACAACTCCACTGTCACTTTTCCAATCTTTGAGCCGCCCCGCACCCAAATGTCCAGAGACACTCTGTGGAAACAATCTTATGACATTAGGTAGCAAAATAAAGGTTGTTCTTTGTTCTAAGTGAATATTTAAACACCTGTGGTTTGGGTTGTGACAAAAATCTTCGTCTTCAAAAATTAATGACCAACATTTTTCACATTTTTTTTGTAATTACTTTCAAGACCATCCGTTACCGCCTTGACGTTGGTTTTTGTACAACCTATTTTATTTATGTATACAACCTATTTTATTTATTTATATTTTATTTGGAAAATTTAGGCCTTATTCGAAATAAGATGTTTCGATTTGCTCGTGAAATTTACGTGTGACACGCCATTGAAGTCACAATTAAGGTGTAAAGTCAGAGTGAGTGGAATACATTGTCTCGTCAGAATTATTGACAGGCAAAGTAATCAAACAAATTCACGGATACTCGTCAGTGTATTCTTTCCTTGTGATTGGAAGTGAATACAGCCTATCCTTATTACCACATTTCGCTACAATCAAATTACCCCTAGTATCGCTTCTTATAACAATCTTTGTACTAAGTCTCTAATGGTATGAAATATTTACAATACTTACTTAGTACGAGTAACGTTTGGAGGTTTATCAAATGCTGGATCTTTAATATCTCTATCAATATTATCAGTTTTGAACAAAATAAAAGGCAATCTGTAAAATAATAAATGTAAAAAGCAAAATAGTGTTATAAAAAAGCTTCAGTATAGTTGAACTTTAATTGCAGTTGTCATTGCCCTCATCCTTATACTAAGCGCGTACGGAAAGTTTCTGGATTCCGATAAATAAGACTAGGTATAAGACTTACGATACATTTATTGTTTTTTATCAAAGTATATTCCCTCGCAATTAATGTATTTTTGCATTCGCTGAAAACGTGTGCCTCTAAGTTTGTCTTTAATTTTTGGAAACTAAAAGAAGCCTCAGGGAGCGAGGTCCGGGCTGTAAGGCGAATGTGTCATCAGTTCCACATTTAAAGCCTTCAAATAGGCTTCTGTTACCTTAACGGTATGTGAGGATGCGTTATCGTGGTGAAGGAGGACATTGCTTCCAGGACGCTTTTCTTGAATTTTTTTCTAAGACTAGGCAAGCAAGTGTTGACATACCAAATGATCGCGTGAGCATAAAAAAACCTATTATTTTGACATTACAGACACTTCAATTTTATTTATTTATTATATATATACATTAAGATTTTTATAGAATTGGATACTTACGAAGCTCCAAGAATCAACTTATGCTTAGTATCCTTCCATAGCTCATCCAGTTCACATGTTAGATATTGTTCAGATCTCTGTAATCATCATCATTATTCTATTTTGCTCAATTTAACTAAACATTTGTTGTTAGTCAATGTATTTTCTTCCACTTTTTAGTATGGTACTGAAAGTATCTGAGTTATATGAAGTAAGGCATCAAAGTCCCCTACTGCCTGTACTGCTACTACTGCAATGTAAGGAGACTAATAAATAGAACTGGAGCTCATTGTATTAGTTGTAAATGAGGGGAAACTCTTAAAGGGTTAATTTAGAAAAAGTTAATCCTAAACAAAAGTTTTGGATCAAAACAAGAACATGTTTACAAAGATTATTTCCAAAAGTGGTTTGTCTTTAAGGAAGAACTATGTGGTTTCCTAATAGAGCAATAACCCTAATGTCTTAATTTTTTTCTTTCGGACCCTGCCTGTAGTGCACTACAGGCGGGGTCCGAAAGCAAAAAATAAAGGTTTTAAGAGCTATAAATAGCAATAATGAAGATTTTATGTAGAAATACAACGGTAAAATTTGGTTGGCCATGTTTTTAGTTAGCAAACAAATTAAGAAACGTTTTTATTTTAATTACTTATGTCTGGTTTGTTGTAGTACTCTTAGCTTATCATACCACACAAGTACAATTTTTGTGTTATAACACACATATGTGATGGACGTATACATAAGAAGATATTTACGGAGACTCTAAATAAATGAAGATGATTGTAATATATAATTCGAACTAACGGCAACAAGAAGTCTTGAGTAGAAATACAGGTTCTGCCTCTGAATTTCGTCTAATAGTCGTTGTCGTTGTTGACAGAGTAATTTGTTGTATTTATTATTTGGTTCCGGTCTATGACAGTCAACAAACCCCTGTACACACAAGAAAATGAATATTATAACATGTAAAATGTAATAACTAATAACTGAAAGTACTGGTAAATGATTACCTACATTTTTAGTGACTAACAGTTTTTCTGCATTTTTTATTATAGGACATGTTTGTAAAGACAATTACAAGCGCCATTACGAACAACTACCAGAAACCATATTCAGCCCTAGTTCTCGATATTGTAGTGATTTTGTAATGGGATACTTTCACAAGGGGGAAAAAATCAATTCATGAAGACTTCAGTTTGGTCGTAATGTTTTAGGAAATTTATACTTAGCCCAAATAACTTTCTGGTCACTTCCAATCTCTATCAAGACATTTAAGTATACTCTTGGTTACAATCTCCAAGGAAATCTAGAATTGGTTCTGTTAAATTTCATACAAGCAATAAATACATTAATATTTATCAAAGCTACTACAATTGTAGGGTAGTTTTATAGGTTTTTAGGTTTCTGTGAGTGCAAAGAAAATAAAAATGTGAGACCTGAATTTCTTTAGTTGCTTTCTAGTGGAAGATATGAAATAAGTATAACAACCATATAAAGTGGGAAAAATTGGCCAATTTTGTTCAGTTATCAATTTAACCTAAACACAATTTTATTATACTTACTTAAAGTACAAAAAGATATTTAAAATGATCCAAGCCATGCTCTGTTAGAAAGCTCCCTTTTTAGTTACACTGCTGATAGAAATAGGATAAAATAGGAATTAGATTGTTGTAACTAACCCCCGTTCTTTGTATTAGATTAATTTTCTTGAGCAGATCTTTGTTGACGTTCATAGTGTCCTCAATCTGATAGGCGTAATAGTCAAGTCTGCGAGGCTTCAAATAGAGTTCCGGAAACAGTTCCGGAGGGCTGTCGTCCACTATGTGCGTCGCCATTTGCAACTGTTATGTTCGTGAAAATCAAAAATCTCTGACTAATTATCTTCTTTATTATCTAAATAAAGAAGATAATTAGTCAGAGATTTTTATAATCTATAATAAAATAAATATATAAATGTTGTCGTTCAGCACCATGACAAGTCAATGAGTACAGGATGATAGTAGAGTATCGTTGCTGTTTACACATAAGAAGCTTTGATTGATTATAAGTTTTAGCTTTTTGCACTTTCGATGTAAAACTATTCAAAATTATACATTCTTAAAAAAATATCTTGAAAATGCTTATAAAGAAATACAGTTCACGAATCAGATTAATTAATATTTTTAAAGAAATAGATGGTTTTTGATCATAAGTTGGTTCGTCATTGTCAAAGTTAGAAACACTAATCAAGAAATAATCACGGGAGCGAAGCCGTAGGCAATAGCCAGTAGTGTTATACAATTAACAGTTAATCTTGTAGATAATATCGGGTAATTACCTCTTTTTGGTGATTGCACCAGCATGCGTAAAACTCTTTCGATAGGAGTGGAAATCTTGGAGGCTGGAACATTATTCGGTATAAGTAAATAGGTATGTATATTCTTATAGAATATAGAAACAAAGTCTTTACTGACAAGTTTAAATTCTCGAGGTTTGCGAATACGCGGGGGTCGCGGCTTCTCTGGTTCTGGTGGGGGAGTTTTCAACAGTGGGTGTTCTAGTAACTCGTCGCATGTTCTTTCTCGTAACGGATGCATGTTTATTTGTTTGTATATTGTCTTCTAAGTCTCTTCAGTGCTAAAAGTTAAAGTAGGGAAGACATTTAAAATGTGGATGTTTGAATCTATTTACATTTAAATTTTTATTAGATCAAAGATTATTTAATTTTAAATACCTGAACGAATAAATAACCCGGACATATTTATAAAGTACGTGCTCGTTGGACACATTTGTTCTAACCTATGTCAAATTTTTATTCATTTATGATTCCATACATATTTTAAAAGATAATTACTAATATACACATGCCGATAAATGTTTTAAATGTAAGATACCACTTAAAACATTGAGTTCATCCAATCTTCCAAGCTTTTTCTCAAATTAGGATGGTGTAGGATTCTACTACGAAACGGCTGAAGTTTGATTTTTACGTACAGCAACTGTCAGACCTCCACAACAAGCAGTACTAGGCGATATCGAAATTATTTTCTGTTGGACTTTTTAAGGCTCTAACTACCTGGTACCACAATAAGGTGAAATCACCATACACATTTCACCAAGAAATTTTGCATACAAATGTAAGTTTGTTACTTACCGCTTAAGAAATATTTTTCTTCAATAGAAAATAATATGTATAGCTTAAAAACATCGTGTTATGTCTCACAGCGTCAGATCATTTGCCTTTATTATGAATTATGAATAAATCTTAAAATAATTATAAAATAACACCAATTTAAGTCCTGAAAGATCATCAAAATTATAGTAGTGTCATTATTTTTATCTTCTTTAATGACGTAATTGACATAATTTACTTAATATAAAAAGCAGGAACAGTTAAGTGTTGAACCTATTTGGTTTTTATGATTAATGAACGCCGAAAAAACTAATCACCATTTGTGTTCATTTAACCTAATACAAAGAATTTTGGTAAATAAATTAAAAAACGAACGGGTACGAGAAACTGAATTTTTGACTTTTTAAACTAGGTTACGTACCAGATCGATTAATAGGTAAAGATCAAGACACAATTTGAAGAATAAGTGAATTAGATGTTGTAATTTTATTAAACGAACTCTACCTGAGTTCGTTTAATAAAATTAAAAAAAACATCAGAATTGCAAATTGTTGACCAAAATTTCAGGTTATTTCTGTAGCGTTAGAAGGAGTACTATCGGTAAGGACTTAGACTTGCTTGTATTAGCTGAACTGCTTTAGATATTGCTAATAATCTCTTATTCAGCCGCGTATAACCAGAGAGAGCCATGTTTCGGCACATACGCGCCGGTTCGACCGGAATGATATCACTGAGTCACAGAAAATTGTTGCTAAGCAATTCTTTACTTGCTGTTTCAAACTCCGGTAAACCCTCCCTCAGAAATTACAGGATCTCCTGTAATAATTAGCGCGGCAACTACTATTTATTTATGTTGTTTAGTATAATATATATTTCACTTCAGTTTTAGTTATAATATTAAAACTAAGGTGAAGTTAACTCATAATTTTCTATGCTTGGTTTAGAAACTAGATGAATAGAGGGAACGAGTTATGAGAGTAACGCTCATAGTTATTTATTGAAGGCAAGTTTCTAAGGGGCCTGACTTCATTCTCGTCCGGTCCGGTAACCCCACCCCACTCGAGTGAGATTCTCGAAACTTTAAATACTGCCAAACCACTTGTAATTCCAGTTGCAGGTGTCCATAGGCGGGGCGGTTGTCTATTACGACCAGGTGACAGGTCTACTCGTTTGCCTCCTTAGTTTATACGGCGATAAGTTTGCTACCTATTACATGAGCAGGGCTTAAATGTTATTAATGCTGTGCATCATATGTATATGTAGAAACTCTCATAAGGAAGTTGTTGTCAGGTCTCCATGAGGATATTTGATAAAATTTGACTTATTCATGATTATAGGGATATAGGGTTGGTGGTAAATGGTAAAATAAAGAAATTTTGAATGGTATAGTAACTTTTATTTTTATATCCATGCCTGATGATAAAGTTGAGTGATGTGATGTGTGAGACAAGTTAATTGGGCGCTACCTATTTCTCCTCTTTAGTGTAACATGTATTAACTCCTTTCCCTATTACATCGTATGTTGAAATACTAATTTGCCAAGGTTTGTAAGCAATTGTTACCACGTGGGTGTTCTTATCAAAAACAGTCTCCGGGTTTGTTAACACATTATCCACCCGTACTCTCACGTAGCCTAGTTTGTAACAATCTGGGATCTGCAATTTATGAGTAGCATAAATAACCTACAGTGTGTTTCAAAATGTAATCCCGGTGTGAGGAAAGGCTTAAGTTTCAAACTAAACAAAAAATAAATAGATAACTATTTATTCACATTTTTTAGTAGTCTCTATTCGGAATAAAATATTTTTTTACTTCATTTTTAGTTATAACATTAAAACTAAGGTGAAGTTAACTTATAATTTTCTATGCTTAGTATAGAAAATGATTTGAAAAAAGATGAATTGAAGGACCAAGTCATGAGAGTAACGCTAATAGTTATTTATTTAAGTCATTTTTGACACCGATATGACAGGTCAGACTGGGAGCATCCCAAACAGATACGGTCCCATAATTAATATAATTACTGCTCTGACTAATCAATTAATAATAAAACTTACAATTAACATCTATTTCTCTAACTTTTTCCAGGAACGATATCTGACCTTTTTCATAAAATATTATTTGGTTTAATGTATTATCTTCTCCATATTCCCAAACTTGACAAAGTACACTTTGTACAGCCAATAACACTATGGCCAGAACAAGAATAGTTTGTGAGCCCATGTTGGTTGTACTTCTTCATGCATCACTTGGAAGTTGGCAAGTGTTTCTAAATTGACTTTACCAATTTATATACTTTATTTTTACCTAATTATATTGAACAAATTGGAGTCGTTTTACATTCTTTTAAATTTATTTTAAAGCAATATGAATATAAAATTAATTTGAATGCAAGAAGAATTGATTCGTTCTATTATTATCCATGCTATTTTAGAGGTCTTCACATCAAACAAAATCAAATCAAAGTTTATTTGCTATGAATGTAGGTACATCAAATTACAGATGGAATGGTTTTAAATAATCCGTGTACATTCTACCTTAAAACTAAGCATGCATTTTTTTTATTTTATAAATTTAGGGTTAGTAAACATTTAATTAAATGTGGCATGAATAAGCACAAAGAAAAAAAAAATGATATCAATGACAACCTCATCATCAGCCTATCGCAGTCCACTGCTGGACATAGGCCTCTCCCATTGCGCGCCACTTAGATCGATTTTGGGATTAACAACCTAATTTATTAATATTTTATGTCAATGCTTCACAATTATTAAATTACAAGTGATAAGAATTATAAATTGTGAGACCAAATTTGTATCTATTAAAAAAATCATTGATTGTGTAGCAGCATTTGTCCATAAGCAAGGTTTTAATTTATTTTTGAAATCACCCATTAAATAATTTTTTAACACATCAAGCAATTTGTTGTATATAATAGGTTAGGTAGGAATTAGAGATATGCGAACCTGACCTCTATAAGTTATATAAGTATTGTTGCTAATTTGCTAATAAAAAACCCCCGCACACATCTTGGATTTGAAATTTGTCATAGTGTATAGTATTCTACTAGTCAAGCCCTTTCATTTGATACCCATATTAAAATATGTAATCCGACATTTTGTGGCGGTATCCATCTAGGACCGATTTTAATCAAACTTAGCTAAGAACACTTGCCACTAATTCATCTTTCAACCAAAAAAAAACAAAATCAAAATCGGTTCATCCGTTCGGGAGCTACGACGCCATAGATAGACACACGCACAGACACGTCAAAGTTATAACACCCCGTTGTTTTTGCGTCGGGGGTTAATGAAACGGCCTTACAGAAAACCATTGTTAAGCAGTTTTTTCGTTGCTTATCACTTCAAAAGAGGAGGGTTTCCCCTGATTCTAAGGGGGGGGGGGACTTGTGGATCTTGAGTTGAAGGGTCCATGAGTGCCGTCAGTACTTATCATCAGGTGACCAGCCTGCTCGTTTACCAGCTTATAGCATAACACATGTCCTTTAATTGCCAAAGTGTTTTGCCATCACATGTTCGCATATCACATCATCATCATCAACAGCCTTTAATGGTCCAATGCTGGACATAGGCCTCTCCTTAGAAAGGAGGGTTTGGCCTACTATACCACGCTGGCCAGATGGGTTAGGATAGGGTTTATGTCAAGTTTTCCTTCTCTCTGCAGTGCTGTTGGCCTGCGTAGTTTGATCCCTTAGTCGACTCTTACGACACCCACGGGATGAATAAGGGGGGTGACACTGTATTCTTTATCCGTCACCAAATAAATATAATTTAAAGTTATAAAATAGAGTTGTGGTCATAAAGTCATTGGGATGTATTAACTGTTGTCCCCTGTAAAGAGCCATGGACTTTAGTATTAAATGTGTTATAACTGATGATGATACGAGTACAATAGGTAGTGAGTATGATATATCCATTTTGATTTTTCGATAGATACTATTAAGTTAAGTTTGCATTGTTTGCATTGTGCGCCAAGTAATTGCAAGGAAAAAAAAATGCTGCATCAAATTACCACATAAAATTAAACCGATGAATGGTAATGAGCGAAACACTTAAAGCCTGTCTAATTGGATTTATTTGAATAATATTTGAATAGCTTATGCCCGCGGCTCCGCCCTCTTGTATGTCGGTTATGGCGGTAAAAGTAGCCAATGTTACTCCCTGATAATGTAGCTTTACATTGGTGGAAAAAAATAATTAAAATCGGTTACAAACAAACAAACTCACTTTCAGATTAAATTAGAGCCTGTAAGAGATTGCCTCTGAGCGATTAGGCCGCTATTTGTCCTAACCTAGTTTAAGACAATTATTGTATATTATATCTGGTGTACAATAAAGGAATATATTATTATTATTATATTTATTATATGAGTATGGATTGAAAAATGAATTAAAATTGAGTGTGTGTTTTTCTATTTAAAATATTGGCCCCAAGTGCAGTAAAGTATTTTAATGGCATGTTCAATGTGTTGTTAGATATTACGGTTAATGTATAAGTTTATATAAGTCGTAGTGCACCGCTACTAAGAGTAAGGGAAATAAGTATGGGGTTTTTTAATAATAATAATAATAATATCGTGTATGTGTTTGCTATAAATCATTCTCCGAGCATTTTCCCGAACTAATTTGAGGTTGGTTCAGTCTACTACGGCCAGACCGAACTCCGATTTTTTTATGTGGCGTTACTCTGTTCTCAGTTTTATAGGTAGACTGTTGTCAGTCTTTTTAGGGCCAGTCTCACTAACAGTAACGTTTGCCACAGATGTTCGTATGGCAAACCGGGACCGACCGCTTTACGTGTTCTCCGAGGCACGGAGGGTGTCAAGAATGATCACCCATCCATAGACTGACATCACTAGTATTGCTTAACTTTGCACTTTGTGCTAACCTACTCGGTTACCACTAAGCCATGAGCCCCTGTGAGCTTAATACAATGCATATGATGTTCAATTTTTTTGTTTTATGTCCAACTTAGCTTTGGAATTAGCACTATATATCTACTGTGACAGATATTTAAATGTATATAGATTTTTATTTTTATGCGTCGATAGTCACTTTCCATCATGTGACCCGTCTGATCGTTTACCCGATACCACTCGATATGTGGTACGCATAGCCCCGAAGCCAGCGCGCCCTTTCGAACACCATGTCTTTGGATGTCAAAAGGAGATTCAGCGGAATTCTTTGCCGTAAAAAAGGAGTGGTGATACAATATTATACCCTTACCTAATATTATACCTTATACCCTTACGCACATCAGCGCTGAAATGAAATAAGATTGAGATAACGTGGTTCACCCTCACAGAGGCAGAATAACACCCAAGATATTCAACCTGATATGAAAAAGATGTTTGTTACTCCCATTTTTAGAAGAGTTTTCAATAATATAGGACATTCGATAAAGCTGAATGCGTTAATGAAATTCACTAAGCATATGTAAGCTTATGTGGATTCCCTACCATTCTCTATTTGCCTCAGAATAAGTGTAACGCGTTTCACGTCTTCCTACCAAATCTGCCCATTCTGGTGTAATATATTTACAGAAAGTGCTTCTGTATTTATTTATTAGGATCTCCTACGAAAGATATACAGAAGTAAAAAAACAATAATTGATTGAAGGGGTATAAAGTCGGTGTACTCCTTCACTTACAGACACTGTGCTTGCCAGAGTGTAAAACATAATAATAACATCAACCAAGCGAACAAAATTATAAGCAATATAGAAAATTTAGTCTAATTTAGTTTAAAAGTAACAAAAATAGAATAAAAAAAATAGAATTTCAATTTAAAGAAGTTACAAAAAATTGATAAAATATAAAAATACACAATTAAAATACAGAATAAATAAAAATTACGTTGAGGTTTACATTACATTAAAGCTGTTAAACAAGTCTTATATTCAGACAAACATAGGTATATATCTAAATCAGGCGTTTTGGCTAACATGTTATATTGCCTACAAAGTCTTGGCACAGCGGCGTAATGACCCAATTTTGTATTAGAGCCTGGGTCATTATGCCTGGGGATCCGAGTTGGACTTTGATTGGGTAATGAGCTCAAAAGCTCACTGCAAGTTATTGCTCCGCTTAGTATTCAGAAAATACTCAGAATCTTCTGTGATCTACAATGGTGGATTTGCAGCCTTCGCCGCCCTAGGCCCCAGGTCATCAGAAGCCCCTTTTGCAGCATCCATCATATAAACTACATAATGAATTTACTTTATTGCCAAATTTTATCGAAACCAGTTTTAGGGATAATTGCACTTTACAATAAAATGTTGTTATAAGATTGCCCTCGGCAGTTTAATATGTCAATTCCCAATCTAGTTAAAATTGAAATAACAGTATTTTAGGTTACAGATTTGTGGCCTGTGTCCTGTGTTTGTAATATGGCATTAGCTTTTTGGGCGCCTGCGTGCAATACCGATTAAGTCGTGCTTTTTTTTGCTTGCGGAAACCCCCTTCGGATACCCCCCATCGGACAACCGGTGGTTATAGATTTTTTCTTTTATTTAATTTTTATTTATATTTCAATGAGCCTAAAATTCATATTAGGAGACTTTATTTGATGTTTTGATGTTCTTGCTAAAGATGAAGAGAGACAAATATAAACAAATAGTAAGTAAAAACAAATCTGGGTACATAATTTGTTGCCAACCACACACATTAGCTAAACACGTGATTGGCTAACAACGGATTGAACTCAGCGCTACGGTCAATGCTAAGGACATCAATAGATCTAACTTTAATTTGATCCCAATTTCTCATTGCATGCTCTTAAAATAAAGCAAACCCATGTGGTTTGCTTTATAAGAGCAAGCACCTTTACACATGCTACTACGTTTTTCAGAATGTTTTTCCAGTACTTTTTTCATATAATTGCATTTTCAGTGTAACGAAGCAATGCGTCAGGTTAATGTGATTTTACGCTATTGTATTGTGTTGTATTGTATTGTTCGTTCATATGCAGGACAGATATTTGAGAGTACGGAAATTCAGCACGAGCGAATGTTTTTATGGCTCGCCCGTATTACAATGTTCTTCCTTAATCACTTTACATGTACAAAATAACTTATACATATTCTATTGTATTGTATGTATTCTATTAAACATATAATTAGTAAATGTTTGCGTGCGGTTCGCCATACTGTGATCATCATCTTTAGATTATGTAATTACTTTTTCAGTGAACTTTTTGTCACAATCAGCCTCTTATATCTGGTCGTCCTGGGCCAAGGCCTACTGGGCCTTAGGGGAAATCCGTAATTGTACCAGGGCTTTCCTTTCCAGGGTATACCTGGTTCCCCGGCTACTGGTACCTGGAGACGGCGTGCGGTTTTTGGTTGGTTCGAGTCCGACATAATCACCTGGGTGGGTGGTATCTGAGGGGAGTTCCGCACAGAAAAAAAAAAGGCGAAATCCGTCACTGGTGATCCAGGATTGCGAATTGATCTTTTTAGTCATTATACTTATGAAAACTTAATTAAATTTATTTATTAGCAAAAACATGGGTTATACAGTAAGTAATGATGTAAAAGATACAGCAAGTTTTACCATATTAAGCTGAATGCTACAGCATGCAAAAAATTACGAAAGTTATAATGGGAATAAAAAATATCTGGTTGTATCATTGTTTAAATAAAAATACAATTCAAAAGTTAAACAACAGAAAATAAAAATTAATATATTAAAACTGCAAAAATTAATTTTGGCAGCTTCTTCAAGTTTCTTGCGATCGCGTTTGCCATTAAGACAAATATTTAATATGCCTTATAATGTTAACTGCACTCCTTATTAATTAATTTTGATTATTTTTTTAACTCCTTTTAATTAATTTTAATTATTTTTGTAAATATACAAAGAATAGGTGGCATTTCCCACTTTCTTCCAAAGTACAATCAATATATGACATTTAATTACCACCTTCTTTCTGGAGAATCCAAACTATTTAATGACAAAAAAACAATACTTTCGATTGATCACATTCAAATATCTTTCAAATTCGTCAAGTGATTTATTGCGAGAATCTACAATATATATTGGAAATTTGTCACAATTTGAAAATTACATTTAAAATATCAAAAGTATTAAAAATAGTACGTAATGAGAAACAGTGCAATTGTTTTGTTCTCTTGTGCTGGTCTCTTACTTGTAAGTATTGGTTAAAATTGTATTTAGTTATAATCTCTTGAGTGATCTTTTCTTGAAAATATAGTTAGGTTTGTACGTCAAGGAGAAACTAATTTAGTCAACAATCTAGTGGTTTTCAACGGACCTGTAGACCATCGTATCCTTATTGTTAACAGTACTCGTAACTTTATTTATTATTTTTATAACCATAACAAAGATCCAATAACTATAATAAGTATGCATCACTGATACTACGAGTATATACCACAGGCAGATCAAAGGAGTCACCCAGTTTAAAAAGCAATAAATTGTAGAATGTGTTGGATGTGAGCCGTACTCTTGTTTTTTTTTAAATACATATATAATATATTTTAACTACATATATAATATATTTTAAATAAATATATACCAAACCGATAAAAGCGTGTAACGGAATCTTCGAACGTGATTTTGACCCATTTCTAAACAAAAAAAAAAGTGAGGAAAGTTATTTTTTGTAATATCAGTACTTAAAAGATCATGAATTTTTTATGCTTATAATTTAAAATGTACATTTTTTATGCTTATAATGACGTCTTTGTCATCACCCGTTACCGGCTTAAGTTGATTTTTGGGACATCTGCATAAGAATTATGTCCGTTGTCTTTTTATCTCAGAGCGGCGGCACTATACTCGGCGGTACAGTGGCATGGAGTCTACTTCGCATGTCATACTACTTTTGGACGACTGACATAGGTGTAGAGTTGAGTTCGAGTGTCCTGTTTATGGCAGGATCCCTCCTCTGCCTACCAACATGCTGGCTAGCAACGCTCGTGCCTTACAACCTCAAATCAAAGTCATTGAACGCCACTGTATGTACTTATATAATATTACATCTTATTTAGTTGGAACAATAGACCTTTTTGTACTAGAACCTTGCATGTAGATTTCGGCGTTTATTCGAAAGTTTCAAAATTTCAGTTTATAAATCATTTCTGTGCAGTTGATATAACCAGATCTTTCTCACATAGTGGCATAATTCATAAATAACTATCCCTAAACTGAGCGGTTATCTATAAAGGACACTGGTTGGTTACTGGTGACTGTAGAACTGTAGTTCTATGGACAACTTCATACATGCAGTATTAAGCTGCATACACTATTATTATTATTAAATTCACAAAAACGTAAATCAAATATCAGTTTGAAATGTCTATTATCATCTTACTGTTTTGTCATACCAGTATCTGGATGGCATCTAGATATGTGTATGAATGTGATCCTGATCCGGTCTTGTATCGCTGCACGAGTTTAACATGATTATATTAGGATTCAATGAATCCGTATATCGTATATGGTAGCAGCAAAAAGCCTGAAATACAAGCACCGAAGTCACCGGGAATTAAGCGTTGAGGATAAGTAGAAAAATATGTACACAAGGTGTCAATCCTGCAGTTGATGGGCGTAGTGAGCGTGGCGATGCTGATGCTATCACTGGGAGTATCGTCTATGGGTTCTGTGGCCCGTGCTGTGCGCGATCCGAGTGCGCTTAACACTAGCATGTTACGTGCCATGGCCATCGACGGCTACGATCCCACTGTAAGGAGCTCATTCTCTGCTATGCAGATTGAGGTATTTATACTTACATGGTATTTTTTTAATGGATGAAATTACGTATTAAGAACCAAAATTAAGTAATAAATTTAAATAAAAGCCTACTTCACACCTTACTTTCGGTACATTTACAGTTACATGTTTCACGAAAATAATCCATTATTATTCATCCATCAATTATATATTAAGAGCTCTTAAAAATATATTTACACAAATATACATACGAGTTATATACTCGTAGAGAGCATGGTAATGTTTGTTTCTAGATTTAATATTTCTGATATTTCAGTTAAAATGTTGCGGAGTGCAGTCGTATTCTGACTGGTATCAACACCGCCGCACGTTGCCCCCGGCGTGCTGCGGACGTGTTCTGACTGGCAAGGTACCCTTATCATTGTATTTAACTTTGAATAGCTGTCAGTTACATGAAAGTTACTTTTATTTGACTAAACAACAGTGGACTAAATCCAAGCTTTAATCTAAAGTTTACCACTTGAATCTGAAGAAATTAACATAAATTCATATTCTCTTACTGTAAAAATACAGAGGTTCACAGTTTCTTAATTAGGTTAGCCAAAGTATCTTCTGGCTGCTGCAGTACAAGAAACCTAATTGCTAAAATTGTCTGTACAGAGTTCGGACATATGCGACGTGCCGCTGTACAGTATGGGCTGCCTTCGCCCTGCACTCGCTGACATTCGACATTTCGCCAATGTTCTTTCTGCACTATCTTCAACGCTCATCGTCGTCATGGTTAATATTTATTTGAGTAATAACTTTTTAGAATATGAAATTTTGTCATTTTTAACCTATGCGTTCATTATGACCCCTTGAGTCGGTTTAGTTTTCGAATCGGAAATTTTGATTTCTTTTTTCAAATCGTCAGTTGCATATCATCGATCTGGATATTGTTGTTGTTTGAGTAAATAATATCATGAAATAATGAAATATTCTTAAAATACAGGTATTGTGTACATTTCCAACATTTTCACAAATTTATATTCTTTATGTTATGTGCAGGCTGTGACACTGTTCGAGGCAGCGTTCATGTTAGTGACATACGAGGTAGAACAAGAAAAGCTGCTATCAAACAAGCCTACCAATCCTGTTCGCATCGGGATCGCGTGCCTGTCACACCCGCCTCAGCCACCGCACATGGCACTTGTGGAACCCAGCTTGGCACCTGTGCAATACAACAATGTCTAAAAAGACTTTTTTTACTCAGCCAATACTATATACCGCATTTCAACTAAAATCCAAGATAACTGCAGTGTCGTTTTTCAGTCTACCAGCGTACCTGTGGGTATATTCATTTATATATGTCCACAGGTATACTAGGTGTAGGTTTTTCACATTGTTGTTATTACTTTCAAATTGTCATAAGTTTTAATAAATGTTTGTTATGATAATTTTTGAACAATAAATATTTGTGAAAGACAAAATATTCGATTCGATTGTAAAAAGTTGAGCCATGTATGTGAGTGTTATTAAATTGTACATATTTAACCTTCCGGTGTAATATACTCAAGACATATGTGTGTCCATGATAATAGACAGTTAGAACTAGCTTTTAGTTAAGAAAATTGCTATTGGAGGTGTTTTTTTTTTCATCAAAGATTCAACTATCGAGCAATAAAAATTATAACATGAAAATGTGTAAAGCTTAAGAGCTTAAAATTTTACATTAACAGGTCCTATGACTTTTCTTTCTCCGGTGAAAATTAACAGAGGGAGGTTTTAAGCTTAAGGGATGAACGTACATTTTAAAAAGCCGTAGATAGTAGTAAAATGAGCGTGATTCTTTTTTTAATTTGACAGATTTGACTGCACATGGTTTTCATTTGACGACCGGATGGCGTAATGGTTTGTGCAACGAACTATTCTAAAGGTCGCGGGTTCAATTCCCGCTCAAGTCAAACATTTGTGATGCACACAAATGTTTGACTTGAGTGGGAATTGAACCCTGAGCGGGAATTGAAATCGAATTGAACATGTAAAGTTTGATTTGGTCTGGGTAAAAAAAGTATATAAGTATTTATATCGGTTGTCTAGTACCCATAGTACAAGCTCTGCTTAGTTTGGGACTAGATGGCGTTGTGTGAATGTGGTAGACTATTAGTATTATTATTATATCATAAAAACTACTAGTTGAGTCCCTGCACTGCACGGATGGCGTAGTGGTTTAAGCGGTCGCTACGCCGAGTGTTGTGTGGATTCAAACCCCACATAGGACGACACTTTGTGTGATCCACAAATTGTCGTTCTAAGTCTGGGTGTTCTTTGTGTCCGTTTCATGTATGAAGTCACAGCATTAGAAATATATCCAGTGTACTTAAGTACACAGGATATATTCCTAATGCGGGAATTTTCTAAAACAAAAGAAAAGAAAAAGAAGTCCCAAAGATTTTGATTTCATACCTTATTTGACTGGATAACTAGCACAATCTCTTCTTTTTCTCATCCTGGACTATGGTGATGTTAGTTAGGCACACCACACTATTTCCTGACAAGTCGTTCTCAGTGCAAGCAGGCTGACTGTGGAACCTATAGTATTACTGTACTCTGTGCAAATAACCTACCTGAATGCAATTAGGCAAGCTAAATCACTGCAGATATTTTAAAAAACTAGTCACAAATCCCTACTTAACATCATATTTATGGACCTCTCAATAATGTATAAATAAAAAGACACCATCGTATGTAATGCGATTTTTGCGTGCTCCAACTGGGTTGAACAATACTGCTTTAAAACTATACCTAATATAACATAAAAGTGGTTCTTAAAGATGCACATCCTTACAGTTTTTTTTTCATTTATTTTGGTACAAATAGTCATTAACTATAAACAGAGCAATATAAAAAATACTTCACAAAAGACAAGGAGTACCCAAGAATTGATTTAAATAAATAAAATACATTTCACAGAGCGTTAGCTTCAAATAACTTGTGGAAGTGACACAAGAAAACATAACAAAAGGTTTAAGAGAATTACAAACGTGGCGATATTACTAAGTAAAGGTTAACAACTTACGTTTAGACATTTTTTAACATAGTTCAAAGAGTTATTAAAAGGCTCAATACAATGGAAGCCTTTGTTGTACATAGTAAGTGAGCATGTGAAAAAGTTTTTTTTACATTTTTTATCGATGCTAGGCTTCTATTGGTGGTAGCATGATATTATACAGTCTGTTGTAAGGATTTTCACAAAAAAAAAAATGATAACAAGGTTCAATATACGTTACGTCTGTTGTAATTAAAAAAAAATGTTAAGTACGAAAAGACAGAAATGCAAATTTAGAACAAAATAAATACAATATTATAATGTCAAATTAGAACACCATTGTTAACATGAGTCGCTGAACTGTAGACGGCAGCGTCGCAATGTCGGCAACATCAAAGCGACGACGCCGCCGCCGCGACGAGCCGGTGAATTTTACATTCTTATAACCTACTATATAATCACTTGCTTTTTAAAATCAATTTATTAAAAATACAATTTTATTCACGTGTTTATTTCGTTAATGCTCGACTAGCTTCGGAACCGACAGTACGTGTCACTCCTTGAAAAAGTAGGTACTTTGGTTGCCTCGTAATCTTTGTACCGCCTTTACAAAAATTCGGCAGTCTGTAGGATATACACGATTGATTCTAGACATGAGACAAAATCAGAGTGAACTGTGATTTATCATTCGATTTTGCGTACGAACATAGGTTAGGGTTGCTAGGTAGGTAGGTTAGACGCTATTTAACAGTAAATCTAGTAATTTTTTTATTATTATGTAGGGAATGGTAGATAAATATAATGAAATTATTACTAGATTTACTGTTTAATAGGCGGAATAGTGTCCTTATGCACCGTCTAAAAACAGGTTATTGGCAACAACGCGTGAGTAAACAGTAACCCTAACCTAAGTACGAAAAAATCTTATGATAAATTCCCGGTCTTTCACAGATCACTGTGTTTTTTTCCGATACCTAATTAATTCCATACCTTGGTTTGTCCGTAAAGCTAAAGATGCGTTTTGATAGAGATCCCTGTAACTTAACATCATGTCAGGATATTCCGCGGCTGTGAAGGTCACTCACGGCATTATGGATGTTGATACCGAAAACCCAATAAAATTAAAAGACTAATAATGCACTCAGTTTAAGACACACTACATTACACACTTAAACTAATATTGACACTTTTCAAAATACGAGTAATATTAGCGGGACTCGTTACAACACAAAGTCTTGCGCACACGATAACATTAATTGTTTAGACCATTGCTGTGTATTATGACGAACGCAATAAGATTAAACAATTATTAATACAACAAAAAAATTCTAAACAAATATTTCACGAACAACAACAATAATACATATTACTAGAATTTTTTGTGAGCGCATCTACAAGCACACAGAACAGAATAACACTCAGCGATTTGCGGTGGCTAAGGGCCGACTGACTGTACTTACTGCATGCACTAATTAAAAACGCGTGTCCTTCATACTGATTACGCAATAATCAACATATTTCATTCGATTCGAGTGTAGTAAAAGCGGCAACGTATGATGTTACCGCGCCGCGTATACAGCTGATCGCCGACTGAGGTCAATGTTGCAAATTACGAAAACAAAAAGAAATGTCCTATTTCTAAACCACTGAATATATTTTCATATTTTGCAAATCGTCTAGAAATAAAGTCTGCAATATGAGGCTTAAAGATTCGTCAAAAGAACAAAAACATTATATTAAATTATGTTATAATATAGTCTTCCTCGATAAAGGCGCTATCCAACACTAAAATATTTTTTTAATTCGAACCAGTAGTTCCTGAGTTTACCGCGTTCAAACAAACAAAGAAACTCTTCAGCTTTCTAATAGTTGTATAGATTTTTCAGGTGACTCGTTTTGTTTTCACTTTTTAATATATGTAATGGCCTTTATGGGCCATTTTTTTTGTTTTGGATGTGGAAATCATGAAAACATTTATTTGTCTTCACTAATATATAATGATAAGTTGTAAATGGTGTGGTAATTTTAACAGTGTGACAATCAAGTATAAAAATCCTGTTAGTCACAGTAGTGTTACCACAAGTCCGCAGCTGCTACATGCATGCAGCTGTTTCGTTGCCCTCTATGCTGCGACCGTCCTCCACCCGAATGATACAAACGCGCAGTTTGGGGCAAGTGTCAACTTAAGGTGTTCCTCAGTGTTCCCCGTCTCTTTGACAACTGGGAAGTTTAGGACGATTATCACATCTAGGCCGCGGTTCTGGCTGTTTGTTATGACAGTGGATAACTTTATTTCTCCATTTATTTTTAATACGTTGCCTATGAGTCGTGTATTATAGGGACAAGTTTAAAACTAAACGGCAAATAAAACGAGTTTCGATCGAGGATATCTTTTTAATCGTAATTTTTTGAACACAATACAACATGCAAGCATCAAAATGCTTTTTGAAAATTAAGAAACAATCATATCTTTCTCTATATTTGGTACCTATTTTTGGTTACTTTCAAATTATACAAGAAAACGATCTCTATATAAAGACAAACAAAAACTATAATATATTATGAAAAATTTCGTACAACAGAGCGCGGGTGTCGGCGCGGGCGGGCCGAAACGGGCCGCTAACGCTATACTCACATTAGACCCGGCCCCGAGGCGCACTGCGATATACACCTACGTAACATAATGATACTCTATACAAATGTACGTACTAATGATTTTACAGACTCGTACACTATCAACATCGTTAGGCAAATATTAGGCTCATACACGAATACTGGTCAGACGCGTGCCCCGGGGCCCCAGCCCGGCCGCGCCCACAACGATACACAATATACATACAGTCTCGCGCGGCGCCGGGCCCGCCCGCCGAGCGCCAAGCGCCGCTCCTATTTACAACAAGAGCTACATAGTCCGGTACTAGGATAATAATTGAAGCGATCGAGTTACAATCTCGACACACTAGCTACTTTTTGTGGCCAAATTCTGCATCCTAACCGGTCCGCGCCCAGCGCTTCTAGTTCGCGATAACTCTATCAAGAAATACATTCACACCGCTATAAGATCACGCGACGCGGCGAGCGAAGCGACTGAGACTTAACGGTCGCATCGAGTCGCGTGACCTATCGATCAATCGCGCTTTCGCCCACGAGTGTACTCTATAACCTATTAGTCTCGGGAATCTTTAAGTACCGCCAAATAGCGCACCAAAAAGTAGCTAAGCGGAGGTTCCTATAGTTTAAAATTTAGAATTGGAAGGTGCGTGCGCGTCTCGCTCGAGCGGGCGGCGGGCGGCTCGGCCCGTAACATTAGATCTATCTAGAATAAATATGTTCCTGGAGCGGCCGCTCAGGGCGGCTCTAGCGCCGCGCGCCGCGGTGCTTGCGATGTTGCGCGCGCCCGCGCCCCCACCACGCCGCCGCCAGCGCCAGCACCAGCGCCCACGGCCCGCGCCCTCTGCGGACACGCAACACGTCGCACTCGAGCCCAGCGCCGCCGACCGGCCCGCCTCGGGCCGGTCGGCCATGGCATCTACTTAGTGGCATTATATCTATAACTAGCACTACCTGTACATTATATTATACAAAATACTTTTTATCGATCATTCGTCTAAATACGATGGATTTAAGTAAATTTATAATACAGTTCAATCTACGTCCTAAAATCTAATGGGAGAACGTGATAAAATAACTCAAAGGCGATTCGTTTCATTTCTGATTTCAAACGATGCAAAATATAATCCGAGCATGCTGAATATTTAAGCTTAGAGAGACTTTGAGATGAGAGTAATGAATAAAGGATAAAACATGCAACACAAAATGATGTCTAGAATGATAGTCCTCGATTTAAGTTATTACCTATGTAAAATAAATTCTTTAACATTAATACTGACTAAATATTTAATTTTAAATTACCTTGACTTTAAATTTCGATGTCCTTATACTTTTCTGTTTTGCTTATACAATAGGTATTATATAATTGTAACGAGGCGAATTAATAAAATCGAGGACACAAGCATTCGAATAAACACGTGTTAATATAGCAAATGTATGAATGAATAAAAAGAGTGGGGATGGTTACCGATGCACACAACACGCGAGATTGCTCACCAAAGTAGCACACTGCCCACCCTGCAACAAGCGTAAACGATGCATTCACACACGGACCGCCTCGGTCCCGCCAAGCGTCGGGTTAACACACAATTATAGCAACACAGTATTAGAAGCAGCCGTAGAGCACGCGACGAACTTAAACCGTGGCCTGCCCAACGCTCTGGGATCAGCACGGAGGGCGAATAATGTGATTAGAAGACTTTAGGTCGGCGATTCCTCTTTATGTAATGGCCAAGTACTATCAACGAGCCTTATATTTGTGATATAACTCAGTATTTTATTTTTGACAACGTTGATGATAAATGTAACGTTAATTATATGATAATATAATAAAGAATTCAAATTGAAGCCAGTATGGAGATAGGTAGTAAGATATGGTTTTTAATGGCATTAATCTGCATGCAAACAGACTGAGTATTTAAAGATTTTAATGAGTTAATCATATATGTCGATAGTCAGAGGCCGAGTGCTGGCGTATCGTACCGTGCAGAGGCAGTGCGGCGGTGCGCAGGCGGCGAGCTCGAGGCGGTGCGGCGGCGCCAGCTCGCTTCCCCCCTCGCCGCCCTCACCGCCCGCGCCGCCTGCTCCGGCACAGCACCCTGCGCCCCCGTCCAGCCCGCACTCGGGCTCCCAGCAATCCACCTCACCCAACTGTACACATGCAAAAATGAGTATTTAATACTGTTTAAATTTCAATAATATTTGTAGAATAGGTAATTGTACAACAATATGAGAGCTTATTTTTAGGCTGGTAGGTATTTACTGATCCAGTCAAACAGTGACTGTACGTTAGTAAAATACTTAATAGCCTTTGTAAAAAAGGCATTTTAACCAAACCCAAAACAATTCTTCCAGCTACACAGGATATAACTAAGCAAATAAACTCTGAAAATATTTGCTGCATCTTTCATAAGATTTTTTTTCAATTTAATAAAAGATAATATTTTGCCAATCGAACATTTTGCCTCGGACAAGCAACCTATTACTTTTTTACGATAATAGGCAAACCAGCAGATGGGGTATCTGATGGCAGTTTACTACCGTTGTAGTAGTGGCTGGCCATAGAGTGTTGCCCCAGAACTAGGGAAGAGGTGGGGAGTTATTGGACCTTCAGTGACCCTACTCACTCGGTTAAATGGAACCAATGAATTGTTAAGGTTAAGATCATGGAACTCACGAGGCACTCGCAAATCTGGCACTGGTACAACCACCGCTCGCCGCTGCGGAAGGTGATGTGGTGCATCTCCTGGTGGCGGCAGTGGTAGCGCGCCTCGCAGTGCGGGCAGCACGCCACCGGCGCCGCGGTGCCTGCCGCCGTACTCTGCAACTGGACATACAAAATATTTTAAAACGATATTTTAACATTTCATAATATTAGAGATCAATAAGGATGGTATTTTATAAAATCATTGAACAATGTAACAATCAGAATTTTATCAGTGTTCTGATATGAATAAGAAATATTGAAATTAAATAGTTTAAGGCACCTATCAACTATGTATAAAAACATGTATTTTACATTTTCTAACGTATAAAATTAAACTACTAATAAAGAATGGTATATTTAAAAATGTAAGTTACCGATACAGTATGATTGTCGTGCAGGTCACAGGCGCAGGGGGCGCGCGCGCACGTAGCCACCCCGCGTGAGCACGAGCATGTTCGGCAACCGCCCGCTTCCGACCACGACTCGCCATCTGACAGTATTCGACCTTGCCAGGAACAACCTGCAATGTTAATACAGTTGATTACTTTTACGTCGCACACTTTTCATAAAACATTATAGAAAATCGATACTCGTTGATTAAATAGGTTTTTTTACACTGCCTCGTAAAGAACACTCACTTAATTCACAATGTTCGTCCGAGTCACATTCGCACGTGAAACTGCCTTCAATGTTGACGCACCGTGCACTCGGGTGACACGTGTGAAACCCCTCCACGCACTCGTTCACATCTGAAAGTCATATTTTAAAGTATCGAGTTCAATAAGGACTTAATTAGATTATTTTTTACATTGAACAGTTATTTAGTACAATGTACTGATTTGCACTGTTTACCTTGGCATCCGTCAAGCAAGGCATCTCTCCGGTAGCCGGCCGCGCACACGCAGTAGTAGGAGCCGGGCGTGTTGACGCAGAGTGCGCGCGCCGGGCAGGCGGGCCGCGCGCCTCGACACTCGTCTACATCGCGCTCGCAGCGCGCACCTCCGAACCCGTCGGCGCAGGCGCATTGCTCGGGGGCCACGCACTCACCTCCGTTCAGGCACCCTCCTGTGCAGATCGCTGAAAATAGTCATTTGTCCGTTTGTAATATTTAGACTGCGGATCTATTCAGTTTAAGTAAGCTTTAATGTAATCAGAGAACTAGATTTGTGATGGTCGAGATATTTAATTGAAACCTTTTTATTAATACAGTTACAATAAAAACAATTATGTAGAGACTGTAAAAATTTTAAAGTTTAAAGATTTAACCAAAATACATCCACCATTCACCAGGGAAAACGAATGAAAAACTGTAATACGTAAACTGTAAAACGATAAAAAGTTTATTAAATTGATTGAGCAAAATAGGTCTAACTAACATCTTTCTTTTTCATTTTTAAAAACAGTTCGGTAAACTTTAAAAAAAAATGCAAAAGTTATCTTCCAGTGGAGATTTTACATTTTTGCCCCAATAATATTTTCATGATACATTGCAAATAAATGATCAAGCTTCCAGAATATATTTTTAATTATTTTCACACAGAGAGTTACTTGGATCTTTTCTAATTAACAGAGTCAAATTTAAAATACATACGACTGCATTCATAACCATCTCCCGCATATCCGTCTCGACATCGGCACGTGTAAGACCCGGGTGTGTTGGTGCACACGGCGTATGCATGACACCCATGAGTGTCCCCGACACATTCGTCCACCTTAGTAAAAAATCGATAAATCTTTAACCATGGTCTTCAATGAAATATGTGTCTTTGTCTATATCGTGTTTAATTACTCACTTCTACACAATTAAATTTGTCTTTGCGCGTATACCCAGGGAGGCATTGACAAACATAGCCCCCCACCACGTTGACACACTGCGTGTTAGAATGACAATGATGCCCGTCAAGTCCACCAGCTCTTTGACATTCATCCACATCTGAAGAGAAAAATAATATAACTTATTATTAATATCCTTATTACATATTATCACTGAAATGAGCTTGTAATTTTTTTCTTTTTAATAGAGAGCGATAAATCAATATCCATCTTAATAAAAATATATATAACAATAATTTCAACGAAAAAAATTACGGTATTAAAAGGAGGTTAAAGACTTCTTTTAATCTGGAAGCCTTATTCCAATGTTATTGTTACCGTGAAAGACAATATCGGGCGAGCAATAGGCATTGGTAATATAAAGCGGAGCTGAAAGGAGATATATAGTTAAAGATATATGCCTGAATTTAAAATGTACCTTGACAAGAGAGGCCATCACCCTGGAAGCCCTGGTTGCATTTGCAAGTGTATTTCGTATTGAGATTCATGCACGTCGCATTCTCATCGCACGAGTGCCCCATACTGCAGTAGTCTACGCCTGTTTGTAAAAATAAAGTAATTAAATAATTATTTACTTTAGAATTTATAACTTTATTCAATTTTGAAGAAGGAGGACTTTCTGAATTCGAGGGTGTTTTTTATTTAAAATTCTTTATTTATTTATGAGGGTAGATTTCCTGTTTGGTCTCACCTAAATTTTAAGATAAAATCCCAGCCCTAAGGTTGGAAAATAAAGTAATGAAAAATAATATAAAAAATATTAGGATTCATTGTGACGTAGCCGCGTAAAACTCTGTGTTAAAGTAAATTAGGTTTGTTTTAATGTAACATAGAATAACATCTACTTTTACTCTATCTATCTACAAAAATGGATATCTATGTTTATGAGATCAATAAACAGACACGGTTTGACTGATCTTTACAAAAAAAAACATGGAGACGTTTTTAAACAATTCATTTTTCAATTCGCATAACAAAATACTTCATAGATAACAATCCCTTAAACAAAAACTGACAAGGTAAGATTCACTAGGTTCACAAAAAAATAAAAAAGCTAACGTATTCATGAAAAAGTCGAATGCAGTTCTTCAGTTTTCGTATCAGGTTACGATTGACCTATTGCTTTTTTCACATACGAATTATATTTAAACTTTTATTAGCAATCAACAGTCACAAATCTTAAATATGCACTAATAAGCTACGTCTGATTTGAAATAGTTAAATATTTAAATAAATTAAATTTTTAGGGACCGTACCGTATACCGTATAAATAACGACAAGTAAACCAGTTCAAGATTATTGCTTATATTTGCTACTACTGTTACCTGGACAGAACTTGCAGCATTCGCCAGGCACTGTGAACTGGTAGGCGACGTCGCAAGGCAGTGGCGGACAGGCAATCTCAGGATCAACGCGCGTGCATTGCATGTTGCCATCATGGCAAACGCATTCTGCACACTCCTTTGGCGCAAAACGATCTCCATGTTCGTACAAATTCCCCTTCAATAAACATTGTCCTAAAACATTATACGAAACAATTTGAGTATTTTTCACTCACATTTTTTTCTATGAAAATAGTTTATTGAGTTTTCAAAATAATTTAAATATTAAGGGTGGAGATGTAACGTACTTAGACATGTCGGACAACATTCGCCTGGATGTAATACCGGATTTTTACACTCTGTTCTGTCGCACTCGACTGGCCTGCACGTTATCTCGCCGTGCTGTGAAGTCAAATACACATAGCGTCAAGTAATTAAATTTAGCAAATCATTGTGTGTTGCTTTGTCAAAGTGTATCTTACCACACAGGAGCAGCGATTACAATCTTTTTGCCAGGTGGCACCGTCAGCGTGGACTGTGCTGTTGGAGTAGCACGACTTCTGGCAGTCACACTGTTCGAGTCGTGCTAATCTCGCCTCTGTACCAACCAACTGCAATCGTTACAACATACCAAATCAATGTTGAAGTGACCAAAAATATGTTACATCCTTTTACAGATATATATATATACTCGTATATAAATATACTCACCTTGAGTGAAAGATCATGGATATGTGTAGTGAGCTCCTGCACAGTAGCCTGTAACAGGGCAAATTGCCCGCACGTGGGACATTCCGAGTCGAGACCCGGGCATTGAGCCAAGTAGCCGTGAGGCCCACTTACGAGCCTTATGTCTTGAAGAGAACCCTGAAAATTTGTATAACAATCTCTGTTATTTTGTATTTACTTTCTTCCGAAGGCGAGTGAAAAAGAAGAATGACACCTCGTACCTTAAATAAAGAATGCTTGCTATTCCTTTGTCCAACCCATAGAGCAAGCTGCGGTTGTGTAAAATTGCGATCAGGTGGCGGGATAAGTCGCCTGTAGAGCGGATGGCAGTCGACGAGGAGCGTGGCTTGCGCCCCAGATACTGAGAGTGCCAGACGATGCCAGGCACCATCAGCCAGGCGAAATGGGAAGGTCTCAATGCGCGGCGCACTTGCGCCGGCTGCCACGTAGTGTAATCGCACCTCATCCCGGCGACCGCTCGACTGGACCTCCAAGTACCTGCGCACAGCCACACTGATGCACTATACATCACAGACCGACCATCGCCGCGAGACGACTCCGCCAGGCTCTCGCAAACTGTTCCGAGGTACACAATAAATAAAGCAAACAACACATACATTCGAACGGCGACGGGACGGAATCGGCTGCGAGCGGACCTCGGCTCACTCTACATCTCAATATCGCACGGCCGGGATGGGGGACCATGTACCTCGGAACGAATTGCGTTCGGTGTTGACGCTAAGGTGTCTGATGATAAATCGCTCCGGGCTTCGCGCGAACAATATTTTTTAAGGGAGTTGCATGATCGAACGTTAAATGTCCGCGAATGGTGCGGAGCTGATAGGAGCGCCGAGCGAGGCATTAGACACAGTATGAGACAGTTGGGATTCCCATGTCGCTTGGAATGCAAGTGCGGCCGAGCTCGGCGTTGTCCCCTCGGTGTAAACGCGAACCTGGGTTGCGGGCGACCGCACGTCTAACATCAACATCCAGGGAAAGAACATCGAGAGATGGATTATAAGGGGGCAGTCGAACATATACAGAACACAACACGTCAAGACACAGAACACAAGACGGGCGGCGGACGACGTGGCGCGGGGAGCGCATGCAAACCGGCCCGTCCGCGCACATACACATCCATGCAGAGGAGACAGTGAGCGCAATCAGGTCAACGGATGGATCGAGGAGGACATTCCGAGGCACAGGACATTCCAAGATACATGATTCTCCCCTACGTGCGCGTACGCATATCGCCAACGAAGCGGGCGGGATGCGTGCGCGCACAGCGATGTTGAGATCTAGAACTCACCGTACGGTGTGAAGGCGTGACGATCCGCGCCGGCAACGCGCCGTCCCCGCTCTCTCGCACACGTCGCGTACACCAGTGGCTCATGTCGTTCCACTACTCGATACCAGATGAATATAATACATAATTAAGTCGTGAAATCGTAACTTTAACAACAAAACGCAATAATTTAACGCTACAAACTGTGCTACGCGCCGTAGCGCTACGCTACACCACTCGTCACGCACTTAACTTTTTAACATCTCTTTTATCATCTTTTTTATTTCAGTTCAATTGTTAACGTTTAATGCAATGTAATGTTAATAATGAGTAACGTATAGTTAGTATTGACGACAAAATTACATACTTAGGAAATATAATAATTATACTTAACACATTTAGAGATTATCGTGCTGGAAACTTAAAAAAACATCTAGAAAACACACAGATGCGCAAGCTAAATTCATACCTATTATATCCATGTGAAAATGACAGTATAGAGCCCGAATTGGCGGGCTCCTGCCTGAGCGTAGCAAGCACTGTAAATTCTGGGGAGCGTCGCAAGAGCTCAGCGGCGCGTTCGAAAGCTACACCTTCTACTTGCAGCGAACGAGATTCTCCTGAAAAAAGTAAAACTCAGTTACAGATATGTTGTACCACATTCACACAACGCCATTTAGTCCCAAACTAAGCAGAGCTTGTACTATGGGTACTAGACAACTGATACAAATACATATATACTTTTTTTTTTTTGTAAATACATACTTATTATACCCAGACCAAATCAAACATAAAATGTTCATGCACACAAATGTTTGACTTGAGCGGGAATCGAACCCGCGACCTTTGGAGTAGCAGTCCGTTACACAAACCACTACGCCATTCGGTCGTAGTAGTAGTAATTTTTAGTAGTAGTAATTTTTAGGTATAACACTAGATTCTTAGCTACAGTGGGGCCCACATATTGATAAATTGTCGAGTAGGCTCAGCTCAGCAGCATACGCAGTAAGGAAAATCCGAGAGTTGACTGATGTTGATACAGCACGACTTGTTTACTTTAGTTACTTTCATAGCATAATGTCGTACGGTATTCTGCTGTGGGGGAATGCTGCCGACATTCAAACTATTTTTGTGCTGCAAATGAGAGCGATTCGAGCACTTTATAATTTAGGCAATCGTTGTTCATTGAGGCAGAAATTTAAAGAAATAAATATAATGACAGTGGCAAGTCAATATATTTATGAAAAAGTAATATATGTTCATAAAAACAAAGATAGCTTTTTGAAAAAAAAGTGATGTACATGCCACAAATAATGATGAAATAAAAATAAACTTGTAGTACCCGCCTCTAGGTTCCAAAAGATAAACAAGTCTTTTCGAGGTCAATGTGTCCGATTTTATAATAAAATCCCAAATAATCTTCAAGAGTTGAGTATTAACAAATTTAAATCCGCAATAAAGCGTGGCTTGTGCCGGAGGGCCTACTACTCGATTGTGGATTACATGGAGGACAAGAATGCTTGGGATTAATTAGCGCAGGCTATTTCTTTCTTAAGTAAAAATGTGGTGTGGCTAGTGTATTTTTTATTATTACTATTTTTTCTATTTTTTATGTTTCACTTAATTTTCTCTTGTAATCGTTTTTATTTCCTAATCTTGTTTTCTGTTCATTGTCTTTTTACCTTTTAGTCCTTAATAACGGACATAGTAGCACACATCAAAACAATGTTGTGGTATATTTAATAGTGCCATTGTATCTACCCGTGAATTGCAAAAGAGTGGCCATGAGTTTGTTTGCCCTTTCTTCTCATAAGGCTCAACCCCTTGGAAACGGGCGGTTGTAGATCGGCACAGGCATATCATAAATGTTGTATGGGTTTCATTTTTGTTAAATTTATTTGCTTACTATTTGACAAAACAGAGTTTGTTGCTTTTGTGTGTGTTGATCTATGATTTTAGAGTCTACATGGAAGACGATTTCAAACAATTTTGGAAATTTTATGAAAAAAAAAAAGTTTGAGTTTGAGTGTAAAAAACTAGTGTAACAACGTAATATTTCTTATGGTCAACGATAAAACATAAACAACTAAACAACAACACACAACAAGTAATCAATATCAAAAACATTAAAAAAAATGGATGTTAACGTTGTTTTTTGTTATTAAAATGAATATCATGTACTTTCGTTATAGACTGACGGCTTTTAAAACCTAAATTAAAATCTAAATTTATTACTAGGTCAAAATAGGCTTCTTTAATATTCAGTACTGCAGTAAAATAAATCAAAAAGCTATCAGCTGGTATAGTTACAGTGTGGTATCGTGATCTCGAAGTCCTTGACTGTTAACGATCGCTGCGCGCTGGCACCAAGCCAACTTTATTATCTTAATTTATTGATATCTTTGTCTGATTTCATTACATTCTAAGGGATTTCCTAATATGTACAATTCAGTGATTATTATATGAGTACTCTAATATAATCTACAATTTTCCTCACTATGGTGCTCGCATATGGAATCGCAATAATGCTCGACTAAAAAGCTAATTCCAAACAAGTAAAAGTTAGAATTAAGTCTACTTGTAACAGTTATTTTTTTGTACATTTGTTGGTCTTGTTAAAAGCTACATCTATTAGCCGCGTTGCATTGTTTTTAATTTATCTAAGGTAGTTTATAACTACAGTTTTGATCTTCTGTGTTCACTGATGTTAAATGTCAAAGTAAAATGTTGAAGAGGGGTTATTTTCTGGAAGCTTCGTTAACCGAAGATATATAAGTCCGGCTTTCTGCCACGGGAGACACTGCTATCTCGTGCCTTCCGATCTTATATAGTGTTTTGATTGCTGTGTGATTTGATTTTCTTAATATATAATCTGTTCAAAGTACCCACACTAAAGTGGTGAGTATGTTCTTAATTCTACTTAAACCCATTTGTTTCTGGAACCTGTTTAATTATATGAGTGCTAATCCATTCGTAGGGTCCCAGATTTCGGGCTCAAGACGGTCAGTCTCAGACGGCGTGCTTGCTCTTTTGTGGCCTTCTGGTACAGACTCAAGTTTCTTGGTACCCTCTGGCAAGGCTGGTGATTGCGCGGCTCACGACGCAAGCGGACAGCCGTACCCAAGAGTTACGTACTTAAACTTATAATTACAAATTTGTTAAACTTTCATCCATATCCAATATAAATAGCCGACTCGGGCGGAAGAGGAAGTAACCTCCTGGAGGGACGACGAGGTGGCACCGAGCACCATCAGCTCGGCTTTAACGCGCTCCGCTGCAGTTTTTTTTTCTTTCTTGTACCCACACTAATTTATTTAATTTTTCATTGTAAATTTGAACTACTTTTTTTTTTCTGAAATATACATGTATGTATAACTGAGGTGTAAGTTGTTTTCCTCTAAAGAGTCCCGTAGGTTTCCCACACGCACACACTTCTTTTCTCTTAGAAGGCGCCCTGAGGTAATCTCATAGATCTCTCCACTGGGTCAGCCGGTGAGTAGTCCGCCTGAGAAGAAAAGCGGCTACAAATTGGCGCCCAACGTGGGGCCAGTGATCCAAACCTCTGTGTGTGTGCTGTGTGAGGGTGCCTGAGGGTATTCACTTTGGAGGAGACACTTCCCTCCGTCCGATACTCCCCAGGACGTTAATTGGTTGTGCGGGTGCAGTACGCATGTAATAATTTTACCCTCATTGTATTTTCAGCCTATCGTACCATCATCCCTGAGGCAAGGAAAATCAGTGAGACCACTAAATTCCAAATTTAACTCAAAATTCCTACTGCACATATTTCGGGTAAGTTTTGAAACATTTTCTGGCCTAAATTTTTTTTTCTTTTTTTTTGTGTTAGCTACTTCTGTTCGTACCTTTGAGGTCCGTAGCGTGAAGTTGTGCATACGTGTATATTCAGTGTGTTTTTTTCCCAGTACTACTGGTGTAATTTACTTGAAACTTAACTTAACTTATAAAGTTTTATGTACCCTCCATTTTTTATATAACCTCTTGGCTTAAAATTAGAATAAAATAGTTTTGTGATATACATACCCTACTTAAAATTTATGTTGAAATAACTTTTATGATAATTAAACTTTGTCAATTCATTGGATTACTGTGTTAATGTTCTAAAGATAATATAACTTGTGTCTTGAATTGTGAAACAAGAATATCTTTGTCTTTAGTTGAATTTGCTTCTCAAGTTTTGAGAAATTACTTGATATTTTAATATTTTATTACAATATTTGTTAAAAATATTAGTGTGCTTTAGCTTTCTCACACTTAATAGTGAAGAAGTATACTCAGTTTCTACTTTGAAATATTACTTGATATTTTAATATTTTATTATAATATTTGTGAAAAATATTGGTTTGCTTTAGCTTTCTCACACTTAATGGTGAAGAAATATACTCAGTAGCAATATTTTTTTACTTTGAGATATTACTTGATGTTTTAATATTTTGTTATAATATTTTTTAAATATTAATTTACTTTAAACTTCTCACACTCTGTTGATAGTGAAGGAGTCTACTCAATATCATTATTTTTTACTTTTTTTTTTTTGAACTGTAAAAGACATTAAGTCTGCATTACTGGTTTGTTAACTTGTTAGGATTATTTTTGTATAATCGAATTTAAATTGTAAACCACCATGGCACATTTACGTAAGTGCATTAACTACCTTAAAAAGGATGAACTTATTAATGAACTGTCTGCCATGGGGATTTCAGCGAATCCGGAGGATACGGTTGTCGGCTTGCGAGTTGAACTGCGTACTGCTTTGCGGCTTATCCGGCGTGGCAGCATTAAGGCCATCGCCGCTGTTCCTGCTGTTGCCGCCTCTGAGTTGTCTGTCTGCGAGCCTAAGATCTCTGAGCTGGAACAGGTCCTTTCTTCAGGTGATTTTGTTTCGAATAAAAATTGTCGTACTAGAGTTGCATTGAGGGCTAATTATCTTCTCGCTAGGTTAGCCAGGTGTGGTTTAGACTGTCCAGAACTAGTAGGCATCCGTGACCGCTTAGTCAAAGTTTTGGCGGTGTCTGAATCAGATACCGACTCGGACTCTGAGGTTTCGGAGAAGGAGACCGATCCTACTCATCGCGACCACATAGGTTACACCTCACCTGTGGTAAGGGGGGACCGCTCGACGCGACCCAACGCATCCAGTTCCGACCCTAATTCAAATATAATAGTAAGGGATAGACCCGTTAATTTAAATTCTTTTAATATAAAATATGATGGCTCTTCTTGTGTACGTGTCTTCATTGAGAGACTAGAGGAGCTCAGATGTGCTCGGGAAGTCACCAAGGATAAGATCCTCACAGCCTTCTCTGACCTATTGGACGGTCCGGCCTTGTCGTGGTACCGCACCAACAAGGAGTCTTTCACCTCATATGAGGGCATGATAGAGGAGCTGAAAGAAACCTTCGACCTTCCTGACTATGATTATCGCCTCCGCAATGAAATCAGACAGCGTACACAGGCCCGATCAGAAACATTGGGCAACTACATCTCTACAATGCAGGCCATGTTCTCTAGACTCTCGTGCAAGATGCCCAGTGAGGAGCAACTGGACATTTTGATGCACAACATCAGGCCCGATTACATGAAGGAATTGGCCCTTCATGAC